AACATTTCATACAGTTACCATGTACTGGAGTGACTTTTAAGCATTCTAGCAGTGCTAGGATATAGGAAAATTATCCTATTCTGGTGCCCTAGGCATCTGATTTGTATGCCACATTTCATCTTTTGCATGCACACAGAGACATACAGAAATACTTTTCTTTACTCCAATATCTTTACAGGGTTGTGGTTTGATGTGAGCTGGATCTCTGGCAAGATCAGGGGTATCTGCCTCACTTCTACAGGCATTGTATTTGGTGGATGAAATTCTCCACGCTATCTGGAAAAGCAATGATTTATAAAAGGGCAAGATAGTTAGCCAGGTGTATGCAGTTTCCTTATGTAGACAAAAGTTGGGGAAACAATCTGAAGATTGCAAGTGCTGCCAACACTGTTAAAAACTGTGAAGCTTTGCCTCCTGCCCTATTCATCCACTGGTCTGCTGCATATCCTGCCTGCTATGGCAAGAAACTGGGAGTCCTATTTGCCACAGCTAGTTGGTAGAAGATGAATTGGGAAGCCACAAGGCTGCATCTTCTTCCGCTGTTTTGATACCATTATAGATAGAAACACCACTTCCAGGCGGTGAGCTTGTCACCCAAAAGCAAAATTGGCAGTCGTTAATAATGATTGTGTAAATAGATCCATTTACATTATATATGTACTAAAGAATGTATGTAACCACTGGCAGAGGAAGGGGGTGCGGTGCGGGCCGTCCCGGGTGTCATCCCTGGGGGGGGGTGACATCGCCGCCCCGCCCCCTGGGACACTCGCCACTTGCCGCGGGCGGTTAGCCCTGCCCCCAGGTACACAGCATGTGTGCCGCTCTGGGTGCCAGAGCAGCTAGTTCTGCCTCTGTATGTAACACATAGTGTGATTCAAGGTGTCTGCTTACATCAGGGGTAGGTAACCTAAGGCCCAGGGGCCAGATGCAGCCAATCGCTTTCTCAATCCGGCCCGTGGACGGTCCAGGAATCAGTGTGTTTTTACATGAGTAGAAAGTGTCCTTTTATTTAAAATGCATCTCTGGGTTATTTGTGGGGCCTGCCTGGTGTTTTTACATGAGTAGAACGTGTGCTTTCATTTAAAATGCATCTCTGGGTTATTTGTGGGGCATAGGAATTCATTCATTATTATTTTTTAAATATAATCCAGCCCACCACATGGTCTGAGGGACGATGGACCAGCCCACAGCTGAAAAAGGTTACTGACCCCTGGCTTACATGGCTGGTCAAAACAGTTTGCTACTTGAAGCAGAGTCTCCATTCCCTCTCTAGGCTCAACACCTCAAAAAGCTGCACGTTTCAGACATCAAGGAGTTACCTGCACTTATCTTTCCGCGGCTCTTTCCAGGCACGGTCCCCAATTTAAAGTGTTTGAGCACTTTTTTTTTGCTCCAGAACTTTCCCCATGAAAACCCACTCTTTAAAGCTCTTTAGAGCAGGTTGTCATGGGGAAAGCTTGGGGGGAAACAAACAAGGAAACAAAAAACACTTGGAGACTTCTACCTCGAAAGATCAAGACAAAAGTTAAGTGTGGATAAACCCCAAGTTCAGCCTTTATTTATTCTTCCCCACCTTCACCATTCTGCAAGTGTCCCCCTACCCATGCCCGATCTGCAAACTGTTTACAAAAGGTGCTAGTCTTTCAAGTACTATAGCCCCCCTTGTTTCAATTTCCCTGTAATCGGAACATATAATCATTGCTTTGCTGTTATGTGGTACCATACAGCTTTGAGTTGTAGCACTTCGTTTTTCTTCTTCTTAGAATAATTCAGTGCACAACAGGATGGCCACATTTTCTGCACAGAGAGCAAAAGCCCACCATTTGGCTGAACGCCTACTCCGCATAACACAAACTCAAGGGCGTCCCCACATATAGCACATTGCGGTAGTCCATTCTTGAGGTTATCAGGGTGTGACCAAGCTACCCCCATCCAGGAATGTCAATAGCTGAAGCTGGCAAAACACACTCCTTGCTGTAGAGGCCATTTCTGCCTCCATTGACAACAACAGCACTTAGAGCACCTCCAATCGATGCACCTGCTCCTTCAGAGAGAGGGAAATCCACTCCTAACTCAAAACAGCAGAGTGTTACATCAGCAATTGGCTGGTAGTTGTAATCTCTGGGTCCAGTGTTGTTTCTTAAGGAGCAGGTGCTTCACTGTCTTATTTGGAAAGGAAGAGCTTAGTCTGGTTTCCTTTGCCTAGTTCACCCATCCAGATCTCAGCAAGACCTGCTAAGCTGGACCCACAACCATGATAGATGCTTTACTCTGCACCAGGCATAGGCAAACTTGGCCCTCCAGATGCTTTAGGACTACAACTCCCATCATCCCTGACCACTGGTCCTGTTAGCTAGGGATGATGGGAGTTGTAGTCCCAAAACATCTGGAGGGCCGAGTTTGCCTATGCCTGCTCTGCACTGAAGAGCACTGCCAGAACAGAGGGCAGAACAGCAGGGTCACCTAGGTCCAGGTGGAGGAAGGACTGGCCAAGAGGACAGCTGTCAGATGCTATCCCTCACCTCTCCTTACCTGACATGTCCATCCTCTCATGTCATATCTCACCCTGCTCAACAGTTAATATCCTGGGCACCCCAACTCACCCCACTCGACACACATACACACACATTATATTCAGCCAAGCTTGTGATAGGAGCCAAGTCTATTCCTGTTGCAAATGCATCCAGATAAATAGGTCCCACCTGGTAAGGGCAGGCAGCACCTACTCAGATGCAAAGGTTTCCCAAGGCTCGCATGTAGACACAGACCTAGATGTTAACAATGTATGTGGCTATACAGATAATGCACAAACTTCCATGTAGTTTATGGGTCCCAGAGATTTGGCTGCCAGAACACAACATGACAACAGAATGACCAGCTGCTTAACCAGCCAGAGACAGGAGAGGGAGCTCTCTCCACATTAGTCAAAAAAGAAGAGATGCTGTGAGGGTATCCTGCTTACCAAGTTAAGAGTCAAGAGCTGGAACTCTTCCTATTACTATTGTCAGGTTTTGTTTTGTTTTTGTTTAACAAAGACCCACCTCTTTACTTCTTTCTGGATACCTGATTCTGAGGGTAAGTTGGTAAAAATAATTCAGGGTGTTTTGAAATGTAGTGAAATTAACATTACCTGCCTTCCTTTCTCATGCCCATTCACAATTTTCAAAATATTGTTGCATACCACCCCAGTCTCCAAGTGGTGTGAGATCGCAGTGTTTTGAGGCACTTACCCAGAGTTCAGTTTCCTCGGAATGAGGGACAGTGGAGACAGCAGTGTTTTTATGATATATGGTTTATTTACATGGATATACAACCTGAGCCTATGGTGGAGGGGCTCACAGTGTTAACACCCCAACAAGACCTTGCTTCTCCTATAGCCACAGCCTTGGATTCCAGCAGAAATCAAGCAAGTCTCTCCCTCCCAGACTTCAGGCTGCCTCCTCTGTCTAGCGTCTATCTCTCACACACGTCAACTTTGGGTTTTGTGCTTCTAACTGCCAGCAATTTGGTAGCATACTTCACATAAAATGCTCCCAGAACCAGAAACCCATCACCCCATCATTGCAAGTAAAGAAGGAAGCTATACTTGCCTTACTGTACCTGCTCTCTGGCTGGGGAGGGGTGGAGGAAATCAGCCCAACACCTGACATTTTCTAAGTAAAGTAAGTCTTGCTGAACTTGAAATTTCCTTCTTAGTAAAGCATGCAATAGCATCAGGTAGCATAAATAATTTAAATCTACTAGTAAGGCATTATATTTTTGTAATTTATAAAAAGCGATGAATCCACTTTAGGAGGAAAGGTACTGGTTTGCTGAGAAGAAATTGAAAGGGCACCACCATTTCTTCATCCTGTCTAGACTGAAAACAGTTTACGTTCTATCAGTGTTTGTGGTCTGCAATTTTAAAAGAAAGGGAAAATAAGCCCTGCAAGTTGGCCTTGTTCGTCTGCCTAGTGTTTCCAGGCAATGGATGCTGCACCAGCATGTCTTACCCACAGGATAAGTGCTTTCTAACATTAGCATTGGCCAATGTGAGCAAAACAAAGATGTCTACATAATTATACCTTTACATGCAGTACCATTTATTCCAGGAACAAAGTGCCATGGAGCATGGTTTGAGGAAGCTAGAAATAATTGCGTCCTGGAAGAAATCTTTGAGAAATGCCTCCATTAGCATGCCTCCAAAAAAGCATGCCACTTACACAAGAATCTGTTCCATGCAAATCTTTCAGACCTCTTAGAATGTTTCATTTGACAGACAGGAGTAGATTAGGCATGTGCAGACAAACTGGAGAGGGGCAAGACATGTGTCTGTTTCCTAGCAAGCACTGGTACTCTCTGTACTGCTTACAAAAGATGCATGGAATATGTATTGCTTGAAGCAGAAAAGCATCTCCTTTTCTCCATGAGATCACATTGCATTATGTGTATGCGTCCCTTCATCTTCAAAAAGCAATGTAAGTAATGGTGACAAGAACGTATATTCTGAAGGCACCCATTGTAACTGTGTGTACATTAGAATCTTGACCTGGTTTTGGCATCCAGGATGCACTTCATCAGAGCTAGAAAAAATCCCAGGTGCAAGATCACCTGCATGCTTCAAATTTGCAGCTGGATCTTATGAATATTAGTATTTTTTGTGCCTTTCCTACTCTATGTAGGGCTATTAACCCACAGGAAACATCAGTCAGTGGTCAGAGTCGGAGATAATGGTGGATAGAGCCATCCTTCTTTGCTCTTCTCCAGTCACTCTCTTTCCATACCTGCCCTTTTCTCTATCTTTTTCTGCAAGCATGATAAGCAGTGGCATGATTTAACAAAAGCCCCATCGGTAAGTACCGGTAGTTCTCACTTCAAACCTTTCGGGTACCTTCTAGATCAGGAAACCTCAAAAGGCAGGGTTCTTGGTTGTGAGGAGGTTTGTGCTCACAAACCTCCTCACAACCAAGAGGGGGGCATGTAGCCTTCAGATCTCCACACAAATTAGATGGAGGCCAGGAATGGAGGCGGTATGTCCAGTGATGTTGGGGGTTGGGCCAAGGGGGCAAGCCTCCACCCTCCTACACACTTGTGCCCAAGCTGTTCTGTCAACAAGAAAATACACTCAACATTTTGCTTACAATTACAACCTGTTAAGAGTATTTTGTGGCTTCAGATTAAAATCCAGTGGAGAGGACAACCATAATGACTCGACAATAGGTCCCTTCCTAAAGGGTACTCTGCTATGTCCTAAGCATTGCAGATCTCCAGAGTGAGGTTGGTCAACAGACTGGAGCTGACATAGTGAAATGTACTGAAGAACCATCATTTCTCTCCACTTTGAGGAGAGAGCTAACCTTGCAGAGTCTAGCGTGGGTTTCTTCCTGCTCAGGGGAGGAGAAGCCAACCGTTGAACACTGTAAAGCAAAACAAAAGGCAGAAGAAACCAATTGACAAAAAAGACTAGGGAGATGAAAGAGTCTGAAAGATGAAAGTAAGAAGAGTCTGATGTCGAAAAAAGTAGAGTCCCTCTAGATTACCTTTGAAAGGAATATATTCCAAGATCACAAAAACCTGGAAGCTAAACAAATGTAAATATGTTAGTTCATTTAAAAAGGCAGAGAAGAGGGGGAGATGCCACAATGAATGGCTTGTCTGCTCTAGAATCCCTTTGAAGACTGCTCCTGATTCAGAAACCTATGCCTGCCCTGATGTGCGAAGGAGGACACAGCATTGTGTTCCTATTGGGGCACTTGTAATGGATAGGAGCATCCTGTACAAGCCTGGAGTATAGAGTTTATCTCAAGTGATTGGATTGTATGAGAACATAGAAGGCAATGTCTAGTTAAGTGGGTTAAAGATACAAAATGGTTTATTGTGTTATTTTTGTATTCTTCTGTTTTATCATGTATTATGTTTTAAATTTTTATGCAACCCACCCTGGGATTACCTTTAGTGATGAGAGGAGCAAGTAAGAAATACTTTCTTTCTTTTCTTTTTTTAAATTAAATTTTATTTTATTAACATATAAAACACATACATATACATTTACACAATACATGTACACAACACACTACCTTATTTTCATAACATAAAACATACCTACATTACTCTATATAATACCTACCAATACTATACATATCAACATACCTACACACCCACCCCACACGGACACCCATCAAGTGACTTGACTTCCAGCCATTCTTGTTACGCTACTTTATTTTTACAACTAGCTTAAATGCATTTCATTACAGTGGTACCTTGGGTTACATGTGCTTCAGGTTACAGACGCTTCAGGTTACACACTCCGCTAATCCAGAAATAGTACCTCGGGTTAATAACTTTGCTTCAGGATGAGAACAGAAATCATGCTCTGGCGGTGCGGTGGCAGCAGAAGGCCCCATTAGCTAAAGTGGTGCTTCAGGTTAAGAACAGTTTCAGGTTAAGAACGGACCTCTGGAACGAATTAAGTACTTAACCTGAGGTACCACTGTATTTCTTTTATCTCTTCGCAAGTAATAAATACTTTCAACAAACAAAAATAAATAATACAATATGGGTGGCATCTGACTCAGAGTACATCCACCGAAATAAACCAGCTTAGTTGAGTCATGACTTACTTAAGTCCGTTGATTTTAATGGGTCTTTTCTGAGTATTACATTTTTATTTGAACCCTGACTTCCAAAAAGCTGGGAGACAAGATAGATTCTGGAAAACATGGAAATCCTACTGTTGATGTAATGGACTGTCCTGTTCCTTGTGCTTTTTGTTTATCATCTTTCATCCAACTTTCTTCTTTGTTCTCTAAGCTGAAAAGGATGCAACTTCTCATATGACTTCCTCAGATTTAGTAGTCCTCTTCATTTCATTGCATAATGTGCTAGCTGGGAATTAATTCCTTTCTGGATATTAATTCTTTGAGGGCTCGCATTAAAAGCAATAGGGCTTCTTTACAACATAATTCCCACCTCAGATAAATAGATGTGAGTGCAAGAGAATAAAAAAGGTAAAGCTAATTATAATTAGGGCTGAAACAGAAGAGTGCCAGGTCACTAGCAGTCAAGCATGTGGGGAGTTGGAAATATAAATATCAACAGAATTAGAAATAGTCAAGATGGAGTGTTGGGCAGATCTTATACAGTACAGTGAAACCTCAGTTTTCAAATATAATCCATTCCAGAAGTCTGTTTAACTTCCAAAACATTCGAAAACTGAGGATCAAAGGGCTGGCAGCAAAATCCATTGAAAAAATGGAGAAATGCGCCTCAGAAGCCATTCGACTTTCGAGATACGTTCAAAAACGGAAGCATTAACTTCCGGGTTTTCGGCGTTTGGCTTCCAAAACGTTTGGCAGCCGAGACGTTTGAAAACCGAGGTTTGACTGGAGCTGGGTTAGGCAATGTCGTGCCCTCTAGATGCACGAGAGAAATTTGCCCAAAGCAGGACATTGTTGAGTGAGTCACCACAAGTCAGGGACTCCAATGCACAGGCCAGGAAACTCTTGGTTTAGTCACTGCTATTCCTGTCACAGATGAATACTAAGAACGGGGTAACTTGAATGTAAGGCTATATCTACACTGATCTGGAAAACGCTATTTTAAAAAAAGTAGCAAAGCTCTCAATGCAATTTTACATTGACGACAGCTCGCTGCTCTACAGCCCCATCTGGTGCCACATGTTTATAACACATTTTTAACGTTTTAAATGAGCAGTGTAGATTAGTCCTTAGGACAAATCAGTTTTAACAAATGAGGAAAAGAGAAAAATGGAGCTCCTCAGAAATCACATATTGTAAACCAGGGGTAGGGAACCTCAGATTCAGAGGTAAATTGCAGTTCTCTGGGCCTCTCTATCTAGCCCTTGGTACTCTTCCAAGCTCCTCCTCCTCCTCAGCTATACCCCCACTTCCTGCCCCAGGCCAAATGTGTTACTAGCCTTACTTTGCACCCTCCTAGAATGTTTCTACCTGGCTAAAATGTGGCATTGAACTCTGATAATTAATGCCTAGATGGGGGATACAGAAGGGTGTGCAAAACTAGCTTAATGTAAAATGTATACTGGTATTTGCTGCTCTGCACATAATTTGCCCACACCCCACACCCCAAAGGCTGTCCGGAATGGAATATGGCCCTCGGTATGAAAAAGCCCCTTTTGTCAATGATGATAAGAGTCTTTTAAATATATATATTCCATATAACCTTAATTTAAGATGCATTATTGTTTTGTCTTCTGGTCTGAAATTTCCTTTGATATAAATGAAAGCTCCCCAATGAAGGTTATCTAAGTGGTTTGTTGCTACTGGCAGGTATTTAGGATAGATCACATAAGGTAGAAACATATCTAGATCCCAGTATGAGCTGAGAAGTGGTGTACAAACCCTAATTTTGTTCTTGTGATTAACAGCTCAGGCTTTTGTCTGCCACATGCACAGTGCACTCTAATTTTGTGTGTGTTTAAGCCAGGGGTCAGCAAGGTGGGCTGGATTGCGGGCGCGCGATTTCCCGTGTCTGCACAGATGCGTTTCCCAGTGTCCGCGCATGTGCAGATGCGATTACTGGCGCCGCGGAATTGAGTCCTCGCACCGCACTGTGCCAGTTTAGCACAGCGCATGGGGACTCACCGAGTGGTTCAGGGGCAGCTTGTGGGCTGGTTAAACTACCCCCGTGGGCCGCTTGTGGCCCATGGGCCTTAGGTTGCCTACCCCTGATTTAAGCTGTCTGCAGAGTCAGTGGAAGATTTTGGGGCCTCAAATTTCCATGGTGCCCTATGCAACGAAAAATTTGATGACCCCCCCTATCTCTCGCCTTCCATTGTACATCATAGTTGCAGCACCCCCCACAGCACCCCCGAGGCTTCACACACAGTGCAACCAAACCAGTCGCACTCTGGCAGGGTGATGGAAATGACTATTGAAAATACATCCGGATAAAAGCTGTAGGGTTCGGGGGTGGGGTGGGGAGGTATAACAGACTAAAAGTTCAGCCTGCAACCGACAAATCTATAGTGGAGTTAATTAATAACACTCTGGTGTCAGATAGGTAGAAGGCCACCCTTCTCCTCAACCCCTTTTCCTGTTCATTCAATTGAAACAATTAAGAGAAAAGGCTTACCCACCCTTTTCTCATTTATCTTGGGCTTGCATTCTTGATAAGATCCTGGGATTCTGGTCATTTTGATTAAATTTCTTTCTTTTTTTAAAATCCAATTTTGACAGTGAACATTTCATACGGAAAAGAAATGCTATGTGGTTGCATATACATTTAACTTTTATCTAGTTATGAATTCAGAAATGGACAGAGGCAAAATAATAAACTACCATTTTGATAGGAACATTACATTCTTAACATTTCTGCAAGGAAAAGGATATCCCTGCAGGAAGGAGAAAGGTGGAGCACTGCCTGTGTAGCATTTCTTGTTCAGCATTGTACAATCCTTTGCAGGGACACAGGAAGAGGATACGGAAGTTTCTACAGGAAGAAGGAGGAAAGTTCAAACATAAACAGTGGCCAAAAATTACCAGCAGTTCGTTAGATTTCCTTTTGCTTAAGTCTTTCAGTGTAAGTCAATATAAAAAAAATAATCATATACAAAGGTGTGCTGCTAAACACGCTAAAGCAAATAAGATTAGAACAATCACAGTGTTTTAACATTAAAGCAATCATTTAGGGAGCATATTCGTTTTGTAAAAATATAAAGAAGTTTAAAACAGCATGCTGGCTATAAGGCAGGCATTACTATGACTATCTGTGGTCTCTAAATCTCCCACCTAAATAAATATGGAAGTAGGACTTCTAAAAAGAGTTAATGTCATTTCCTAATTAGATTTGAATCTTCATCTTTGCTATGAAAACTATAGCAACTTTTTTGGGGGGGGGCGGTAAAATTTAGCTCTGGCTAGTCAGAAAGTGATGATAAATATCCCTTCAAAAACTGAGAATTTGGATATAGTGGTACCTCGGGTTAAGTACTTAATTTGTTCCGGAGGTCTGTACTTAACCTGAAACTGTTCTTAACCTGAAGCACCACTTTAGCTAATGGGGCCTCCTGCTGCTGCCGTACCTCCGGAGCACGATTTCTGTTCTCATCCTGAAGCAAAGTTCTTAACCCGAGGTAATATTTCTGCATTAGCAGAGTCTGTAACCTGAAGCGTATGTAACCCGAGGTACCACTGTAGTTCAGTTCAAAAAGTAGCTCCTGAAACTATGAGGTAGACCTGCACGTCTGATACATCAAGCCAAACTCAGGTGGAATCTACACACATATAAAAAATGCTGTGAAAATGCTTTTTTTAAAAAAGTTTTGAAAAAATACATTGAATTTGGCATAGTGTCTAGTGTCACATTTGCATACTGCACTTTACAACACATTTAAAACGTTTCATTTGCAGCTGTGTAGCTAAGTCCTCAGTCAACTAGTCATGTGTGGCAGCCACTCAGAATCCCCTTTTGATATCTCCCTGGTCCAGACTGCAAAAACAGAATTGGGGTAGCCATAAAGATTTGACATGTCAGAATCCAGTTAGTCACAGGTAGCACAGGTGGTGAACTACAGAGCCTGAATCTGGGAGGATTGTCTTTCTCGTGTCAATCAAAAAAAGGGTTCACACCACGATAGGACAGATTCAAAAACAGGTTTCTAAATGAATGGTCAAACCATTGATGGCTTCTCTTGCAGCTTATGCTACATCTTCACAAATAGGTGACTGGATCTCCTGGTAGTTTGTGTTTTTTATAAACTGTGTCGGTTTAAAGCACACACACACACACACACACACACACACACACACACCAAGAATGTTGTGAAATGAAATTTGTTAAAGGTTGTGAGAACTGTAGCTTTGTAAACTACAGCTCCCAGGATCCTTGTTGTCGTTGAGGGAAATGGGCTTTAAAAGTATGGCATATTCGTAGCCAAAAACGCAGCTGCTTAGGATGTTTGGTCAGAGCAGCAGCCCAAGGAAAGGGGGTGTTTAACCTCACTCTCTATTTTCCTGATCAAAATCACACACATATCCAGGGTGCTCTTTGTCTAAAAGGGGAACATACAATGCTCCCTTGTAATCTTCTCTTTGCAGGAAAATCCGAAGCCTGAACTGAAGAAGGCAATTCTGATAAGGAAAATAGTGGGGAGATGTTTTAAACACCCATATCCTCACTCTCCTCTCCCCAATCTGACTGCTGCTCTGATCTCTTTGAGAGAACAGGAATTATGAGGATGAGGAACTCCATCTTTGTCATGCTAAATTTGAGACTACAGGAAAATACAGAGGACAACTGAAATGCGGACGGAATGAGCTGAATGGCAGAGATTTGGATTTAGAAGAAGGGGCCCTCTAATGCTATGATTATATGAATGACTGCATGCAGGGAGCATAAAAACAACCACCACTGAATTTTCTGCTTAAATCTAATTGTGCTTGCTCTGATCAGCACAACTGACACAATGCACTTACCTCTAGGGGTTTGTGTTTCCGTTTGGAAATGCGACTGTGGTGTCTTTATGATATGTGGTTTATTTACACATATATATACTATTTGAGCCTACAATTCACAGCATTAACACCCAAAAAGGGTCTTGTTTCTCCCATAACTGCAGCCTTGGATTCAAAGAGAAATCAACCATTGCTCTGTCTCTCTGGCTTTCCAGCTTGCTGCTTTCATCACTGCAAAACTCAACTCTAAATTCAAGCCTTGTCCTTCTAACTATCTCTGAGTTGTGGGATGGTCTCCACCCATTTGTTTGTCTCGCACAGAGCCCTCTTTCATTTGTTCTCCTAATGGCCGATCATCCAGGTGATCACCTCATCAGGTAGCTAGCCTGACTTGATTAGTTTTTAACACTTGCTGGATCCAAGGATTAGAAGGGTCTGGCAACCAGTTTAACACACACACACAAACCAACTCATAACAGTATGAAGAGGAACCTTGCTGTAAGCCAGATCCAAACATAGGAGCCCAAGCATGTGGGTGGAAAAAGAGGACTCTATCTGGGCTCAGAGGTTCATTGGGGCCTGCCCTGGTTGCAAGCCCATTACTACAAAGAATAAAAAAGAGGCTAACTTGTAGATAATTATTGAGGATGTTATTGCAAACCTATGGGGTGTTCAGACCTTGTAAGATTTGCTAGAGTCAATAAGTATTGTAAGAACAAGAAAGACAACATTCTGAGTAGTATGTGCTTGCCCTTATCTAAACAAACCTGGGGACACACACAGAAAGTAAGTTGCACAAGAAACACTAGAACTTGCAGTCTGAGAGACTTGTGCCTCCCTATGGCAGATGCATTCTCAAGAACTACAGAGTTCCTTAGTTGCTGATGGCATTCCCTGTACAGGAATTTTTACCTAATCACTTTGCACCAGCAGTAGCTGACATAATGTCCTCCAGACATTAGCAGACTACAATTTATTTCAGCCCCAGCCAGCGTTGCCAATACAGTCGTACCTTGGAAGTCGAATGGTATCTGTTCCAGGAGTTTGACTTCCAAAATGTTTGAAAACCAAATTTTTGCTTCTGATTGGCTGCAGGAAGCTCCTGCAGCTAATCGGAAGCCATGGAAACCCTGTCAGATGTTCAGCTTCCAAAAATAGTTCACAAACCGGAACGGTAACTTCCAGGTTTGCAACGTTCGGGAGCCAAAACGTTCGGCAATTAAGCTGTTCGAAAACCAAGGTACGACTGCAATTAGAAATGATGGGCGGCTGTAGTCCAACAGTGTATGGAGGGCACAACACTGGTTTCTCCTGCTTTAGGAGAAATCACTTTGCACCTACCTCCTTCCACTACTTGCTGAAACTTACAATAAACCCTAAAAAGTTACTGAGACAGGACTTACCTTTGAGGAAGGCATGCTGACTCTTAAAAAAACCCCAAAACAAGACTTGTCCATGTATATCATGGGTAGCCAAATTGATGCCCCCCAAGTGTTGAAAATTCCCATCATCCCTGACCATAGGTCTTGCTGGCCAGGGCTGATGAGGTTTGTAGTCCACAATACCTGCCCAGCACCACTCTATTCTGTGTGCTTGTTAATATTGTATTTAATAATGCTTTTCACCAATAGTTGTAGAGCAGGTGTTAAATTTAGCAGCCCCTTATGTCCTGGATTCCTGCCAACCTAGCAGTTCGAAAGCACAAAGTGCAAGTAGATAAATAGGTACTGCTCCAGTGGGAAGGTAAACGGCGTTTCCATGTGCTGCTCTGGTTCGCCAGAAGCGGCTTAGTCATGCTGGCCACATGGCTGTACGCTGGCTCCCTCGGCCAATATAGCGAGATGAGCGCCGCAACCCCAGAGTCGGTCACGACTGGACCTATTGGTCAGGGGTCCCTTTACCTTTATGTCCTGGATACTTCCTGATCCCTTTTTTAAAACTGTTATTGCACTGGCTGCTTCTCAGTCCTTTGGTATAGGAACAAGTTAGATGTCTTTGCTAGAAGACCAGCAACTTCACATGTCAGCTCTTCAAGAACTCTTGCCATGGTAATTCGTTCATTTTCAATTTGTCAGTAAGGCCTAGACCTTTATTGTTGGTCAACCCAATCTGCATCACTTCCTCAGACTTCCTTTCTGAAAAAAATCAGTTTAGGCACTAATATCTGCCCTGCATCTTTTCCAGTGAATACATGTAAATTCCTTCAGCTTTTATTCAATCCATTTATCGTGCTTTAGCACACCTTTTACTTTTGTGTCATTCAACAGCTTGCCTTCCTAGCCAGATTGCTGAGGTCTTTAAATAATTTAAATATTTTTTATTATTGATCTTAATGGTCTTTTTGCAAGATGCTCCTCAAATTCTCCCCTCGCACCAGCCCATTACTCTCTGCTACCATTTTTTGGCTAGATTATATATATATTTGTTCCTTTACCTCTTAATTTGGGGGAGGCTTCCGTTTTTTGAAGGACGCCTTCTGGCGTCTAATAACATCCTTGGCCAAAGCTCTATAACTATGCTGGCATTCTCTTAGGATTTGATGGTACCTTTCCTAATCTGCAGTGCACATTCTGGTTGAGTTTTGTTTCCATTATTTTGGTTTTGAATAAGCAACAAGAGTTCTGGAGATATTTGACCCTCTTGTCTTGCCCTTTTCACTTACATTTTATTTACAGACTTCCTTCTTTCTGAGGCATTATTGACTTTGTTGCATTGTAAATGCTGAATCTAATAGTACTTCACTGCTTCTAAGTGGTTAATTTTGCTGTTCCTTAAATTACTGTGTGTCATAGCACTGAATTAAGACTACAGTCCTGTGCATTGGTAGTAGCACCTTAAATTTTATCAGAGTTGTGGATTTCAGCAGCCTGTGTACTGGATTGCAGAGCTTCTCTGCTGGGTCACTGAGCTCAGAAACCGTTTGATTTTGCATTTCAAGGAACGGAAGGCTGCCTTTGAACTGTCCCATTGTGTCTTAATTTAGCAGTTTATAGCACCTCTATCAGTAGAAAGCCTGGTGAAAAGTTGTAAGGGCCACAGTAATTAGCAGAGCTGAAGTCCAGACACCCTAATCAACAACAACAGAAAATGCAGAATACAGTATTTGTTGTTGCTTACACTATATTAGTAGAGATATTAATACATGCATGCTTATGAATAGAACTCAATCTATTATTGTATAACTCTGTTAACACAGCATTTAACATACAGATATGTGCATGTGGGGTCTCTCTGCGCGGGTCTGCAAGAACAGTTAAATGACTCCAGCTTGCTGTTATCCCAGCATTTTGGGGGAAAGCTGGTTTATTATTTTTCAGCGAAGCCACCTTATGTTTTTAGTAGCTGTGGCTGATGAGCCAAGTTTGTTGGTCTTGTTTGAAGCTCCTCCCCGGGGGTGCAGAACAGGAAGAGGTGGAGGTCAGAGGGAGCTGCTGGAGTTCCTTGGTTTGTGTGTGCGTCTGAGTGAAGTTGCCATTACCCTTTTACTATGTGTGTGTCTTATATTACAGCAATGCTGCACATCAGTGGCCAAAGAGAGGGGAGAAGGGAGGAAAAGCCTGTTTACACAGACTGCAAACCGCCTGGGGAATAATGCAGGAAAGGAAGTGAGCCGGCTCGCTGTCTGACTGCTCCAACTTCCTGCTCTCTCTCTCTCTCACTCTCGCACACACACCAACCGGGGGTGGGGGTGGGGGGTGGAAGAGAGAAAGAAACAAGGGGGGGATCAGGATCTCATTACAAGAGCAACAGAGCGTTTTCGAGGACTGTCAGTATGGAAAACGGGGGGATTTTACGCAGCTCCCTTTAAACCTGCGAGGAGAGATCGGAGAAGCCCACCAAACTCCGGGTATGTAAGCTTTTTAAAAGTTGGGCAGAGTTTGGAGGGGGGAGGCAGAAAAGGGCGAGGGGCAGACAGGTGGGAGCAGCATGGGATGGCGCTCAGGCGGTCCCCCCCCCCTCACCTTCCCTGATAAAAGGCGAAAAGTATCGCGCCACGGGTGGGGGGTGCGGGAGATCCCTGCCCCGCCACAAGGCATCCGGTTGGGGCTGCCGGGGGAGGCGGGAGAAGAGTCCCGGGTGCCGGGAGCTCCAGTGGCAGCTCCAGAAGCCCCAGTTGCAGCTCTTTGCTGCGGGGCAGAAGTGCCATCTGTCGGGGAGGGGGGGTTGGGAAATGTCTGAGAGGGAGCAAAGTGGGTTGTGTGTGGGGCGCGCGGAGCGGGGGGGGGGGAGAGAGAGAGACTGGCGAGACGTCGCCCTTTTGGACTGTGCGTGAGAGAGGGAGGGCAGTGGGAACTCCCGGGGTGTGGGGGCAGAAAGGAGTCCCTGACTTCTGCAGGAGGCGCGCGTTGTGTCAACTGCTTGTTGTGCATCTGGCAATGTGGAGGAGTCTCCACCTGCCGTTGACAAAAAAACGTCGGTGGGGTGGGGGCTAAAGATGGGGCTCTCTTCTCCAGCGGGGAAGAGGGGTGTGAGGAGGGGCGTCCAACTTGGCTGGAGAAATGGGAGTCTGGGGGTGCCACTGCGCCTCTCGAAGCGCGCGCGCGCGTGGCGGTGGGGAGGGGTCGCCTTATGTTTGGGGAGACGGCGTGGGGGCCAGTGCCTTTGTGAAGCGGGTGAGCTGGAAGGCGCTGCGTCGCCATGAACCACTTTAGGGGTGTGTGAGGGGAGAGGGAAAGAGAGTTTGTATGTGCGCCTTTATGTGTTTCCACAACCTGGGAGCGAGGTGGCGGCGTCCCTGCTCTTGCTGCCACATGGGCCGTTTTATTAAGACAATGAATTTGAGTGTGTGCGCGCAGAAGGAAGGAGTGGGGCGGCGAGGTGGGGTGGGGGGAACCGCACACCAGACTGTAGCCCAGAGGAATTAGAGCAGTTTGCTTAAGGGCAGCGCAAATTGCTGGGGGCTGCAAGGAGAGGAGGAAACGGCCAAGGGGCTTTGGAGGAGGAGGGGGGCAGTGTTGGGAGAGTTTCTGGCTTGTCTGGAAACAGCAAGACTAATTGCCATGCGCTTCCGGTTTGAAACTGGCAGCAGACAACATCTTGAAAATGAGTCACTGCAGCTCACAAAGAAACTCTGTGGTTTTCTCCTTCTCAGGTTTATGTATTTGCTCTTTTACAGTTTCCTTTGTAGTTTTGAGAGAGAGCGAGAGCTGGAGAGTTTCCTTCACTCTCACCCTCTGCCTCCACCAAACCCCCTCCCCACTCCATTTTTATATTTTACACCATCAGTTTAAAAAAAGGGGGGGGAGAGACTGGAGAGTTGTTTTTGGATCTGGCTGTGCTGAAGGTTAGAGGGACTCTGATGCTGCAGGAGGAAAAAGTTCCCTGAATTTTCCACTGGCTGCAGGAAGAGAGCCCATTTAGTCATGGCTAAGTAATGTCTGCACACACCAACTAATCTCATTAGGAGTTTCCGTTCCCTAACACAGGAGGGTTTTGTGAAGCCCTCTCAGCTTTTCTGCCCACTACTGTTGAAAGCGAGACAAGTTACATCTTTATTTAGTCAGGGTGGTGGGGTGGTGGGACCTACTTAATTTAATGCAGCGTCTTTTTTATCATGTGATCTTGAATGGCTTTTTAAATGACAAAGGACACAATGGTTTCATTTTAATGTTCCTAAAATAAGGGCTTTACCCTTTATTTTGCCTTTTTATGCTTTTTTATTGGTTTTAGGGCTTTGATGTGTAATATTTGAAAATGGGATCTACCGTATCTTATTAGTTCCCGCCTCCTTCCTTCCATCTCTTTTAGTAAATAGAGGATGATAAAATGTTTATCTAAAAGCAAATATATGCTAACTGCATTTGGCCAAATTCTCTTGCAACTAATGCGTGCAATTTTGTGATTATTTTAAAATATTATATGACATTTGCATTTTAACTTATTTTTGTACTGAAATAACTTTCGTACCCCGAATGCAAATGATTGGAGGCTGTCCTGTCTAGGGCTGAATGCGTCTGTCACATTCCTGTGTACCACTATCAAATTTCTAACTGATGAGGTTACCAGGCATCTGGGGATTTTCCTAGCCATAATTGCATTAATATCCAAAAACAAAAACATTTTATCCAGGATTGGCACCCTTTGGATACAAATGGAGAATATCAGGATCATTGTGTGTTTGAAAAAAGTGTAATAGGTATTGGTTTATTGCACTTTTATTTTGGTTTTCCCATGTTCCTGCAAAACCTGATATGCGATGGTTTAGAAATTCAATAAATTGTAGAATTCCAGGTGGCTGCAGTGGCTAGGAGTGCTTTCTATCAATTGCTGTGGGCATCCGTCTGCCTCAGGCGACAATGGAGGGTGCACCTTTGGGGGTGAAGTCAATTACATTTTCTGTGTTGACTTCACTATTTACCTTTGAGTAGTGGCCTGAGAATTACCATCCAGGCTTTTGTAACTTCAAGGACTGACTGTTGTAGTATTGCTGAACATGGCCATATTCAACAGGCACTTGGCTCAGTCTTGGGCTGCGAGCACCTATGCAAAATGCTGGGTTTGACCTTTAAAATGGTGCATACAGTGAATACTTTATCAGTGTCTGCTGTTTTCTGGAGAAGTTATGCTCAGACCCTTACGATCATAGACATTTGATGAGCGGTGGGATGGAGTACAGCCTTTTGAATAGTGGTACATAAACTTCAGAATAGGGACAACCAACTTGGCATCCTCCAGATGTTGTTGGTTGCATTCCAACTCTCATGAGCCATGGTTGACTTGGCCAGTGTTCAGTGATGATGGAAGATGTAGTCCCAACAACATTTGGAGGGTACCACTTTGGCTCTAGAACATTATTCCCAAAGAAGCACAACTCCAGATGGGTGGTTTTTGCAGGTGTATTCTGCAACATGTGATGATGCAATAATAGTGGTGGATTTATAGTGAACCATCCATATATCATTCCACTTTTAGGGCCGGACAATATATCAATATATTGTCTTATATCAATATCAAGAGCAAATCATGATAACAATTAAAAAATAATAATTAGCTGGCAATATATTGTGAATCGTGTGTGTCTTTGTGTGTGATAGTCAAAAAGCATGATACAATGGTACCTTGGTTTAAGAACAGCCCTGTTTACGAACCATTCGGTTTACGAACTCTGCAAAACCGGAAGTAGTGTCCCAGTTTGCGAACTTTACCTCGGTCTAAGAATGGAAGCCGAACGGTGGAAGGGCACTGCCGGCAGGGGGCCTTATTAGGGAAAGCATGCCTCGGTTTAAGAATGGTTTTGGTTTAAGAACAGACATCCGGAATGGATTAAATTTGTAAACCGAGGTACCACTGTATTGTGAAAATTGGGAAGCCAATGCTTCTTCCTGTCCTGTGCAGCCGTTGCCATTGCTATCTCTGCCTCAGCTGCTCTTCCGTGCCTCCTGTAGCGGCAGCAGCAGACTGATGCAAAATTTGCTCTTTGATAAACTGTGTGTGCACTGCAGGGTGGCTTTCTGCCTTAGCTCTCGGTCTCCCCTGCCTGCCTCCTCAGTGGCAGGCAAAAATCGTCCTTGGAGATATCGTGTGCACGCACATGCGTGCAGCCTAACTCCGCCTGAGCGCTCTGTTTCCTGAGCAGGTAGAGCTGAACAGCCTGCAAGTGGGAACTTCCCTCCATCAGAGACGCCAGGCTCTTGCTGAAAGGCAGGCACCAAGTTGGTAAGAGGCTTAGGTAGAAGTGTGGCTTCTGGAATCTGGAGCCCCTTTCCTCCTCCAGTTCTCATGTAAAAACATAAACTTGGGTAATAGGAAAAAGAAAAAGAAAAACATGCTGCTCAAGCATAAGACCCCCTCCTTTTTTGCTGTGCTTGTTTGTTGCAGGTGGGTGTGTGGTTGTCTGTATACACCTAAGCTGATTAGAACTCAGTCAAAATAAAATGTGGTATATCTATACCAGGCTTCCGCAAACTCGGCCTTCCAGATGTTTTTGGCCTACAACTCCCATGATCCCTAGCTAGCAAGACCAGTGGTCAGGGATGATGGGAATTGTAGTCTCAAAACATCTGGAGGGCCGAGTTTGAGGAAGCCTGATCTACACCCATATATATCTTCATTCACCATGCTTGTTAGTAGGCATTCAGTAGCTCTGATAAGAAAGAAATATTGGGGGATTTGTTTTGTTTTTGTGAACAGAAATGCTGGTATAATAACATAGTACCATACACACCAGGATTTGACAAAAGACCTCACTACTAACACGTAGGCAAGGAGCTTTTTAACCCTATGACTAGAAATTGGGGGGCAGGCGGGCAGGGAGGGTATCCTGCCACCTCTTCAGTTTTCAAGATACGCAACAGATGTGGGGAGCAGGACAACAAAACAGAGAAGTGTTTCTGCACTCCTTTCATATATAGTTTAGCTTGTGTTGCAGTTGGAGTAGGGTTACATGTTTTCAACCACTTAAGTCTCAGATTTTCAGCAGTGATGATTTCATTATGCATCAGGAGGGTTTTAATAAGGTCTACTGACACGAAAATACATAAATAAAAATTCTGTACAAATTTTATAATCTGTATGAAATAGGCAAATGAAGCATACTTGAATATATTTTCTGGTTTTGTTAATTATGGGAAGGTAGAATAATTACTCAGGTCAATGTTGAACTCCCAGTATTTATTTATTTATTTATTTATTTATGTGATTTTGCACAAGCTGCAAGCGAGCTTGCAACAAAAGCAAATAGATAAAATAGGGTTACTGTACATCTGGAATTCCCCGGGATTTAACAGGTGAAAATAGCACCCAGGGGGAATTTTGGAAAACTGGCAAAATGTCCAGGATTTTGAGATTGAGTTTAAAAAGCTCGGCAACTATGAGCTTCCTTAAAAAATCTCAACAACTTTTGTGTCGTGAATTTTACTTCTAGAAATATGGCAACGCTAGATAAAATCATTCACAATAACAAATCATTGCTGCCAGTATCCAAAGCACTCTTTCAGGTAGTGCAAGGATTCCACTGAATAACACTGAAAAAGATGTGTCTTAATCAACCACCTGAAACTATAGCGAGATGGGGCAACATACACCTCAGTAGGGTGAGGAACCCCCACCATGAAAAGGCCATTTCCTAGGCTCCCACACCACATACCTCATCCTGCATGGGGACCACAAGAAGGGCTTCATCTGTTGGTTATGGGCCAGTCAATATGGAATAAGCCATTCTTACAGATATTTGGATCCCAAGGTGTTCAGGGCTTAATACCTTGCATCGGGCCCAGAAAATAATTGGCATCCAACGTAGCTGTTTTTAAAAGAGGGTAATGTTATTGTGGCCTGCTGCTTGTAGGTATTAGCCTGATTGCTGCATTATTTTGTACTAGTTGTAATTTCCATAACATCTTCAGTGGTAGACCCATGTGAAGTGCATTATAGTAGTCCAGTAGAAATCCAGCTGCTTCTTGCAGCATTGGAAATTTTGCCTGGCATTGCACAAGCGCATTTTAAAAATTACCTTTGGAGGCATAAGGACTGCACCCTTCTTGAGTGATTTTTGGCTGGCTGGAATGTGGCCTTGAACATAATGTTTCTTGCTTGCTGGCATAGATGGAGGATAGAGAGCTGTGAAGATGGGCATAGAAACCTCTGACTTCTACGTCACCTGCAGTGTTAGGAGTATTTTTTAAGCATAAACTGCACAATCACAATCACTTCACACAATTTTGGGATTAGAATTTCCTGATTAGAATGCATGGATTTCAGGGAAACCTATAACATCTCATAAATTAAATGATTCAGGCAGCATTCTTATGGTAAGTCCCATTGATCTTTCTGTAATACATTGTAATACTAAGTAGGCATATATATGATGGACTACCTTTTGTTTATTGGTATTTCTACCAACTTATAAACAAAGGAATTAACTTCAAATATTATTGGTTTTTTTCTGTTTTTAAATGAGAACCTGATTTTAATTTGTTCATGATTTAGAATGATGCAGCAGGGCTAGCTAAATGTTTGCTGGCCCAGGACCAAAATATTTAGGAGAGGGCATGCCTACAGAACAGGTATGCATACAGAAACAAGCCCCCCAAAACATGATGCTGTGTGTGGATTGAAGTGACACTTTTGAGACTAGGAGGCAAGTGGCTTTGACAGTTGTAGCTAAAGCAGAGGTGAAATAGCTTTAGAAAAGTTTTGTATTACGAGATTGGCATGAATCAAGGTAATTCTTATATTAATTTCCTGGTTTGCTTATTTGGATATTCAGATTCATGTGACTGTAAATGATGTAAATGTAAAGGATGTAGATGTACAGTGGTACCTCGGGTTACAAACACCTCGGGTTACAATCACTTTGGGTTACAGACTCCGCTAACCCGGAAGTAATACCTTGGGTTAAGAATTTTACCTCAGGATGAGAACAGAAATTGCGCGGCAGCAGCAGGAGGCCCTATTAGCTAAAGTGGTACCTCAGGTTAAGAACGGTTTCAGGTTAAGAATGGACCTCTGGAATGAATTAAGTTCGTAACCAGAGGTACCACTGTATAGCTGATGTTCGGGAAGGTGGTGGTAGGGTTTGGCAGCATGCCCTCCCTTATCCTTACATGTTTGCTTACACCTGAGGAGACTCAGTGTCCACGTAGGGCAGAGAGATCTGGTACAAATGTAAGACGACTATGAGAATGATCTTTTGAGGAACCTTGCACTTTTGTACCACTGCTGCCTCCTCTCCTTTCTTCTTAGCATGAAGCAGTCTCTTTCCTGGTTTTGTGGCAAACCATAGTTTATCATTCTGTCTCAACTGGAAAAACTATTTTATATGATTGCCCTGCAAAACAGGATTGAAAAGCAGAGCTGGATCCTAGTTTCTGGTTCTGATTTATAGGGCAAGCACAACTATATCTTGCTGGTTTGAATGAGATGGCAGAGTATGCTTTGCCTGAAGCAAGGAAAGAAAAGAGGTCATCGCTTTACATGATGGTAGGAGGAAGCAGGTGTGCCTGAAGCTGCTTAAAAGCTGATTCTCGTAACACCAACCGTGGTGTGGTGTTATGTCTGGACTACCCGAAACAGGTGGAGTCCTTTGCTACTAAGTAGACTATCTGCTCCTAATTATGCATCTTGAAGGCCTAATGTACACGGGATCAGGAAGTGCACAATTTATTCTGATAGATTGCCAAAATGTGAAGAAACCAGCTGCACACTTGTATGTAAAGCATGGTACGTGTAGAAAAAACCCCAGCTTCTTAAAGAGAAAAGTATGTTGTTAAAATAATCAATGTTCTTCAATCCATGTGTGCCACGGTGTGCTAGATAACTGTCTTAGAAATAAGAGATGGAAAATAATTTCTCCTTGAAACATAAGTGATGAGACACAAGGCACTTACGTATATACTACAGTGGTGCCTCGCAAGACGAAATTAATCCGTTCCGCGAGTCTCTTCGTCTTGCGGTTTTTTCGTCTTGCGAAGCACGGCTATTAGCGGCTATTAGCAGCTTAGCGGCTATTAACGGCTTAGCGGCTATTAACGGTTTAGCGGCTTAGCAGCTTTAAGAAAAAGAAAACAAACTCGCAAGAACTCGCAAGACGTTTCGTCTTGCGAAGCAAGCCCATAGGGAAATTCGTCTTGCGGAATGACTCAAAAAACGCAAAACCCTTTCGTCTAGTGAGTTTTTCGTCTTGCGAGGCATTCGTCTTGTGGGGCACCACTGTACAGTGGTACGTCGGGTTACATACGCTTCAGGTTACATACGCTTCAGGTTACAGACTCTGCTAACCCAGAAATATTACCTTGTGTTAAGAACTTTGCTTCAGGATGAGAACAGAAATCGTGCTCTGGCGGTGCGGCGGCAGCAGGAGGTCCCATTAGCTAAAGTGGTGCTTCAGGTTAAGAATAGACCTCTGGAATGAATTAAGTACTTAACCCAAGGTACCACTGTATAACTTTAGGCTTCTGGGAGCAAAACAAAACAAAAAACAAACCTCCTAGTGTGAGCTCAATGTTATTTTCTTTTCTGAACACAGCTCCTTCCAGGGCATCAGAGACATGCCTGAAAGTCTTCTTTTTTGCAGGGGAGTGAAGTTGATGTGGACCCCAGCTTCTAATTGAAATAGATGTAACCTTGTTTTTAGCAAACCTGATACACTTCATGCTCCATGATTTCCTCAACAATTGTGCAGTCAGTTGTCCTGTAGTGTTTCATTCCCTTCTTTGCAATTCTTAAAAAAAAAAAAAAAGTTTAACTTACTAAACTATTGTGGTTCCAATTCACCTCTATCAAAACAAATAAGAAAGCAAAACTACCAAATGTCTAAGCTAACTGGGATCCTTTCTATCCCCAGCAATGTGTTGAAATAGGGTGTGGTATGGATGATCTTAGGGCAGCATTCACTTATGCAAGGACTTTTGCTTGCCTCCCTATTGCCCCCTGTATCCCCCCTATATTGGCTTGGGGGGTGGGGTTGGAAGAATCCTAATAACAGTGCAAGGGGGAGCAGTGGTGTAGCTAGCCGCTCGGGTGCCTGGTGCGGGGGCGTGTCCTGCAGTTGGGGGCAGGGCGAGCCTCTCCAACGCTTGGAGCCTCTCTGCCACCTCCCCTTCAGTTGTAGGGCAGCTGAGGGAGAGGCAGTAGGCAGACACAAGTCCCACACCGCCGTTTCAGGCAGCGCGGAACCTGCAGGAGCCTAAGCCACCATGTCACTCCTAAAAAGTTTTGTGAGCCCAATTTTTTAAATGGGGAGTGGGTATTGTTATGATTGGCAAACTGGAATGCTTGTGCAGATGGAACAACAGGAAGAACACAATGTTGAATTTCTGCCCTTAGCAGTTTCCCTGTATTGTAAATTCAGTTTTTATGAACTTGCACCACTTCAAAGACACCAGAATAGAGTCCCCTCTGATTTTGTACATTTTTTTTACCTATACATTTATCTTTGTACCAAAAACATCATCACGAGAGGGATGAAGGGGTCCTTTGGACCCCAGAATTAAATTTTGCTGTAGGGAATTAATTATAAATTAATTAATTGTCTTCATCTTGGTGCAGGAGCAATGCTGTAGTTGTAAAACTTGAAGCAAAGGAGCTCATCATGGCTCAATAGTTGAGGACATGTTTTGCATGCAAAATGTCCCAGGTTCAATCTCTGGCATCTCTAGTTTGGGCTGGCGGAGACCAGTGCCTGGGGCACCAGACAGCTCCTGCCAATCTGGGTGGACGACACTGAGCTAAGTAGGGACCAACGCTCCTATGTCCTTTTCAGCACCCCCTCCTTAGCCACATCCCCAAGGAGAGTCTTAAGAACACAGGCAGCTGTACTGTTCCACTATACAGTGGTACCTCGGGTTACATACGCTTCAGGTTACATACGCTTCAGGTTACACACACTTCAGGTTACAGACTCCGCTAACCCAGAAATAGTACCTCAGGTTAAGAACTTTGCTTCAGGATGAGAACAGAAATCGTGCAGTGGCGGCGCGGCAGCAGCAGGAGGCCCCATTAGCTAAAGTGGTGCTTCAGGTTAAGAACAGTTTCAGGTTAAGAACGGACCTCCGGAATGAATTAAGTACTTAACCCGAGGTACCACTGTAATATATAAATACATATACAGTGGTACCTCGGGTTACAGACGCTTCAGGTTACAGACTCCACTAACCCAGAACTTTGCTTCAGGATGAAAACAGAAATCTTGCGGCGGCAGCAGGAGGCCCCATTAGCTAAAGCGGTACCTCAGGTTAAGAACAGTTTCAGGTTGAGAACGGACCTCCAGAACGAATTAACCAGTGTACTCACAAGCGGATACACCCATATACCAAAGAACAGCAGTACATAGCCTTAATATCCATTTTTTATTTGTAATTTTCTTTTAAAAACAAAGACTCAGTTAGACTACTGGAATACTTCAGATATTTATTCTGAGCTCAGTTTTTCATCTAAGCATTTTTTTGCTTCTGTTTTTTCTCCCATTAACATTATGGGGTCCAATGTGCCCCAGTAGCTTTTGGAATGTGATATGCCAATACATCCCCCCCTCCCCTGTTAAGCTGAGATCATTTAAAAAAATCATAGCTTTTATTTCCAGCCAGAACTTTAAAGGGACTCAGGGAACTCCAATCGCAGATCAACACTGTTAAAAATAATGGGGGATAAACTGATGGAGGAGCCTGTATTCAAGAGAAACCTCTGAATCTCCCTCTGGGGGCGCTCTCCTGAAGACCGTAAATGGAATATGATCCCTCTGGGTATCAGCTGCTGTTGACAAAGAGCAATATCTATCTGCACTATGTCCTGCTTATGAGTTTTCTGTAAGCTGGACTATTATGAATCTGTAGCCTGATATTTAGTAGAGCAATTATTATGTTCTTAATGGTTCCAAACAAGGAACCGTTTGTTGCCCTTGCATGGTATAGGGAGCCAGGGTTTGCTATTGGATAATATTTTAGATCTTGATTAAAAAAATAAAATAATCTATGGCGGCTTGGAGTAAGGCCATTACAGGTTAACTACTTTAAAAGTTAAAACAAATTAAGTTTGCTTGCATTGCAGATAATGCATTTGAAGAAGGGAAATTTTGGTGGGATATCAGCGTAGAGCAGAATAGTTAAAAACCCCGAGATGTCCTGAAAAATGGACTGGTAAGGGCCTCTATAATTATTATATTTACATTTCCTATACTTAATTGTGGTGTCCTTTGGGTTACGGTAATTTGTGTTGGGACTACTCCAGGATACATTTCAACTGATTCATGTCAAAAGTAGCCTGTTTATTTACACTATACACACCCTTCACTTCCGTAAATGCTGACTCATGGCCTAGCTGTAGTGGAGCGCTGAGCACTTTGCAAAGTGGTTCTTTATTTATTTTTGCTTTTGCCACGTTGAATATGGGCACCGCTTGCCTGCCAGAAAGGTATCTGTTGGCCTTGAGCTCTTCTCTGTCATTGCAAGCCACGCCCAATGTTGTTACAACAGGCCATGATGACATGCTTGCTCTGAAACGCATACTTTCCCATGCCAACTCTTGGTTTATTCTGCTATTTTCTGCGGTTTGCTCCTTCACTATTTTGCACAATAAACATCGCATAGATTTGAGTGATGATGCATGTTTGTTTTATTTGAAGCTTTTTTTGCTTTAATGAATCAGCTAGTATTTTGGAGACTTTAGAGAAAGACAAGAGCATATTTGTTCTTAAGAATTTTGTTGAATTATGTATGACTTCAGAATTAGTCATGATTTAGAGTGGAATGTCAAGATGTAGGAACAGGAAGTCAAGCTTACTAAACATTGAAATAAAACACTAAAGCACAAAGTGTTTTAAAATGTATATAGTTTGGATTGTATAGGTTCTTTCTTGAGAACAGGATTAATTTTGATGTTGGGATACACTTTCTCAAAGTATTTGTTCAAGTGCTGGCACTTAAAAGCTGTTCCAACTGTTGATGATACTTGTATTTGTATGACGGGAGACAAGGTGGGGACATATGCAGCAGATGGATAAACTCAGGCTAGTGGAAGAGTTATCAAAAACACAAAACTTTTCAACCTGTTCCCATGAACACAAATTAATGGACGTAGGGCTTGTAGCCTGGAAAAAGCTACACACTGACTAATAGTCAATATGGTTCAGTTTATGTACATCCTGTACCAGCAGCACTCTCATCACTACAGAATACTGAAACGCAGCTGAAGGCTAGAACAGGCAGTTGCAGGATGTCTTAGCACCCTGCTGAAAAAGAGAAACAAGGAAATGGAAGACACTCCAAGGAACTGGAAAACAAGTATGGAGTCAACATAAATCCCAATTAGGGTGCCGTGTCTTCCTTCAAGCCCTTCACAGCAGGCACCAGAACTCTAAAGGACGCACATACAGTAACCTAGTGTGGAACAAACCAGTGCAATATTCATTTGGCCATAGGTCAGAGAAACCCGTAATACATAGTAATCTGCTTTGAGACATTATGGAATTGCCTTTCTAGGAATGCTTTGAGGAAACACTGGGCATGCATTTGCTGCGAATGATTTAGGTATGAGAAACCCAGGACTTACAAAGCACATCACTACTAGCATATAGTTGGTTTATCTGCGGCTAACTACGATTAGACAAGCACTGAATAATTTATTTTAAAATTTGATAAGGTGCATGTGTGTTAGTTTCCTCAATCATGTTTATTTGAGTTTAATGTAAGCTTAGTTGTTTTTCTTTGCACATAATGTACCGGTATTCAGTTTTATATTGTTTTATCCCATGAGCCACTCTGCTGAAACATGCATAGTAAAGTTTCTTGTAAAATCAAATAATGCTTACAAGAGGTTTCTTTTATGCACGGAATGGCGCAGGAATAGATATTTTTCTGAAACCTATATTACATTTTTATAACAAAGGATCTGCCTTTTTCTTCAAACTTTGTCCATTAGTGTTATGCTGCATATTAATACAGGTGAAACTCAAAAAATTAGAATATTGTAGAAAAGTTCATTTATTTCAGTAATTCAACTTAAAAGGTGAAACTAATATATGAGATAGACTCATGACATGCAAAGCGAGATATGTCAAGCCTTTATTTGTTATAATTGTGATGTTTATCACGTACAGCTGATGAAAACCCTAAATTAACAATCTCAGAAAATTAGAATATTAAATGAAATCAGCAAAACAAGGACTGCAAATAGATCAATATTGGACCTCTGAGAAGTAGAAGCATGCACATGTACTCAGTACTTGGTTTGGGCCCCTTTTGCATCAATTACTGCCTCAATGCGGCATGGCATGAATGCTATCAGCCTGTGGCACTGCTGAGGTGTTTTGGAAGACCAGGAAGTTTCAATAGCAGCCTTCAGCTCTTCTGCATTGCTTGGTCTCATGTCTCTCATCTTTCTCTTGGCAATGCCAAGAGTTCAGGGTTCAGGTCAGGCGGGTTTGCTGGCCAATCAAGCACAGAAATCCCATGTCCATTGAACCAGGTTTTGGTACTTTTGGCAGTGTGGGCAGGTGACAAAAGTCCTACTGGAAAATGAAATCAGCATCCCCATAAAGCTTGTCTGCGGAAGGAAGCATGAAGTGCTCCAAAATCTCCTGGTAGACAGCTACGTTGACCCTGGAATTAATGAAGCACAGTGGACCAACACTAGCTGATGACATGGCTCCCCAAATCTTTTTTCTGATGAGAGCAGCTTTTGCATCTCATTTGGAAACCAAGGACCCAGAGTCTGCAGGAAGAATGGGGAGGCACACAATGCCAGATGCTTGAAGTCTAATGTGAAGTTTCCACAGTCTGTGTTGATTTGGGGAGCCATGTCATCAGCTGGTGTTAGTCCATTAAGTTAATTTGAAACTTTCACAGTTTATTTTAACTATCTGGAACACCTTTCCCCAAGGAAACATGTGGAAAAATTCCTTAGTAATTCTTATTTCAAATTAAAACAAATGTTGTTGTTGTTTTCACGGAGTTAGTGTATAATTATAGTGGCAAAATGCTGAACAACTCAGTCAATCTGATTAATTCTTTGCCAGAGACCTACAAAATTTAGGTTGGAAGTATGGATGATATCCAACTAAGTTGTACTCAGAGTAGACCCACTGAAACCAATGGCCTTAAGGTCATTGGTTTCAGTGGGTCTACTGTGGGTATGATTAATGCAGGATATCACTTTATACTGCTAAGTGTAGAAAACTTCAATTCTTTCTCTCAGTTGTACAGCAATATGTCTTTTGTGGGTTGCATTCCCCCATAAAGTAATCAAGCAGCCCATGTGTTTGTAGAAGCACAAATACCCAGATGAAATCTATGCAAGGAGGGCCTGCCACATCTTGATAAATTCTGGGGAATGTTGCGTAAATGAAACAATCTTAGAAATGATGGAGCAACTCCTGCTTGACCAAAGCACTGTGTGTACATTAGAACCCCATAGAGCTTTGGATCATGGCCGAGGTGCCACGTATTATTAGTGCAAAAATGGAAAACAGATAAGGTACCAACAAAGGAAGAATGGCATGTTAAACTGTTGGAATATGCAGAGCTAGCAGGGGTGACCATTAGAATAATAAATCAAAATGATGAAAGATATAAGGAGGACTGGATATTGTTTATTGAATATATGAAAAGTATTATAAGCAAACAATTTACCTAGCAGGATGGTAAGATTTTCAGCAGTGTAAAAAATAGCTAACGTTTATAAAAGTGGTTGTGATAGGGTGAATCAAGAGAGCTAGCATGATGTGTAGTGGCTGGAGTGTTGAACTAAGAATGGGGAGATGCAGGTTCAAATATTCATTCAGCCATGAAGCTTACTGGATCACCTTGGGCCAGTCTCTATCTCACAGCCTAGCCTTCCTCTCATATAGAAGGTGTTAAGTTGTGGGTGAACATATCAGACGACACAGCGATTCTTCAGACAGCTCTTGTTTATTCACAGGCCAGAACAGAACAGAACTGAAGGGTTCAGCCAGCCTGCTTATATAGAGGTCCACTACAATGCAACAGTAATAACTTTCTGTAACTATCCAATCACTGAACGTCACTTTCAATTCCTAATTTGCATATGTGGACCTGAGTGAAAACTATCTACAGTATCCCTCTGCCGGCCCAGGGTGAGAACTTCAGTACATAACAGAGGGTTTTTGTGGGGGACCTTGTATGCCACATTGAACTCTGTGGCAGAAAGGTGGGATACAAAAGCAACATAGGAAAAAAATATCCTATTGAGAAGACCATCAGCTGTAGAACCGCTTGGTTTTCTTGTGTTCCTTTGCTCAGGAGATCTACATGCATCAAGTCCCCAGAAGTGTTGTGTCGTCTTGTATTTTGTAGTAGTAGCAGGAGTAGTAGTAGGTTTTTTTTGGGGGGGGGGCGGCTGGCTCTAGCAACTTGTTAGCATATTCCTAGACCTGTAACCCATGTAAACTCAGTGTTACCTACAATGTTTCCAAGCTCAAACAAAACTTGTAGGACTCAAGGTACTGAATATTTTGAACAATTCCTTCATGACAGATACCTTATGAAGAAACTAACGGTTTCTTCTGACCTATAAAATATAAACAAAGCTGTAGCCTATGCCCTTTTTCTGTCTGCAGTTGGTGTTTAATGAGAGATTAAACTTCATTTAAAAATTCAGCCAACTAGGATTAGATTCATGTCCAAGCAGCCATGTACAGGTGCCCAAGTGCTTCTGTGTGCTCAGCAGGGCTCTTTGAACTTTCCCTTCTGAATACTGCACCTTGTTCTTCATTGGGCCATATTTCAGAGTGGTCTTTGTACAGGGAGCTATGTTGGGGAGGGAGATTCAGGTGTGTGTGCTCCTGTTCATGCCTGCAAGCACTGCCCATAACATTTTCCATCTCCACCCCTTCTATAGGGAAACAGTGAATGGGTAACACAAACCCAAAGAAAGAGAACCACCAAGGCTCACTTCTTTAATGGAATCTAAGATGGATTTTAGTTTCGCAGTACTAATATTTGGCTTCTCGCAGTGCAGTCCTAGCCATGTCTACTCAAGTTAAGTTCTGTTGAATTCAATGGGGTTTAGCCCCAGCTAAGTGGCATGTTACACTAAACATAGGTGTGAGCTGTCTCTATACAGGTACATCTGCTTGTGTGAAAGAGTATATACATTTGTTGATTTGTTCAGCTCGGCTGTCGTGTACACAGGTACACAGATTGTACACATGTTGAACATTGCATGTAAATCATTGTATGAGTGTACAGCTCAAACTATTTGTGTACACTCGTTCAATCCCAACAGAGGGCTTTGCAGTGGCAGCCAGGAATATAAAACTTAAAATGCTTACACAGGACTTTTCCCTTTACATGCTTTAACAACCCTTGGGTTGAGCTTCCCGTGACATCAGGGATGTTTCTATACTTGAAAAGTACAGCCTACGCTGTGTAATATTTCTAGCACTGATGGATAGACTTGTAAAAATGTGTTGCCCCATTTAGCCTGTTTACTGTCAGTATAGCAAGCCACCTTCTGGTGAGAAAAACCGTTGGGAGGAGAGTCCAGAAGAGGTGGGGAGAATAGAAGCTTCAAAGTCTATTCAAAGTATAGATTTGTCAGTGAGGAAGGAGTGTAATAAATATTACTGGGGGAACAACTAAGCCAGGGGTCAGCAAACTTTTTCAGCAGGGGGCTGGTCCACTGTCCCTCAGACCTTGTGGGGGGCCGGACTATATTTTGAAAAGAAAAAAAATGAATGAATTCCTATGCCCCACAAATAACCCAGAGATGCATTTTAAATAAAAGGACACATTCTACTCATGTGAAAACACGCTGATTCCCAGACCATCCGCAGACCGGATTGAGAAGGTGATTGGGCCAGATCCGGCCCCCAGGCCTTAGTTTGCCTACCCATGAACTAAGCAGTCGTATACAAGTAGCAATTACTGGTTTCTGTTTCATCCTGATCACATCTAAGTTTTCCATGTTTAAAGAAGGGGTAGCCATCTCAAGTTTTATGTAAGTCAGCAAAATAATTATCTCTCTGCCACACGGACATGAGAAGAATACAGCAAGATTCATATGGAAAGAATAAAGATACAGGCTGGCTTTGAACCTGGAACCGAATGCTGTGCCAATATGCCACAGATGCTCACCACATGAGCGGGGCAGGAAGCAAGATGAGCCTGTGCACATTTTTATTTCCATCCCATGATAGATTTTTGGAACCAGTATAGATTTATGGGCTTTTTGGTTACCCTTTGAAACATCTGAACAGGTTGGATTTTAAAAGCCTTAATGAGGAGGAACTAGCAACATTTCCTTCCTGCTGAAGGCAGTTTCCCCAGTCTAGGAAGAATAATCTGTGTGCAGACTCAAGCTTTTATGTGAGGCTTGCATTGCTTGAGGAGACCTGGAATAGCAAAGATGCATAGAGTAAAAAAAGGAGCAAACCCTACATTCAGCATCCTATAGGGTGGTATGTAGGGCAATTCTTGCAGGGCTGGGCTTGCATTCACATCTCCTAAGGGATGACTTGTTAAGTGTGTAATTAGTTTTGTTAAATTAAGTGGTATAACATTTTTATAAATAAAAGTACTGGTGTAGTAAACTTCAGTAGCAAAAATGAACTGCTAGGATGCTGTAGAACCAGGACTCACACGGACTCCTCTACCACCACCTCCGGGCCAACAGGGATCTGGTATGGTCAACGTTAACAAGGCTGGCCTGGGGTGCATTGTTGGAGGTGATAGTGCAACAAATATAGCTATTGAAGCTATCAAAATCTTGACTGAAACTATCTGGAGGCAGAAGAATTCAAAAGGTGGTAGGGGAGAAGAAAAACTAAAAGGAAGATAGCGTGTAGGGGAGAAATGCATAACATTTTGAAATATTAGTGAGCAAATTTCAAGCATGCCTATGAGATTAAGGGAGAGGAGAAATGTTATAGCTAAGAGGAAAGTTGAATAGGGCAAGTTTAAACTGTCAGAAAATATAAGAACATTTGACAGGTACTTTAATTGTCTTTAAAAGCAGCTCTTCACATTTTGGAACATCGCAGCTTTGGCTATGGCAGGCACCTCAAAAGTCATCCAGTACCTCTTTATATATTAAGTCAAAACTTAAGTTACCCCTAACATTGATGTATATGGTCACATTCTACTAATGTAAAAACACGCTGATTCCTGGACCATCCGTGGTGATTGGGTCGGATCTGGCCCCCAGGCCTTAGTTTGCCTGCCCATGGTTTAATCTCTGCACTAGCTTTTTAAGGACATAGCATGGGATTTTTAAGATTTAAGCCTCATACCTAATCACTCACCTTTTCACAGCAGTTTCCTTGAAAGCATACTGTGATGCATACATACATGACTGATAGGCTCTAAAGTGCTACAGGCAATGCATTTAACTTCTGCCTGGAAGAGTTCAGTTCAGCTTGAAAGTTTACTGTCTTGCTTAATCAGTTGCTGCAACAAAAGACACAATATTCCAAATGGCTCTGGAAACTTTCTGTGTTGTTGCTGGTTTTCTGAAGCCATCTTAGAGGCTTCAGGAGTTGCAAAAAATTCTTAAATGTTTCCACTGGGTGGTGCTGCAGGAATTCCTACCTTTTAACTAATATCTGGCTTTCCCAGAAAGACGCCTCTGAAATATAATAGGAGGAAGTCCTGATTTAGATTATACAGTGTCATCATATTGGGGCGGGGGGGCGCAGGCATGAGGATGCACTGACTGGGAAATGATGCAGTTCTGGCTATGGAAAACAGGATCATCAAATATTGTGTCAGTTACCAGAGAGAGAGAGAGAGAGAGAGAGAGGAAAATTTGCTAAAGCTCAGTGAAATCTATCTTAAAACCTACAAGAGAATTACCGGTTTAGATGAAAATCTGCATTAATAATACAGAGATGTATGTGCCTAGGACTCACTTTACTTTGTTATAAACTTGTTTTTAATGTGATATTTTAAATTGTTGTGTCCTGGGTGGGTAGTAAAATCAAAATATAGTACGGTGGTACCTCGGGTTAAGTACTTAATTCGTTCTGGAGGTCCGTTCTTAACCTGAAACTGTTCTTAACCTGAAGCACCACTTTAGCTAATGGGGCCTCCTGCTGCTGCCACGCCGCCGGAACATGATTTCTGTTCTCATCCTGAAGCAAAGTTCTTAACCCGAGGTACTATTTCTGGGTTAGCGGAGTCTGTAACCTGAAGCGTCTGTAACCCAAGGTACCACTGTAGTTATATACTGCACATGTTACACATTTCCTTGCAAGTCCAACTTTTAACAGTTGAATCATACCGCGTGGCCCCTCCTCTTGTATTCTGTAAAGCACCATGAACACTGATAGTGGGATGAAGATGACAATTTGAGCCCTCACCCAGCAAAACTCAGTATCCAGTAAAGAACAAATTCCCTGTGACCTACAATGCTTACATGAAATCTCTCCTCGGATTCACAGACTGCAGTGGCGTTACATGGGAAATGCCCCGTCCCCAAATCAAAATGGTAGCTATTCATTTGTAGTCAGCCATTCAGTGTGAAAATAAATGTTCCCTCTATTTACTTTCCTTTAGGGATCTCATTACTTACCTTAACTATTTATTCACTACTGCAGGCCTTTGTCTTGCAGAGGGTGAGAAGGGTGTTGAAAATACCTGAGAAAGTATTATCATATGCCACAGTTTCCCATTCAAAAGAAACTACAGATCACATTGATCACTCCCACTTCCATACTATCAAAGGAAAACCTGTATTTTGGATAGCTGTCGGGTACATGGGCCAGGGCTTTTAAAGATGCATGTACCCACAGCAATAGTATTTGCTGCTGCATAAGGTGAGAAAACGCCAGAACAGGAAAGATCCAGGAACCAGCGTGGTCTGAGCAGTCTGCATTGTTGACTTCCTCTTGCCGCAGTAGGAAAGCCCTACCTTTTCCTGGGGATGTGCTTTCCATATGCTTGTGTGAGATTGTATCCAACTGGGAATAGGGGCAGCTGTCTTGTGGACATGTCCTTATTGTGACATATAGATATTATGCAACTGCCACAGGATGCATCACGTATATGAAGGTGTGTGTGTATCTGTGTGTGTGTATCTGTGGAAAACACTCCATGCATCTAACAAAGTGAGATTTTGCCCATGAACACTTACGTATGCTCAATAAATCTCTTAATTTTTTAAGGAATCACAAGCCTCTTTGTTAAGTTTACATAAAGAAACTACTTTACAGAATAAGCATTACTCCTACTCAAGAGTAAACCTCACTGAACATATTGGACACAACTAATTTAGATCCATTAATTTACTTGGGTTTACTCTGAGTATAAATTAACACACCCCTGTATGTTATTCCCATCTGTTCCAAATTGAACATTTTCATACTAAAAACCTAGTGCAACTCCGTGAAGAAAATGTGTCTTTTTTTTCATTATTCATCCTCATGTCATTTTCCCCATTCTCCACCCCAGCCCAATTTCATCTCTAATGCATAAAATCTGTAAGCCAGATCTGTAAGATCATTTCCTCAGTGCTGGTTTGTCCAGATCAATAAATGTTAAAGGGAGTGGCAAATGCTATTGGAACATCTGGGCATAATATATATTCAAGGAGGAAAGCAAGTGTCTGAGCCATACTTAAAACTATGATTCTCTACTGAGATGCTTCAAGGATGAGAAATAGGAAGTGGTTGGGGAAAACCCAGCATTTCTGCCAGATGGGGAAAACTTATTTACTTAGATAAGTGATCAAACATTCAGCAAGGGACGTTAGGCTGATAATTTATTTTGGGGATGAGGAACCTGTGGCCTTCCAGATGTTGTCAGACTATAATTCCCACCATCCCAGGTCATTGGCCATTGTGGCTGAGGCTGATGGGAATTGGAGTCCAATAATATCTGGAAGACTCCACATTGGCAACCCCAGATGTGAGACAAGGAAATATATATTAATGGCACAGTTGATTTATTATGTCAAGAGGAAAGGGGGAAAACAAAGTTGGAACAAATTTAACAAAAATTGGTATATGCTTTGAGTACTGCAGAAGCGGTACGATATTCAAATACACAACATTCCGCACACACCAATTTATATACAGTGGAACCTTGGTTTTTGAGCGTTTCAGAAGCCAAACGTTTTGGAAGCCGAACGCCAAAAACCTGGAATTAATTGTTTCCCTTTTCGAATGCACCTCAGAAGTTGAACGGCTTCTGCTGTGTGTTTTTCTTTTTTCTCTCAATGGATTTTGCCAACTGCCCATTGCTCCTCAGTTTTTGAAGATTTCGGAATTCAAATGGCCTTCCAGAACGGATTACATTCAAAAACTGAGGTTCCACTGTAGTTTTATTGTTTATACATATTTTGTCTGAATAACAGAAATGTAAGCATGTATGTTACTGATGTTCTAAAAACATTTTTCCTTCCTCAGGGGATGAGCTTTTTCTAAGCTTGGCTTTTAAGTCTCGGAAACACCCGAGTACATGGTGTTTTTGCATATTGATGCTAAAATAAAGGGGGAAGACATGCTCCATTCAGTTACACATTTGTAAACTTATTCACATTAGGGCTCCATGCAAAATTTGAGTTTCGTTTGATTAGTTTCAAGGTAGTAAAATTATCTGTCCCCCCCCCTTATGTAGCCCAAATGAGAATGACAAACTCGGTAGAAGCTGGATTGGCATTTAAGGGGTTAAAAGAAACCTGCGGTGCTTTAGCAAAATAAAGGCAGAGCTGAGATTACAAACAAGGACAGATGTAGAAGGCCAGGTTTCCTCTGGTCCGTTTTCCCCTGTTTCCTGCCTGCAGCCTGCAGAAAAAGAGGAAGCGAAGTGCTAGGGAGAATGTGAAGCTAACAATGCCCTACGTCATTCAGCTGGGGGGGAGACAGGGGGGAAAGTTCTGCTAGACACAGTCAAGATCGAGCAGCGATAAATGGATATTCACGCACTAATACCCAAGAGCCTTTTAGAGCGCCTGGAAGAGAAAAAAAAGAGTGGAAAGTTGTGTCCTTGGAGAGATGTGCACATACAGACACACACACTCACTCATGCACACAGACAGACATTAGCCGTGCACTAGGTAGCTGGAGAAGTCATATTTCATTTTGCCGATGTGCATGTAATAATGGCTCATTGCATCAAAGTTAATTTACCTGCCCTGGGCAGATCGGTGGTGGGAGGAGAGTGTCTCCTGCCTCCTCCTTGGAAAAGTTTTGGCTCTAGAACAGGCTTCCTCAAACTCGGCCCTCCAGATGTTTTTGCCTACAACTCCCATCAGCCCTAGCTAGCAGGCCCAGTGGTCAGGGATGATGGGAATTGTAGTCTCAAAACATCTGGAGGGCCGAGGTTGAGGAAGCCTGCTCTAGAAAGAGATGCCCGGGAGCATGCTGGGAATGTGTCTTCCTCACATGGCTAGGATGGGGAAAGCTCCCTCACCCAAGGCATGAGCGCTGGGACCTCTCCTTGGGAGAAGGAATTCCTCAGCCCAGGTCTGTGGCAGCTGGAGGGAGGGATGCTACAGAGGCACGTGGAGCCTATTCCAGAGAAGCTCAGTTGAGAAACTGCTGAATTGGGCTTTGCTCTGAGAAAACGAGTACAAGAATCACTGTAGTAAATCAGTGAAAGCAGGTCTAATATAAGCCAGGGATGGGGAAACTTTTCCAGTCCAAAGGCCACTACCCCTCGTGGGAAACCGTTTTGGGGGACAATGTGCTAGTAGTATGCAGGCCCAAAGATCTCCCCCCACCTCATGTGAAATTAGGGCAAGCAATGAAACATTCTAGCCACAAGTGTGAACAAATCTGCATAAACTTAATGAATCCTCTCATACCTGGCGCATGTTAGCACCTCTAATTTGGCCATTTATTGCCCCTTGAGAGTGATGGGTTCCCTCCAGGAGACATGTTCCACTTTAATTTTTAAAAATGCAACCCCCCCTTTGCATTTCCTGAAGAATCCAAGCTCAACCCTTGCTGGGAGCAAAAGTTACCCATTAAATCATGCGATCTAATTGGTTAAGGTGCCTGTGTGGCGGGAAGCCTAATCGCCATGACTCATAGCAGCTCATACCTGTGCCCTTTTATATTTAATGTCACCTGTGTCAGGGAAGACTTTGGTCTTCAAAATTTGCAACCTGTGCCAAGGCCAACCCCCCCCTCTTCTGTTCTGCTCAATTCACCATGTCATAGTTGTGGCATCCCCAGGCTTGGTGCCCAGTGCAGTGGAACTGGTCACGCTGCCCTAAATCTGTGTCTTACCTCTGCCCATCCAGGACATTAACAAGATAACTTTGCAAACATAGGAACTTAAACCACTGTGGGGCTACCTTTGAGGGTGACCCGGAAACTACAACTAATCCAGAATGCGGCAGCTAGACTGGTGTTTCGGAGTGGCCTCCGGGACCATATAACACCGGTCCTGAGAGATCTACATTGGCTCCCAGTACATTTCCGAGCACAATTCAAAGTGTTGGTGCTGACCTTTAAAGCCCTAAATGACCTCGGTCCTGTATACCTGAAGGAGCATCTTTGCAGTGCCGAGGGCCTTCTGGCCTTCACTGTGAGAAGTGAGGTTACAGGGAACCAGACAGAGGGCCTTCTTGGTAGTGGCGCCTACCCTGTGGAACACCCTCCCTTCAAATGTGAAGGAAATAAGCAGCTATCCTATCTTTAAAAGACATCTGAAGGCAGCCCTGTTCAGGGAAGTTTTTAATATTTAATGCTGTATTGTTTTTAACACTCAATTGGGAGCCGCCTAGAGTGGCTGGGGAAACTCAGCCAGATGGACGGGGTAATAATAATAATAATAATAATAATAATAATAATAATAATAATTGCTGGCGCCCATCTATTTCACAGCCTTTTCAGATACTATGTTCTGACAAATGGACCTTGCATTTTCTCTTCAATTTCATTTATTCATCCCCGCCCCTTGCATTTATAACCTGGCTTGCTTCCAGGATGATGCCCATACATGCTACTTCCAGAGGGTCACCATCCAGTCACTGACAAGACCCAGACTTGCTTACCTTCAGTCAGGTGGTAGCCTCATGTACCATCAGGCTATATCCTGGGACTTCTAGAAGTGTGTGTAGATTTCTGCTGTGCTACAGCCATTTATTGTATCATTGGTTTATTTGATGACAGGATTTTAAGCTGTTCTGTAGAACCTTCATGATTGGAGAATAGGACAGAATGATACGGAATCAGAATAAATATCTGGATAACCTACCATCACTAGGGAATCAGTTGTCCTTGTTTACATGCAGTTTAGGAGGACCGCAGAAATCTCTGCAGAGCAGCTTTAAAGTGGCACATTTTCAGGTGCCGTGCAGGGATTGGTGAATCATTTCATGGTATTGAGGCAAGCTTGTAGCTAAGAGGTTGAGCAGGGAGGAGCAATTTATATGCCCTCCCCTTAATATAACAGATTAGAAGTATAAACCATTAACCATGAAACAATAATATTAGCTACAAGTGGATCCAGCAACAAAATGTTGCAGGAAGAAACGTTCCTGCTCAGTCAACCGCCCTGGCCCTCCTCTACAATATTTCAGACCGATTTCCAGTTTGGCGGTTGTATTTTGGGAGTTTCCCCATGGTGGGCTGAAATTAAAAAGCTTGATAAAAACCTGGAAAGGGTAGCAATTCTGTAATGATGGCTTCCTGGTTCATGGCAGTTGTAGTTGGTCATTATATCTGAACTGGTCAGACTATAGTTACCTCTTCCTTTTGCTTCCAAGCCAGAGAGGCATTGTGTGAGTCCCCATCTTCCCCCTCACCCAGATGTATTCCAGAGTGTTGTAGGGACCTCAGAGCAAGTTTGGGGCATGTGGGTGGAGAGTTCAATTGAGTGAGCAGAAGTCATTCTACTTGTGGAATGACTCCTTTGGATGCTGCTCCACAACTGGAAAGCCAGTTTGAAGCACCTATTCCAATTCTTGTTTGGAGAAAACAATGCGTTAAAGCAGGGATGGGAGAGACCTGGCGCCCTACAGATGTTCGATGACAGCTTCCATAAGCTGACTGGGGCTGGTAGGATGGAAGCCCACAGATCCCCCTTCGTTGTGACAAGGCCATTTTACTTTTATGTATTCCCTAACCAAAATCTATGGCTGTGCACAGACTAACCTGTCTGTAGCACAAAAAGGTTGTGTTTCCCCCTCGATCCAGAATTGTTTGTGCGCATCCTCAATATGCTGCTTTCCATCTGGATTGATTCTAGATACAAGGGTGGGTGTGGTTACTTGATAAGCCTTTGAAAACCCTTCTCTAGATTCAGCTATCCATACCTTTTATTCCCTGTACATGCCCCAGGGGAATGAAGAAGGAAATGGTGATTGTGATCTTTGCTTATATACCCACCCCCACTGCATGGACCTCCAACATCTGTTTACTTCCATTTTCAAATGGACGCACCATTTGAATCAATCCGCAATAAGGTTTTGTTTTTGCAATGAAACCAGTTTCTCAATAAGCGCTTTTCAGAGACAAAAATATGCAATAGATCCATATTGTTTGTGGACTACAGAAAAAAAATACTTGGTCTCCATTGATTCTTCGATAAAATGTTGCATGTATGTAGCCTATGATTGCTTCATGCATGCTTGAAAATTAATATGTGAACGTAATAACATAAGATGGTTAACAAGAATCATATGGGCAAAGTGCATTTTCAAATAGTACTTTTTTTAAAGTGACAGGGATTTTTCTTTGAAAGGATCTACCAGCAAAATGCTAAATGGATGCATTTATATAATTATCCTGATTTTATATTGCACCAAAAAAGGACTTATCTGGAAACACTTTAAGATGTGCATAAAAACACTGTGTGACATAATGAGTGCCTGGGCTTTACAAGTGCCAAAATATACATATAGTTAAGCCTAAAAATACATTTTACATAAACTTATATGGGTTTCCTCATAAGTCTGGAATGACTCCCCATGAACCTGTGCCCCGTCCCACACTGCAGTAATAAGTGTTGCATAGATGGGAATTAGAGAATAGACATTCTTGCTTCTTAGAGGGAAATATTTAAAGCGTTTTTTTAAAAAAAGGAATGCTAGTGAAACAAGTGTGGGTAGGTGAGACAGATAGACAAACAAACAAACAAACAAACAAACAGAGTATGAAGTGTTAAATCTGTGGTGTGCATAAGGCAGAAACGAACCACCCTGCTATTTTGCATGGAAAGTCATGTAGCCACTCTCACTAGTTATCCAGATTATGTTCTGCCATAATGAGATAATAGTTGCTCATATTGATTACCGTAAGTGGTAGAGAGTTTGCATGCCTGCCTGTAGTGAACTACCATACTTTAGAGTTGAGGAATTGAGAACGGGACAATTCCAAGCTGAGGTCCTCATAGCCTTTTTTCTCATATTGGTGAAATTGGAATAGTAGCAACCTATCTCAGAGGAGTCTTTGATTCATATCTTGTGATGTGGGAATATTATGTACCCCATGTCTTCCACAAGGCTGTTGCTGTGTGTGCATGCACCTCAGGTAAATAAACCTGTGTCTGTACGTGAGTTTGCATAATGCCGTTACAAAATTTCTCAAAAGAATTAAAATGTTTAATAACATAGAATGTGTTTTTCTAGAAAAGAAAAAGGGGTTTTAAAAATTCTGCTTATAAGGCTGCACTAAAGCCTGATAGGTTTGCAAACAGAATCCTGTGGGATGATTCCTTGTCCACAGCTTCATCTGGGACTTTGCAAGGAAGCGTTTGAAATTATTCAGTGCCAATGTGGAAGAGTTACAGGAAGACTCAGAAGTTGTGTGCCACCTAGTGGCAGATACAGAAAATGTGCACATAAGGCTGCTTTTTATAAAAATAAATACAGTGGTACCTCGGGTTAAGTATTTAATTTGTTCCGGAGGTCCGTTCTTAACCTGAAACTGTTCTTAACCTGAAGCACCACTTTAGCTAATGGGGCCTCCCGCTGCCGCAGCGCGATTTCTGTTATTTCTGGGTTAGCGGATTTCTGTTATTTCTGTAACCTGAAGCGTATGTAACCCAAGGTACCACTGTACTGTATTTCAAAATCTACAACAGGGCAACACCTTTATTGGGACCAGAGAAAATGTCACAAAAGTGTGGCAAGCTTCCAGCTTCTCTTGAACAACCTTCCTCAGGTATTGTACACAAAGCAGAGGGAAGCAGGGAAGTTTAAAAATTAGGCTTAAGTAGTAGGCATGGTTAGTTTGTAGACCAGTTCCAAGGCAGAGATTGTAGATTTACAGATATTCTGAAATCACATTATTTAGAATGATCTTATATTTTAGACTGACTGGAAGAAGTACGAATATGTCTCCCTTTGAATATTACCTTGCTTATATATTGCTTTAACTATCTTACTAATAGAATGACAGAAATATATTGCTTTAACTGTCTTACTAATTTACTTTTTCCTTGTTGTATAAACAATAGATGCTAATTCTTTGTAGATCTTTGACGTTTGCACAGATACGGGTTTTATTTATTTAAATGAGCTTTCCTGCTACGTTGAAATGTTCTCAAAATGGATCACAAAATAAATAACTTCAAATAATAAAATATGAAAACACCAAGCAATTGTGACCTTATAGACCTTCCCCGTTCAACTTGAGGAAGGTTGGGGGTTGAGAAGAGGGTGGTACGTGTAAGGATATTGGGGGCAGGGTTTTTCGTGTGCCCCCTTTCCACTCTTAATTGAAGCATATAATGTTATCCAGAATTTCAGTACAAGATTGGTTGCGCACAGTATAGGCATCTACTGGTCTCATCACTATTAAGTAATATTTGTACAAATTACTCTGGTTGATATATTGAACACAGCTGGTCAGATGTTTGAATCAAGACATTCACATGGTTTGTCACTTTAAAGTTTAAAATCAACTATGGTTTAATTTGAACATGTTCTTTGCTCCTCTCTCGCTCCTTCCTGCAGGGGAATAAACAAACCAGAGCCTGGCACTTGTAGTTGGTTGCTGCAAAAGAAATAGTGACTAGTAAGGCAACAACAACTATGTTGCTTTACTGTGCCTGTGGTTTGTTACAAGGAAACAAACCATGAGCGCTGGTTCATCACAAAAAGCTAGCATCTTGATTGTATCCTCCAGGCGGAAGAGAGATAGGAGCCAAACACCTGCATTTTAGCAGCATCTACCAGCTTGTTCACATTAAACCATAATTTATTTTAAACTAGGGTTTAAAATGATGTACAAATAGGGGCATCGTTTCATTCTGTTAGCAAAAAATATATGTATGAAATGGGATTATCTAGCTGTCTTCTGCCATCACAAGTCCAAATTGCACTGAAATAAACAGAATGGCTTTTATGCCATTGTGTTTTACAATTGCAATGCTGTTTTTGAAGCAAGGAGCAAGAATTTGAAAGACTAAACTATAGCGGGTCCCCCTCCCTGCTTGAGTTTACTAGGTGGGTGGAATCAGTAATCTGGATAGGAGAAGCAGAGAGAAAAAGCACCACATGCAACAAAGAAGCAAGAGAGAAATGGTTTCTTAAGTGTCTTGACTTTACCAAAGCACAACATGGTTCCGGCTAGGTCAAGCCATTCCACCCGTCTACAAAATGAAAGCAAGCGAATACATATAAATAAAACCTTAGCAATCTTTTCAGTGCAAGGCAAAAACATTTTTATTTGGCAATACATTTCAGGTTGCTGTAAATCCTAGTTTTGCTCTTATTTGCTGTCTTCCTGTTATCGTTTGATATTGTAATACGAGGTCTAGTTGTATACCAGCCTGGAATCCAAATCGGATGAAGGGTAGTGTGTACATGTTTTAAATAAATAAAATATTATAAGAAGTTATAACAAGGTGCAGCATCAATGTACTGAAGATCCTAAGTTAAACTATAATATTGCATAATTCTTTATCGTTTTAAAAAATAAAAATAACAATCAAAAAGAGTTATTTTCCTATCACGGTTCAAACTGTTTGCTTAGACTTGAGAAATGCCTTAAGTCTTAGCACTGAGATGATGGGCATGTGTATCTCTCTGCCCAGGTGTGAAGGGTGTCGTCCCAAAAATGTAATAGCAAAAAGGAAGAGAGGCTATGAAAAAGAAATATTACAACAATATCCAGCTCAGAACTGAGCGAACATAAGCCCAGCATTTTCTAAACAAAGTAAACTGTGAGAAGTTCTGGAAACAATCTGTGGCCTTTTCACTTTTATGTGTACAGGGTGTATTCAGACATGTATTTGTCCCAGGAAAGCTGTACTCTGTCCATGTATAGGTGTGTTGACACCGGTCCATTTTTACAAGAACATCACTGTAACTTTGATGTTCTCGATCGCCATAGTATATTTTGCTTCCACTATCAACTTTATACAAAAGCAACAGCAGGAAAATGAAAACCCCAGAATTACAATAGTATTCTGAACACAGTCAGGACAGAAATAAGATTAGAGTTAGGCAGTCCCTTTGCGTCTACTCTTAGAGAGGGAGAGAGAGAAAGACCATGCAATGGCAGCCTGGATCCCATTGACTATTACAGAGGTAAGAGAGAGGGGGAGAGAGAACAATGGGCCATTGTGCAAAAACGGTAGCTTATTGGAAAATCCTTGGAACATTTGATATTCAGAATAAGATGTATCTCAGTATATGCTAAATGTGAAAAATGATATTTTAAAAAGGATGCCTCAATCCAGCATGGAATAATGCCAAAGCCCACTGAAATCAATGGGCTTCACTCTTTGCTGGGTTTAGGCTAGAATATTTCTCTCTCTCTCTGGAATATTATACTACAGGATTAGCAAAAAATGATAATTTTTACAGAATAATTTTGCAATAGGGTTTAATGGGATATTTTAAAATGTGTTTTCTTCAGTATTTTATACTTTTTTAATTTTGTACTTTCCTGTAGCACGTATAATTGCGTATATGATCCTACATAAGTGTTGTGGTTGAAACTAAGATGAGCAGGTTAGGCAATGTTTACATTGTCTCCCCCCTTTTTTTCTGTCCATTGCAGGCATGGAGAGTGCAATCACATTGTGGCAGTTCCTGTTGCAGTTGCTTCTCGATCAGAAACATGAGCACCTAATTTGTTGGACATCTAATGATGGTGAATTTAAGCTACTTAAGGCAGAAGAAGTGGCTAAGCTGTGGGGACTCAGAAAAAACAAAACTAACATGAATTACGACAAACTGAGCAGAGCACTGAGATACTACTATGACAAGGTAATTTTAAAAATTCTATTTGTACAGTGCTTAAACAAGAAAGCAAAGAGTAGTAATATGCTTGTTAAAGTTGGAGTGCTGCCTTTTGGCTAAAAAGAGCCCCCCCCCAGGCTGCTCACAAAAAGTTAACACAAATAGAAAATTCAGACAGTAAAATACCACTTACTTACAAAGATTTCAGCCAACCATATTTTATCAATAATATATTTTAAAGTTTTAATTTTTTAAAAAACCTAAAACCCAAACGCATCATTTTCCTTGCCTAAATGCAAAAAGCAACCCCCTCAAAATGTCAAAAACAGTGCAGCAGTAAATTCCCCAGCAAACTGCTGTCTTTAAGTAGCCACCTAAAGGCAGGACAGCCTACAGACAGTTTATAAGGAGGAAGCATTGTCAATCAGATTGCACATATTATATTATGTTAGGCAGTTGCCTTTATAGAATGTCAGACTATTAGTCTGTTGGACCCAGAATTGACTACTCCAACTGGCGGTGGCTCTCCAGCTTCTCAGGCTGAGGGTCTTTCTCATCCCCTGTTACCTCAGGGCCAGATCTTATCTCCTCTAGCACTTGCAGGCCAAATTTGACAGGTGGGTGGGGGCTGCCCACCTGTCAGTCACCTGATGTCACAATGATGTCCGGTGATGGAGTGCTCTGAAGTCCCCACAAGCAGCCAATCCCAGCTGGCCTCCTGATCAGCTGATCAGCAGGGACAGCAAAACTTCCCTTGCCAGTGCATATTTACGAGTGCGCTTAAAGGCTCCCAATTGGTCATTGGCAGCCGTATCGCCACCTGCCTCTCACCTGACATCACAAGGGGCTTCAAGTATGACACAGGTGAGCCTGGTTTGGGGAAAATGGACTTGTGGCCTAAGTAACCACGCCAGGCCCAAGTAAACCCACAGGCTACCTGATTTTTTTAACTTGAAATGCCAGGAATCAAACCTGGAGCCTCCTGCCTCGTAGAGGAGATGCTGTTCACTGAGCTACTTTGTGAAAATACTAACAAATGTCACATTTGGTTTGCTGTTTAATGCAGAACATCATCAAGAAGGTGATTGGGCAGAAGTTTGTGTACAAGTTTGTGTCATTCCCTGACATTTTAAAGATGGATCCTCATGCTGTGGAAATCAGCAGGGAGAGCCTTTTGCTGCAGGACAGCGACTGCAAGATGCCTCTTGAAGGTAGAGAGCAACACAAGCATGGCTTGGCAGCCCTGAAAGGCGCAAGCCGTAATGAATATATCCATTCGGGGTTGTACTCCTCTTTCACCATCAACTCCCTGCAAAACCAGCCAGAAACTCTCAAGCAGATCAAAACAGAGAAGCTGGAGGAGAAGCTGGAGGGGCCCAGCCCTCTGGAAGAAGTCCGAACTGTTATAAGGTTTGTGACAAACAAATCAGACAAGCAAGTCATGAGGCCCATAGTGTCCCTGCCATCAACATCCGAGGCAGCCGCTGCTTCTGCTTTCTTAGCATCCTCTGTCTCTGCAAAAATATCCTCATTAATGTTACCCAATGTTGCCAGCATCTCGTCAGCTTCGCCATCTTCCTCCCGGTCGCCGTCTCTGTCTCCGAACTCACCCCTCCCTTCAGAACACAGAAGCATCTTTTTGGAGTCCAGTTGCCAGGATTCTGATTCTCTCGAGCCACTGAACCTCTCGTCAGGATCCAAGACAAAATCTCCTTCTCTTCCCCCAAAGGCTAAGAAACCCAAAGGTTTGGAGATCTCAGCACCTCCAATGGTTCTTTCAAGCACTGACCTCGGCTCCATTGCCCTCAACAGCCCAGCACTCCCCTCAGGATCCCTGACTCCTGCTTTCTTCACTGCCCAGGTAAGACTTTGACAGGGGAATCCTATGCATGTCTACTTAGAAGTAAGCTCTGCTGAGTGTAGTGGGACTTACTCCTGCGTGTTGAGGATTGCCTCCTGAGTTCCTTATAGTGATGCCCATGGCGTGCGCTTGGGAAAAGTGCCTTTTTCCCCCAAGGACAGAAAGAAAAAAAGCAGCTTGTAGTTTATTAAGAATGCATGAGTCCTTTTTCTATTAAAATGTTCCTTAGATTAAAAATACAATCAAGTTACTGCATTTTTCGCTCTATAAGACGCACCGGACCACAAGACGCACCTAGTTTTTGGAGCAGGAAAACAAGGAAAAAAATATTCTGAATCTCAGAAGCCAGAACAGCAAGAGGGATCGCTGCGCAGTGAAAGCAGCAATCCCTCTTGCTGTTCTGGCTTCTGGGATAGCTGTGCAGCCTGCATTTGCTCCATAAGACGCACACACATTTCCCCTTACTTTTTAGGAGGGGAAAAAGTGAGTCTTATAGAGCAAAAAATACGGTACTTATTTTTTAAAGCAGTTATTACAAATAAAACAAATACAGCAGGAGCAAAAATCAGGAGAGCATCAGTCAGTAAAATATGTAAAAGCAGTAATACATCAGCATAGGCGAAATTGAAAGAGAGGCAGTGTGGCATAATGGTTAGAGTGTTGGACTATGACCTAGGAAACCACGGTTTGAATCCCCACTCAGCCATGAAGCTCACTCTCTTCCCTTAACCTACCTCACAGGGTTGTTGTGAGGATGACATGGGGGTAGGGAGAACCATGTACACCACCTTGAGATCCTTGGAAGGTAAAAGTGCCATGCAAATGTAATCAATCAATCAATCCATCCATCAAACACTGGGGAAATGAAAAGGTCTTAACCTGAATGTCAGTAGTTAAATAAATAAATAAAATAAAATAAAAAAACCACTGGGGAAATGAAACCGTCCTAATCTGAATGACTGTAGTTCAGGCACCTCCCAAATCTTTGTGGGAAGGGTGTTCAAATAGGGGCACCACCACTGAGAAGACCCAGCTCAGTAATGCTCTGCCTTCCATGTAAATTTCATTCCTGTATTAACAGCTTTCCAGGTTGGATAACTCACCACTTCCAGCTATCTGCTAGAAACCTCTGCACACGTTCCCCATGACGAATTTTGCATAGCATTGGGGCTTACAGGCACATTTGCAAAGTGGAGATGCTGTTGAGGGCACTGCACACACACACACACACACACACACACACACACACACACACACACACACACACACACACACACAAACAGAGACAGAAAGCAAGAGAGCAATCAAATACATGTAAACCCACTATTGCCCATCTGCTCTCAGTTAGGCTTTTGCTTTTCTTCAAGCCAAATCTTGGGTGGGTGTGTTGATCTTGCTGGAGAGTGCAGCTGGGAAGCAAGAGATCACACCCCTCCACAACAATTAGGCTTGAAAAAAGCCTTCTAAGAAAGTGGACACTTTAGATGCCAGGAAATCTGGATGCTTCCATGAACAAGAGGCCAGACTGTCCATCCCCCCCGCCCTTTTCAAAGCTAGTCAGCAATCATAACCTTAGAGTGGGATAGACCGTTAGCAGCTTAATTACATTTTGTAGTTTGCTGGCACCGTGGCCTTTCTCAAACAAAATATGAAATGACATGTTTAGGTCAAGCTGTTTTCTTTAATCATAAAGTGGTTTTGCGGTATTCAGAATAAAAAAAGGCTGACTCCTTAAGGGCAGAATGAGTGTCTATGCAACTCTCTCTCCCTTTTGCATTAAGCATCAGATGGGCTTTAAGTCTGGAATCCTCTGTCACTGAATCCCAGGCTTCATCGGCTTACATTAGCCATTTGGTAACAACAGAAGGTTGGTGCTCTACACTAGCATTGAAAGGTACACATTGTGCTAGTGAGAACTGGGCGCTCTCTTTGTTGTCTTTGGGAGGTTGTTGATGGAAATCAGTTGCAGTCCTCCTCTTCCTTCACTGCCATCTTGCAAGAGTCGTGTGTTATTCAGTCCAGCAGCAGTTCAGAAACTGCTATTTTAACATGGTAACGTGAATATGTATTTTAAAGCAGCATTCTTTTAAGTATTAAGATATGTACAGCCTGGCCCTTTCTGGAAATAACTGAAGACACTTTTGTTTCGATGACCTTTTCTGGTTTGATGAAAAGGTGTCTCTGTCTAGTTTTAAAAAACTAACCTTATTAATACTCTAAAATGTTGGACAAACTAACTCTCTGCAGGGAACACAGACACTGCACCTTAAAGCATCCATTCTTTAAGTGTTAAAGCACATAATAACCTGGCTGGGATGTTAGTCCATCACATTCCAAATCTACCTCTTTTGGGGTTAAAGCCGCTTGGCTGGGACAGATGGGAATTGTAGCCCAAAACATCTGGATGGCGCCAGAGTAGAGAAGGCTGGCTTAAAAAATGCTTTTTGCTCAAACCTTGTATAGAACAATAGGATTCCGACATTGTGCTGATGAGGGAGCAGAGCTTAGCCAAAAGACATGTGGTAGAACAGTTAACACTAAGCAGCGATCAACTCGGTCTACGATGCTAAAAAAGGAAACCTAGTTATTTTGGGTATGAAAGCCTGAGACTTTGCAGTTCTTTTAAAAATAAATGACCTGACAGTTGCTTTCTGAGCTGTGGGCTGCTTGCAAAAGAAATCTCAGATTTATTCATTCATGAGTCATGCTGCTGAAAATAGCATTTGAAAATCGACACAGGCCTAGCTAGGTAGATTTGGGTTACAAACTACTAACCTGGGCGCAAGTTCCATGGAGTTCAACAAAATGCACCTCGGCGGAAACAAACACAAGATTGTGCAGGAAGCTTCAGCAGGATGGCTGGGTTGGTCTGTTGCAGCAAAAGCATCAGTCTTCCAGCATGTTAAATGCCAGTTCATAAATTGTGGCATAAGCTTTGAAATGGACTCTAGTCCATGAAAACTTGCTGTAATAAATGTGCCAATATTTAAGTCACCGTTTAACTTTTTGTAGTTGTAGCTGTAAAGTGGCAACCCTATACACTTTCTTGGGGAGTAAGTCCCAGTGGCTAGGAGATTTCAAAGTTGCATTCTGTGGGGTCTTATTCTGTCATCCTACAGTAAATATACATTTTATGGTAAATATACCATTTATGGTATACAATTATGTCCACTTCTACTCTTCTTCAAAGATTAAAAGTGAGAACAATGTCTGATATTTGTGGAAATTTTTGTTGCCTTAGTTTGGTAACTTCCACCTCCACCTAAATATACATTTGTGGATCATTGCAAGTACTAATTTCTTTTGCTCCATGTGAGCTAATGATGGCAAGCAATGAGGAAGAACCATAGTTCAGTGGTAGAACATATTCCTAAGGGTCCAAACTAAATCCCTCATCATGTGATAGTCAGTATGGAGCTGTCCAGAATATATGCAGCATGGGGGGATGGGGCGGGGGAAGCAATGTTCATACTTTTTTTTACCTTCTCTGTTAGAAAACAAAGTGCCTTCTCATTCTCAGCTGGGCAGATGTATCATGTGATTGTGGCAAAACAAAACTGAGCACGATGAGGCAGTGAAACTGCTTCCTTATTAAGAAAAGAGGTACTTTGCTCTAGAGTGATGTCATATCCTACAAGGGACACGTTCAGCAACATTGATTTGAAGTGTTAATAAACAAAATAACTTGCAGAGTAAACAAGCAGAGGAAAGGAGAGTGTTATGCTCAAAGATAATAATAATAATAATAATAATAATAATAATAATAATAATATCAGCATAGAGATTCTGCCATGGCCAAAAAGCAAAAATGAACTAAACAGTAGTGATTTTTGTCATGTATTCTGGAGCAAGGGCTGACTTAGTTTAGACCTGTACAGCTTTCGTATTCCAGTTGTTTTTTCATGTGTTAGCACTTAAAGTGGCTATAGAATATGCAGAGTACATTGGTTTTGCTCAGTGCTTTGGACTCCCATAGTAAAGCTAGACCCAAAGGATTGCAAACATAGGAAGCTGCTTTATACCAAGTCAGGCCAGCGGTCCATCTACATCAATATTGCCTATGGTGACTGACATTGCCTCTCCTGGGCTTGAGAGACAATTTTCCCCAGCCTTAGCTGGAGGCGGCTGGAATTGAACCCATGACCTGATGCATGCAGAGCAGTTGTTCTGCCGCTGAGGTATGGCCCCTTCCCCTAAGGGGAACTGACACGAGGAGTGTCCTGCAAATGCTTAGGTGTCCACGCAGTGTGATAATAGGCAGATTCTATGGCAGTTCATGTGCTTTTGCTTACATAAACACAGCTTTGGATCGCAGAGTGATCTCGTGTGAGACGTAGAACAGCCCTTTTGTGAGGAGAAGGGCATATTTGGACCCAGATTCCTCTCTTTTTCCATCATTTTCTGCTCATAGTTCCCCTTTCCAAGAAGATGCAGATAGAAAGAAGTTGCATAGGGACTCACCCAGAGAAAGCACAGTACGTGCAATGACAATTCTTACACCAAATCCCTGTTAAAATGCTAATGTTTAAAATCCCGAGATTCAGAAAGGAAAACAGTTTCTAAGCACAAAACATCTCTCTGAGAAAAAGCTATGGGACGAAGCAACGAGGAGGGCCCCCCGTAACATTCAGCCTGGCAATGTGAGTCAAGACATGGCTAAGCCAAAGAGTAGATGAACGTCGGAACACACGTCGTGTGTCTTTTGTCTTGCAGACCCCCAATGGATTGCTGTTGACCCCGAGTCCCTTGCTTTCTAGCATTCATTTCTGGAGCAGCCTCAGCCCCGTCGCTCCTTTGAGTCCTGCCAGGCTGCAAGGACCAAACACCCTGTTCCAGGTAGGTTGGAGCAATGACTCTGCTCTCTGAGGCGGCGCTTTCTGGCCAGGTAGCCAAAGGAACCTTTTTGAGGCTGGGGGTGGAGGCATTTCCATTCTGAAAAGAGAGAACATTAGATGTGCAAAAACAATACCTTCTCTCAGGAAAGGAGCTTCAGTAACAGGGGGAGAGACAAAGCAATGAAGATGCCAAAAGGCAGGAACTTTACACATTGCACTGAGGGAGGTTTACTGCTTCTCTGGAGTCAGCCTCCTAAAGGGGCAGGCGATTGCTATCACTAGGGCAGCAGCAGAGGTGGCTTCGGTTGATAATTATAAGCCAAGCTGAGATAGCTCAGTTGGTAGCACATGAGACTCTTAATTTCAGGGTTGTGGGTTCGAGCTCCACGTTAGGCAAAAGATTCCTGAATTGCAGGGGTTTCGACTAGATGATCCTCGTGGTCCCAACTCTCAAATATTTTGATTCTAAGTCCCCCCTCTGTCATAAGTTAGTGAAAACAAACGTGCCAGACACCTTGATGATACCTTGATGAAGATGTTGACCCAGTGCGCGGCACCTGTGAAAAAGGCAAAAATCCTTGCTAGGGATCATTAGGAAAGGAACTGAAAACAAAATTGCCAATATCATAATGCCATTATACAAAGCTAGGAAGCAGCTGCATTTGGAATACACCGTGTGCTGTTCTGGTCGCCTCAACTCAGAAAGAGGTTCAGAAAAGGGCAACCAAAATGACCAAGGAGATAGAGCAACTCCCCTAGGAGGAAAGATAAGATGAGCAAAAAGGGACACAATAGAAATGTGTAAAATTATGCATATGGAGATACTTTGGGACATCCAACAAAGCGAAACGCCGGAGGATTCAGGGCAGATGAAAAAAAATACTTCTTCACACTGCCCATAGGAGGCAGTGGTGGCCACCCACTCAGATGGCTCTGAAACAGTAGACAAATTCATATAAGCATGGTAGCTGCTGGCCATGATGGTTATGTTCTGCCTCCACTGTCAGAGGTAGGATGCTTCTGTATACCAGTTGGCCACACAGTGCTGAACTGGGTGGGCCATTGGCCCGATCCGGCAGGCTTTTCTTATGTTTTTCTGGCAGCTCTGATGTTTCAGCCAAAATATGTCAAAGAGACTGTACGTCAAAACCTATCTGTGCATGGGAAAACAGAAAACCCCCCACAAAAGAACATGAAGATTTCTCAAGAGGATTAGCATGCCCTATCTGAGGCTGTGTTAAGGGAAGCTGCAAGAACAGTTTAAAATCACAAGGATTAAAAATGTAGAGAAAGCGCTCATGATCGCAGCAGGGGCATCTTGGCTCCATGAGTACAGTATCATGTGGGTCCCCCCCCCCCAATCCCCATTTTAAAAAGGGAGAAATTATACTGGGTATGAAAATGTTAGCACCATCACCTGGAATTTGGCTTCCTTGGCTGACGCAGGAAAACTACACTTACCAATAACAGGAAGGAGTAAATTTATGTCAGGGAAGCACCTGGAGCAAGCAAGGAAGATGTAACTGCAGGGTTACCATGCCGTTGAAGTGAGTGGGGGCTGAGATCACCAAATTCCTGCCACACCGGGCACTTCAATGTGTCTCCGTAAATTCAGCCTATAAGAACTGTAGGCTTTTTATTAAACCTCTGTAGCAGCAGTGCTGTGGTATGCTATCTGCAAATATTCAAGTTTGTGTTGTGCTACCTTGCATTCCCATCTGCATTCCTGGGTTTAAGGATTTTTTCACACAAAGAAGACAAGGATTTTTGCTGAAATTCGGGTATCTGGTTGCAATATACCTGCTTCTCATGTTCAGGTCAGAGTCCTGTTGCAAACGTCTCTAAAAAGTGGTGGCTTTGTTTTTGTTGTTGTTGCCTACTACAGCCATGCAAACATGCTTGCATTCTTTCATTCCACCCCTTAATAAATTAACAATTGTGTGCTTGTACAAATTGGTGTGCTCAAGGCATTCCCACCAAGTATAAATTCCCTCTTTGTCCTAGTAAATGTTTTTCTGCTGAGTGTGTGCACTCAGGAGGGGGGGAAAGAAACCACACACCCCCTAAGTGACACTGGGTAGTGTTTAAGCAGAAATGGAAGTTGGGGAGAAGGTGTTGCAGGGAAGGAGTTGTGGGCTGTTCCCAGGTTGTCAATATACAATGCACCTTGTGCAAACCAGATTCATATCCAGTATATACTGTAATGCATTATGTGAAATAGTCCAGTGTTTTGTAGATCGTCGTTGTACAGGCTTGATCCTGACTCTAAAATGCACACAAGGAGAGGGAGAGAGGAAAAAAGTTTGGAGTATATACAGCACTAGATATAGAGCATTTGGAAGAAGACACTTGCCACCAAAATCTGGGGATGGGACCCCAACTTGTGCAGCACAGCTTCAAGAACTAGAGTCCTGAAAACCCCAAATATCCAACTCCCCATATATCCTCACTAAGCTTCAACAACTGTTCTGACTTAGAACACAACCTGCTTTGCAGCAGTCCTTCTAGGGCTCTCTTTCGCCTCACACGAACTCCCTTATTTTTAGCATTTCATAATTTTGCACACTTGATTAGAGCCATCCAGTTAGGATCAGACAGAAGCACCCACGACTTGCCCTGTAGTGAGAGCCAAGTGCATCCAGCACCTATTAGTGGTAACTGGAAGTGAAAAGGGGATCCAGATCCGTCACATCAAGGGCCCTGATTTGACTAACGTGTGGTTCAGAGAAAGGCCAAGATGACAAATCTATTAGCATAGGAAAAGTGTTCTTCCCAAGAACCAAATAAGAAGTGGCAACAGCCGCTGAGCCTGAACCTGATCTAACTCCCCAAGGATTGGACTTGTTTCTTTCTTTAAAGGGCTCACTGCGATCACTTCCATCTTCACAGGTAAAGCCTTTCCCGATCAAGGGTGCTTTGAGGGCAAAGTACAGCACTGCATATTGTGAGAGCAAGTTTTGTATCCGGGATAATATGTGGATGGGCAGAGTGCTGAAATCTCAACTAACGTTCTGGACAGGGGTTACAAATTTTGTCCACACATAGGATGCAGATTTTCTCCTTCCAAAAAAATATATTGAGATGGGGGGGGCAGATATCAACCCTCCAAATAAGCTTGCTTTACCTTTTTTCAAGGTTTTCCTTATGATCACCTTTTGAGGACATACTTTATTTATAAAGCTTAAGCCGACAGTGTGCTTTGGTTTACAAAAAAGGTCTGGAAAGCGACAAATGGAGCATTACAATGCTGCTCAGGTGACTTCAAGAAACTTATGCGTGGGGGGGGGGGGAATGCAGGTGCTGTTACAGAAAATTAAGACACGCTTCTCTGGCACACAAGCCAAAGGAGTTGGACTGGTGAAACTATTTCTCTTAAGTTGGCATACAGGTAAAACAACTTCTGTTTCCCAGCAGATGGGCGAGGAGAGTCCTGCATCCAGCTTACTTCACTGGATCAGGTTAATTGGTAGAGCCTCTTGAGGAATGTAATTAACTTACTCCAGGTTTGAAAGCTTGCAGTATAATTAGGGCAGTGAGAGACTTGTTCAAAGCTGCAGTTCACTCTGCAATAAAGGTCTAAAACAATAGCAGGGAAGCACGGCTGGAATTCATCTCAAACATCCCACCGGCTGATGTTGCTTTGCAGCCAGAATCCATACCATTGTCTGTTTGCATATTATTTGCCCAATAGTTGCAACTGAGCAGTTCCAGGGAAGAATCTGGGACCCTTCGTGTCAGGCAGTGCACAAACACACACAGAGAGCTCATTCTGAAGAGCTGGGACTCTGACAAGACATGGCAAGTGAAGGAATAAAGACACAAAGCTATGATTGATTGCAGAATTAATTTATTAAGCAAATCAGAGCATTTTGCATAACTGCAGGAAGGCTGAACACGTATGTTCCAAATGTCTCTATTTACAAAAAACCTATTAGGATGAGTTGCTGGATGTTTCTTTCTTCTTCTGCCCCCTATCCCTGAGGGTTTCCTGAAGTTAAGTATCTGACTTGGGTCGTCGCATCTTGTTTCTAATGCCCATGCAATTAAATCCATGCACAGCCTGCCATTTCACATGCTTGGTTGATTATAACATATTACAGAACAATTACATTTTTCTAGTGTACCTTTAGCAAAAACAACACCCTCGCTTCTTTTAAAACAGTACAGGACAGTCAGTTGTAGAGTAGAATTAGAACAGCGGCATGGAGGTGAAGAGCTTTCGACCACATTATTTTTGGGTACATATGCTCCCATAGTCACTCTTTCTACTCAAAGAAGTGTCCTTATTTACATTGGTGAAACAATAAAGACCGTGCCAGAATGGTGGCTGCTTGGGCTGCAGTTAAGATGCAGGCTGTGCTTCTGTGAGAGGTGGGCTGGAACTAAAAGTGGATGGGACTCCCCTTCTCTCTCTCTCTCTCTCTCTCTCTCTCTCTCTCTCCAATGCCCCTTTCCCTTCCCCACTCCTTGCCATCTGCATGAAATTAGGCCAAGGGCTGCATGTGGCTTAAGGGAGCGCAGGTTGCCCATACATCTTAAAATTATTTGGCAAACTTAAAAAAAGCATTTATGGTTTAGAGTCTAGCGTTATCTCTGGATGGAACCTTAATGCACATCTCAAAGACAATATTTCTCATTTGTTCCCCTTTTGCAGTTTCCAACTCTGCTCAATGGTCACATCCCAGTGCCAATTCCCAGCTTGGATGGGACTTCTTCTCCAGTTCTCCTGTCTCCAAATGCTCATAAATCCTGATGTCTCAGCAAATTAAAGGACTCACTCACAAACTGGATTTTACACAGCCATTCTGATGGGTTTCATTTTTCTGGTGACACTGGGAGGACATCATGAAACCCTCTTTTACTATGGTTTGCACTTTTCATTACATGAATGATCTACTTGTATGATGTTTATTTAGCATTTTTAAACAGTGTTTTTTTTATCAGAATCTGTTGTGCATTAAAATGAGTTATAATTTTTTTTTATATCCTTGCTCTCCAAGTGTTGAACACTGTTAATGAAGTACTTTTCTTAATAGATTTCAAGACAATTATCTAAAGGATGTGAAACTTTTTAATCCTGTATTTCTGCATATTATGCACCATGCTTGTATAAACTATAACCGGCTGTGCCTTCTTTTGCATAATGTTATATAAATGATTTATATATTTTCCAGTATTAAGGTAAAGGTTGAAAAGGAACCAAGTATTGAACAGCCCCTTCCCCATGCTAGTATTTCAGTATTACCCTTGCGGTAGGCCATATGGTGCAGTGTATTCATGTAATTTTGAATTAAGTGCTTTCCAGTTATATAAAGAATCCTCCTATTTCCTTGCTGAACTGTGGGGCCATAATAAATATTTTGGCCAGTAAGTGTGTTTAAGAATAGGACACGATTTAGATATAGGTGCTTCAATTCTTCTCTGTGGTAAGAGGAACATGGCCTTAAATATTTACAATGTATTTTAGGGACATTCTTAAATTAAGAAGATATAGCCTTGCTCAGTGCCACTCATTTTCATGTATTCATTGACTGAAGAAACTAATCTGATCTTCATTTTCCTGACCATACTCAAGGTATTGTACCTTCTAAGTTAATTTTTCCAGGACTTTGAAGCCAGTGGCTCCTGTTTCACATGGCCAAAGGCTTAAAAAACTAGGCAGTTTTGGACAATTTTAAGAAGAGTTTCTAGCCCTCATGATTACATTTTTTTTAAAAAAGTCTGTGAGCGTGAGAGACATACAATACGAAGTGTAATGTGTTCAGTAACAGGTTACTACAGAAAAAATATTACTGAACGCTGTGATTTAATAACACCAAGGTGTTTGTTCTCCTCAGAAAGCTAAAATACTGAAGACGGAGAAATAGAGGTTGTGTCACTTTCTAGAATATCATGACTATAGTTTCCTGAAGGTGACATACAACGCAAAAGCAGAATTAAATAAGTCTGGGTGGCATTGTATAAAAAGAGTATTGTGTCCAGGAGCTGTATTCTGGAAAGTATCTCATGCATGCATATTTTATGAACATGTTAACTATATCTAAACACTGAAAATATTTAGATTAAATGAAACATCCCAACCTATGTCATGTTCCCAAAGTTCATTTGAGAATTTATATAAACTCCAGTTCTACTCTACACAAAGCCTACTTTAATAAGTCAATCTAATTTGAAAAGCGCTGGTTCCATTGATCGAGAAACAGCTAGACCCTCCGGCAGAAATAATAAACTGTTGGTCTTCCAGGTTGTGAAACTGAAGCCTGTGTGTGCTTTTAAATAAAAATATGAATAAGGAATACTGTCCTATAGCTGGTTCCCACTGCACTTTATATCCTCTGGATTTTACCGCAGTGAGGTATATCATTTATTCTTTCTGGAACCGCATTTGTTATTTGAAGAGAGAGCCACTAATCCTGCCCCCTCCCTGTTTTCACAGTATTGTATACGCTCCTCTACATCTTCCAGCAATCCTCTTCCACCTCTGCTAGAGGCATCATTTCCAGTTGCCAAAGTTATCAAGCTCTATAAATGGAAAGCATATCACTGCTGAATACACTCTCACACACTAAATTCTATTTGCCATTTATAGTGGGATTTGGATAGCACATTTTTACACACTGCTCTTACGTAGAGTCTTACATTGCTATCTTCCTGGTGCTTCTAAAAGTATGTTCCACCTTAATTTCCAATATTGTGGTTTCTAGTCTACCATTTGTTGCAAGCAATCAAAACAGCTATTAACAACCTCTGTCTTCCAGGTTTATAACATAAGCATCTTGTAGGTATAGTGTATGCTTAAATTCTGGTGGAAGATATGGAGCTTGATAAAAGAACTCCCCAAATCCTGATGTTTTAATGACGAAGCATAATCTGTACAACAGGGTTGGCCCTCCAGTTGCTGCTAAACTCCATTATCCTTGACCGCTGGCCATGATGGCTGAGACTGATGGGAGTTGGAGTCCAGCAACGTGGCGGGTCACAGGTTCTCTATCCCGGCTTTACACTTTTCTGTGTTTGATTATATAAAGCAAGAACTATCCCACATCTCAGCAATTTTAGCAGGAAAAGCATAGCAGGGGAAGAGTAAGACAAGATTATCTCTTTTTCAGAGCATTCTAACATACCAACTGTGAGCCTGGTGATTTCCAACTAAGAAGGTATAGCAGGAAAAAGCAAACACAGACCAACTATTCTGTATCAATGATAATTTTATATTAAGTAAAGAGCAGAAAGCTGAACACAGTGGAAGGCACATACCAGTACATTAAACAGTTCTGTGCTAGTTCTCTTTCTCTTTCTCAGGTGGCAGGACCAAATATCAGTGTGCTGACAGTGCAAGACTTCATTCTTCCACTTTTTCATCAAATGCAGGCTAAGTACTTTAGTGAAGTCCCTTCCAGGTCAAATGTACCAAGATTAATTAAATCACCTGCCCTCTGTCTTTTCTAGCTATTCTTAAGTGGCATTATGATGTCAAAAGATTTGCCCTGTAGAAAAGTTATAACCGAAGCAGCCTTCCGTTTGATTTTCAATAAGAACTGGGATCTCACTCTTCCTTTGCAAACAGCCATGGTGCTCTTACTACTTGATGTCATCCGCTCTATATCCCTCTTTAGCCATTACCTGCGTGAAAGCAGAGTAGTGAGTAGAGAGGGGGCATGCTTTTACTCTCTCCCTAACTCTTGCCCTGCTAGCAGTGGTTACTCTTAAGTTTAGCTGCAATTGTTTCAGAGGCTTCTCTACTCATGAAAGCTCACGCTGTGATTTAGACTCTTGGAAGATCACAGTTCTTAAGTTGCAAGGGGAGCTTCGACAAGTAAAAAAACGTAAGAATGGACCTGCAGCCCCTTTGTATTCACTCCCTTGAACTGAAGAGGGCTTATGAGTTTTGTAAAGACCAGAAAATGAACATTAAATAATAAAGTGCATACCCAAAACAACTTTAATTCTAATCTCATTTCCTTAAATACAAGTCAGTTGAAGTCATACTACTAAGCTTACTGCTCTTTCTAAACGTCTAGTGTATTTCCAAAAGCCTCAAAATGCCGCACTTAATTTTGTGTCTCTGCTAAGCCCCATGCTGTTTAACTACCATGTGCTGAAAAGCATTGGGTTTCTCTAGAAAAGGCGTTTGTCCTACAATGAAACAAGTGTGAAGCCTCATTGGATGATGGAATATTTATCAACCAACTTATTAACAGCCCTATTTACCTTTTACACCTTCATTGGGAAACGCCCCCTCAACAAAAGATGTAATAAGACATCAGAATTTTGAATGGTTTGTGGCAATATGCTACAGTAGAAGAACAAGAGCAGATCAGCAGCTCCGCTTAACACACCAAAAAATTATTTTTGCAGGTATGCTGGCATTTTGTGCAGCAAAACACATAAAAGTGAATGGCACACCTACCTCTTCAAATATTTAAGGATACAGGTGTGTCTATGTGCTTGCTGTGTAAAACACCAAAGTACACTGTGCACTCATGTTTTCTGCAGAAAGTGTGGCGCTCTCATTCTCTGGGCTGGACAGAAGTATACAGGGAGACACAAGAACAGCCACAAGAGGATGTGGTTCTGCATTAATGTGTCAAAGTGGTTATCATTTAATAACATTCATTGCTGGCATTCCATTAAGGTAAAAAGGTGTCTTTCTCCCTTCTCTTGGGGATAATGTACATCATTCAGAATCATGCAAGCGAAGTAAAGCTGTGAAAGTAAGTTGCAAATAACTCTTTTCCCACTCACATTATGCAAGGGCTTTGCTCCTCTGAGTGAAATAGATGTGTTGTTCACCATAACCTTTAAATGTACTCCATAATTCAAGTTCTTTTATACAAGTTAACACATACTGTGGTCCAGAGAAGGTCAAGCACATGAGAAAACTGCAATTACAAGTTGCATTTCTGAAGATCTCCTTTAGTGGCTGGTATGATGGACTGAGCAACGTAGAAACGGCCCAGAATATCCATTTAGCTATCCTGCTTTCCCAATACAAATGTCCTCTACACTTCAGTAAGTCCTTTGATTGTTTTAATACACTCTTTACATTTGTAAACATTGGAATATCTTCAAGTTATCTACTTAACCTACCTCACAGGGCTGTTGTGAGGATCAGTAATATTTGTACAATTCTTTAGAAAAAAAATAAAATATTACATATGCAGCAAGTAGCATTATTAAACATAAAGCAAAACCCAGTAAATATATGATAAACCCTAGATATAATGAGTAATTGAAACATACTATTTATTCCCACCCACCCCCTTTTATGTGTAATAATAATTCTCTCAATCCCCTTTCTGCTGGCTGTGAGGATTTTTGTTTTGAAATCCTCTCTCTCTCATACCTGCATTTTAACTGTTGAACGTACGATTCCATTTTGGGTACTTCATACTCAAAATTTCTTCCCACATTCTTTCCACCTGATCACCATCCATTAATGAGAAAAGAAAATGTATTTGAAAAATTATCTAAGTGAAGAGAGAATTTGGGTGAAATTCCCATGAGCAGGGTGCAGGCTTTTTATGACTCTTACCTTACCTCTGAAGTGGCCAAGCGCAGGGGAAGCCATCATGAGGTAACTGCTCCATCATGGGGCCTTTTCAGACCAGAAAGCGTAGGTAGCCAGGGAAGGTACAGAGTGCTGGAGAATTGTTTACTGGAAAGAAAAATATATACAGCCTCCTCAGAAAGAAAAGATCCGTCAAAAACCTGACACTGACTGAAATTCTAAAGTGCTCTGAGAAGGAGGCAGAAAAACAGAAGCCCCTTTTAACAGAGCAAGAAAACTTTTGAGAAACCAGAGGGCAGATTTTTCAGCATACCACTACTTCATGTACAATAATTAATGAAAAACTTCGTCAAAACAGAAGCATCAAATTCTTTAAAACTAAATTGTAGCCAGACCTTTTGGGATGACATGCATACTAGTGTCAACAGGAGCAACAGCGTTTTCCTGAAAAACAAAAGGCAGCTCCTGAGGTAAAATGGACATTCAAGAGTCTCAGCTTTCATTATAAGAACCGTTGACCCCTGAAGACTGACAAGTCCAAGTATAAAATGCAAGCAGCTCAATAAGAAACAATAGGAAGGGAAATAAAAGTCAAAAAGTTTGTTTTTCAGTTCATTTCATATAAAAGTGTTTATCATTATTTCAAGTTTCTCAAGTACACAGAATGCAAATTGGCATCCAATGTATTAAAAAAAGTTTGACACATAGATTACAAGCAAACAAAATAGGTAGGTTAGACTTATCTCATGGTGTATTTATTTCCAATTGATTTGCCTTTGCTGAAACTGACCCACTTTTTATTCTATTCCTGAAGTGGATTTTGCCCTTGGTAACCAGAGACTGAACCATTTTACCTTGTTTGGTATGAAACATAGAATCACAGAATTGTAGAGTAGGAAGGGACCATGAGGGACATCTAGTCCAACCCCTGCAATGCAGGAATCTTTTGTTCATCATTGGAATCTACTGTTACGTTTATTACTGGCATAAAGTAACCAACACATAACCAGCTACATTGAATTCACCATGCTTTGTACAAAACCAGTCCTTGTAATTCTGTAATGCCTTGGATTCAGAAACAGTGAACACAACAGAAAAGTATAGCCTGGATCGGACATGTTCATGGTTTAATAAAAATGGTTTGTTGGACCTGGAATTTACTGCACGCCTGCATTCTCTTGCTTACTGTTGCGCAATCCACCTCCACTTGCATGTCCAGCTTAATACAATAATTCCTGTTTTTTCAAGCCACAGTTTGCTGAGCCAAGGTGTCTGAGTGCTCTGGTCTGAGTGCTCCCTACGAACCAGGATTGGACACAGTACTTTCCTAATCCAACAAAACATGGCATGAACCTGACCTAGGATTCTTTCAAGGAAGGATCACAATGCAATAATGCATGTTTGGCAGGCGTCTGTCCAGGGCATTAAGTCCTTTCTACATCTCATCTACATGAACAAACTCGTTTATGCACAGACTTCACTGAATCAATTTAGCAGAACGCTTGTCATAAAACATCCAAACACAATTGAGGATTTTCCATATAATATTTATACTTTCAAAAGTACAATATTAATACAGGTCCATCAGTTAGAAATAACAGCAGTTTGTTAGCTCTACAGGGCTTCTTTAACGTAAAACCAGCTTACAAATGCTGAAAAGCAGCAGTGGTCCAATAGTCACCATTACACATGAATTTGTCATCTCTTCCAGAAAATTAAAAAAAAAAAGTTCCCAAATTCAATTTACTAGTATCATGAAATATTAATAAAACATCCCCAAACATGCCACAATCACTATTCACAAATAAAGTTAAAGGAACATACAAAATATTTTTTTCACTTAATACTGTTAAATAACAATAATAAACTACAAGATTTCCTGAACAGAAATGGTAGGACCCCTGAATGTTTTACAGTGAACTTCAGGAAAAAAAATTAAGTTATCTATGACTATTTTCATGATATACCAGCCAAAGATTTACATAACCATTTCAAAATATACCAATAAAGATTTACAGCCTCTTGAAGATGCACTAAACAAATAGGTCCAGAAAGGGGAACACAAATGCTTAAAAATACTGTTACTATCACCAGGAGGTATTTATGATACTCACTGAGATGCATAAGCTTAGTAGTAACATGTTGACTAGCTCCAAAAAAAACAGATAACATCTAAGATCTTTAAAACCCTCTAAGTTCTCATGCTTTACAAAGTCTGCAATGCAGAGTGATGGACTTCTCTAGTATGGACTTGCATTCTTCCAGTGGATTTCCAGAAAATATGTTGACACTGAACAGCCATGAAAGCATGGGGCTGGGACGCCCGGCTCCCATCGTTTTGTTTTTAGTCATTCAATAAACATCAAGAATAATACCAAGCTTCAATTTGTAAGCCAATCCTCACTAATAGACATGGAACCTGATAGCATGTAACAAAAGGAACTGTTTTTTCCCCACTTCTTCAGATCAACGTCAGTACTAAGTGCTTTGAAAAAAGGTCTTTTGTATTAAGTTTTGTTACTTTACATCTAATATTAAATAAGAAGTTGAAGGGCCATGAATTTAAGAGCATTAAAAGACAAATTTACCTATTTAACAGTCAAGAAAGCTTTGTTTACATTCCAGGAAACATTGCAGTTAAAAAAAAGAAAAGATAAGATAAGATATAAAACTGCAGCAATAATTCATGGAGAAACAGATGCATTCACATATTATATAAAGCCACTGCAATTTCTGCAGGTGTTCAATTGTTTGTTAACTATACAGACAGTAGTTATTTAGCAGCAATGATTCCGCAATAAATAATGCACTGTGTTTCTCAGTCCTGCACAAAAATTGCAGCTACTGTTACATTAACAGTTGTAACCTACTGGCTCTAATGGCAGAGGAGACCGTAAAATTGACTGTACAAAAATTTGTCACACTGTGACAACAAATATAAAAACATAACCAGCAGGTCTGAAATAAAAAGACTGCACTGTGAGGAGGACAGTGTAGACAAACAAGATTTCAAGTCCACCAAGGGAAGGAACTGCCTTCAGGCTATAGAGTCCTCGATAGGTGCAAGGCAGCCTTGGGCTTGGAAACTGTGTGGTCGACTTCTAGAACAGCATGCTTTGCCTTCTGTTCTTTCCATGCCCTGAAACATAAAACATGGGTTGTATAAAGGAATCTGAGCAAAGTTTATGGCTCCTACCAACCACTGCAGCACATGATGCCAGAACGCTTGTGCATCGCAACAGACATGCAAAGAAGCGATGCAGTTTCTGTATGGCTTTATTCCTATAGCAACCCTATCACTTCTTTGTGAAATGAACCTGTGCAGGCATCTCCAAGCTTACTTCGTAAGCAAAAACTCTGTACTTTCAAAATGCTAAAAAACACAGCATGCGATTGAGGAATCCAAATAATTCCAAGTATTCATTTACAAGGTGTCGATTTTACAGTTTCCTAGCCCTCCAGCTACCGCAGACCTGAAAAACAACAACAAAAATTCTTTGACGCTTACGTACCCGTCTCTGGATAAGTGGAGTTTCGAAAGCCAGGATCTTTCTGAAGCTGAATCTCTTTCAGAGTGAATATTGACACACCTGAAACAATATAAAGAAGTGTCTTTTTCCCCACTTAAGAGCCTCTTTTCTAGAAACATACACTGTGCTCAGAAGCTGCAAAAAACCACAATGACTGCCATATGGAGTTAGAAAGAAGCAAATACTGGGGGGGAATGAAGGAGTTTTAGAGGAGCGCTAGAACTACTAGTAGGTTGGTGGTTCGAATCCCCGCGACGGGGTGCGCTCCCGTTGCTCGGTCCCTGCTCCTGCCAACCTAGCAGTTTGAAAGCACGTCAAAGTGCAAGTAGATAAATAGGTACAGCTCCAGCGGGAAGGTAAACGGTGTTTCTGTGCACTGCTCTGGTTCACCAGAAGTGGCTTAGTCATGCTGGCCACATGACCTGGAAGCTGTACGCCGGCTCCCTCAGCCAATAAAGCGAGATGAGCGCCACAACCCCAGAGTCGGTCACAACTGGACCTAATGGTCAGGGGTCCCTTTACCTAGAACTACTAATGGTGCTCCTCACACTGAAGAGATTATGAAAGGGAATCAAAAAATGATAGGGAGAAAGGAATAATAGATATTTTCCCCACTGCTGCCTTCAAATGCAGCAGGACAAGAGCAGGGAGACTTAAGAGCCTAAGCTTTATTGACCCTGATAGAGGCAAGGATCGCATATGTGAGAGAAAGTTCTGTCTAAAGTTTGGGTGAGGTGTCAACAACTGCGAAGTCCTACTCTACCAGACTCTAGTAGACACAACTTTTTGACTCAGTGCTGCCTTAAGAGATGTTAGTGGTTTAAGGAACAATCATCCAAGGAACATTCAGAAACAAGGGAAGTAAGTTGTCACCTCACTCAAACAAATGCCCAACTAACATCAACGACAAGAGTGGTCTGCTTACTTTCTGGCAGGGCATGTATCCTTGTTCCAAGACTTCTAAAATACGCATGCTTCATAGCTTCTTCTGCTGAAATCCTTTTCTTTGATTCATACTGTTAAAGCAAACAGAATTTTTTTTCTCCCGGATCATAGCTGAGTTTTTGCACACATGCTTTGAGTAGGGATTTAAATGCAAACTCTTTGAGTGGTACTCAAAAACAGACTAATAGCTAGTGCAGTTCTTTCAAGTGTGGTAGGTAAGCTGTGTCCTCTTTAGTCCATTCAGTATTTCTGCGGTATTTCTTCTACCAAATGAAGCAATCTTCACGCTTAGGACCAATGCAGCTCTAATACTACAATCCTAAACGTGTTTCTGCAGAAGCAAGTCCAATGAAGTTCAATGGGCTTTTCTCCCAGGTTATAAGACCACAACATAAATGAGATACTACCAACATGTGCATAACCACAGCTACACTACCTCTGTACTATGTCTAGTAAGGGCTTCGGCTGGTACACCAGTGACAAGTCAAAGATGCTTCACATCAGAGAAGCTACCTAAGCTTTCAAAGAGAAAGCCAAATTTGAATGTACCCAAAGCTAAACAAACAAACAAACAAACAAACAAACAAACCGTTATGTAGAGGGAGTGCATCCCTTACTCCCAAGTCAGATGAAACACCTACACACAGTACTTCCATCATGTTCATTGGTCCTTTTCCAGCCTATTACTGACTCCACACATCATCTCAACACTGAGCAGCTAAAATTTGAAGGGAGGCCACCACCACTGCACAAAAGTGTTTCCAACAAGGGGCAAAGAACCCTTGTCAATTAAACCATTTTTAAATTTTTTATTTATTTGATTGGCCAGTGTCCTTGCCCATGTTTGAACTGATCACACATTCAATTTTGTACTCTTATCACCCACCAAGTAACCCACGGAACTCAATTTTCAGTGTTCATCTGAAAAGCTCAGTACAGATGTCTAAAGAGTAAAAAAAATAAAAATGAAAAGCAGCTTACCTGAAGAAATCTTACTATCAGTTCAATTCCTTCTGAGTCAAGCCTGGAAACAAACAAAACAAAGTTTAGCAGGTAATAGTTATGCATTCCTAAAACATTGCTTCAAGCAGAATCTAACAACTGAAGTGATGTGTACGTGTTTTCAGTGGAGAGAGATCTCTGCAAATTTCAAATCACTCAAGAAGTGGAGCTATAATAAAAAACAAATTATACACAAACAAGGACTATGAGACCCTAATTATGCAACTCCACTAACAACGCTCCTCTGCCAATATGCCCATCCAGTATATTGTTTTTAACTCTAAAGCTAACGGCAGGATGAATGGGCATATGATAAGAGTGGCTGCCATCAAGGTATGTTGGGCAGATATTCTTTTTTAAAAAATTGCATTATTATATAAGGCTACCTTCAGCCTGTGCTTAGACTCTGCCTCCACACGCATGTGTAAGGCAAATACGATGAGAAAAACCAGGAAACATAAAACGCATTCCATTATATGCTTCGTCTTAAATTCAATAAAGCTTAAGTTCTAGAAACGAGTTCATTCCCATTTTATCATAAGGGACAAAAAGGTATTTGTTATGATTAGAGAACATAAGAACATAGCAGAAGCCGGCTGGATCAGGCCAAGTCCAGCATCCTGCTCTTACAGTGGCCCACAGTGGGGAACCCCCAAGCAGGATCTGAGTACAAGAGCCCCCTCCCCTCCTGTGGCCTCCAGGTATTCACAAGCCCCACTGCCTCTAGCTGGGGAGAAAGAGTGCGGCCATCATGGTGGTAATAGCCATTCTCTTCCATGAATTTGCCCAGTCATTTAAAGCCTTCTAAGTTGGTGGCCATCACTGCCTCCTGTTGGAACAAGCTCCCTAGCTTTAATTAGGTGCTGTATTTAAATAAAGCACTTTCTTCTATATGAAACTTCCCACATTCGGCTTCACTGGATCTCCTGGAGTTCTAGCATTATGGAACAGGCAGGAAATGTTTTCTCTATCCACTTTCTTCACCCCATGCATCATTTTTATAAACCTTTATCATGTCGCCTTTCCTTACTCGCCTTTTCTCTAAACTAAAAGTGACATGAAAGCTGCCACCTTTCTTCAAAGCAGAGTTGCTCCGCCCTCATTTTAGTTGCCCTTTTCTGAACCTTTTCCAACTCCAAGCTATCCTTGTTAAGGTAAAGGTAAAGGGACCCCAGATCATTAGGTCCAGTCGTGACCGACTCTGGGGTTGCGGCGCTCATCTCGCTTTATTGACCGAGGGAGCCGGCATACAGCTTCTGGGTTATGTGGCCAGCATGACTAAGCCACTTCTGGTGAACCAGAGCAGCGCATGGAAACGCCGTTTACCTTCCCACCAGACCTATTTATCTACTTGCACTTTGACATGCTTTCGAACTGCTAGGTTGGCAGGAGCAGGGACCGAGCAACGGGAGCTCACGCCGTCACGGGGATTCGAACCACCAACCTTCTGATCGGCAAGTCCTAGGCTCTGTGGTTTAACCCACAGCGCCACCCGCGTCCCTCCTTGTTAAGGTACCTTGTTAAGGTAAGGCGACCAAAACTGTACACAATATTCCAAATGTGGTTACATAATGGATTTATATAACAACATTATGACATCGACAGTTTAATTTTCAATTCCTTTCCTAATGATTCCTAATATGGAATTAGCCATATTTCACAGCTGCTGCACGCTGAGTTACATACTATGACCCCAAGGTCTTGTTCCTGGTTAGTCACTGCCAGTTTATTAGAAGGCAGATATTTTACAAATTTACTACCTACCTACTACGGCTAATCTAAGTGCTATAGTCCATTGGGGAAGAATTAGCTTTAGATTCTAAATTGATATTTTCATGCTATGTACCCAGACAGATTTGTTAACATGTTCCAGTGTCTCCAAACACAACATAAAATAACTGTAGTACCTTGGAGCATGGTTGATTAAAGGCTGTGGCTTGTATTTGGGAAAGTTGTAGTTCCTAAATTCATCACTGGAAGTAATGCCTGGCCACGTTTCTTGTGATGGAGTTCCTAAGTTGAAAGAGAAAACAAATCACACCCATACATGGACTAACAAAATGCAAGCAATTAAACATAGCATCTGAACCCAAAGTTCCCCCACCCTTCAACAAAGAAGAGATGGTAAGCAAGCAACTAAATAATACAATAAAATTGTAGATTAATTTGCAAAAATTAAAAGTACCGCTCTTTATGGAACACTTTCAGAAATCCTCTAAGAAAGCATGACAACCCCATAACTGTAAGCTAAGCGAAATCTATTTACCTAGAAGTCTGAAAATTAAGTGCAATTCGTCTTCAACAGTTGACCCGGGAAATAGAGGTCTTCCAGATGCCATTTCAAAAAATATGCATCCAACTCCCCTACAGACAGAAAAAAATTAAATGACAGTTCAAAAATACTGATTCTGGTTTCCAGTCTAGTTGTACTTAAATGCAACTTGGCTTTCTTGACCTACCCATATACTGCTAGTCATGCCAGTAAGAGCAAAACAACAATAATATAAAATAAGGTACTGCATTCTCTTTCTTCCAGAAGAACCAATTGGCAAAAATTGCATGCATGGAGTTTTCTCCACCTGATGGATCTCAATCAGTCTCACTACTGACATTTAGAGTTCCTAAGTAGGGAAACCTTTGCAGAGTTGATTTCTTAAGTAATTTGCTACAACTAAACCCAGGTTAAAATATATTTTTCTATTCTTTGCCTGCCTCCCTCCACTGCTGCTGTAAACTAAAGAAGTGCTTTGAAATGTTTAAGAACACTCTGCAATATTACTGAGTTTCGTATTCACATGTAGGAGGTATAATTTCACTGAAAGCAAACATGGGTTAGTAATTGAGAAAGACATACCACATGTCAATTTGCGTTGAATATTCGGAAGATCCAAGGAGAACATCAGGCGGCCTATACCATAATGTGACAACCTCATTGGAATAGGTCTTCGTAGGGACAGATTTTGCTCTAGCCAAACCTTCAATGAGAAAGTGTCACATTAGTTTCCTGTAGCTCTTCTGAAGCCTCCTGGCATTTCATTTCATATTATATTGCACTGTATAGATATCATCTGTGCTTTCATCGGTGCTTCTACAGACATTCTGTGTGGTTCAGAAGATCCTGCTGAACACACTAAGTAGAAGAATCAGAGCAAGGGTGGGGGGACAAGTCCAAACATCCATCAGCCCCAGCCAGCATGGCCAATGGCCAGAGAGGATGGAGTTTGTAGGTCAGCAGCATCTGAATGGGAGGTTAGCCAGATTTATACAACTTGCTGAAATACGCATGCTTGTAAGTGCTTTTCTGCTCTGTACCCAAGGACAGGGAATTAATCATAGCTCTGAGGAGTGACTTAATGCTTAATTCCCTTAATGTTTAGGGAAGCTTTTAATGTTTAATAGGTTATTGTATTTTAGTGTTTTGTTGGAAGCCGCCCAGAGTGGCTGGGGGGACCCAGCCAGATGGGCAGAGTATAAATAAATTATTATTATTATTATTATTATTATTATTATTATTATTATTATATTAATGCTTCCAAAGGGTGGTTTTTGAGGCTCCCAATAACTGTGCAGTCCCTGTGCTACTGAACAACAGGATAGAGCTCTGGCAAACTTCAAAACCATAGGAGCTATGTAGCTCCTAAGTTTCTCTGACAAAGCAGGAAGAGCTGCTTAACCAAACTGAACTAAAGCTTAGGGGTGCTTGGGGGTTTCCCATTGGCATCTGGTTGGCCAACAAGATGCTGGACTAGATGGGCCAACAGCCTGATCTAGCAAGTTCTTCTTATGTTCTTAGAGTATGTGCACTGTGGACATTCGAGCATATATGCACAATTAATTGCATGTGATTATATGAGAGATAGTCTAAAGAGTGAACATTTCCCCCCCACCCTCAATGAAGCAAACCATTTACTCCATACCAAAGTCTGCTAGTTTTAATTCTCCTCTTTCATTAATTAGTAGATTTTGTGGTTTCAGATCTCGATGTAGCACTTTTCTCCTGTGACAGTATGCCAAACCACGTAGAATCTGGTATAAAAATAACTATAAAAGGAAAGAGGGGAGAGAGAGAGAAAGGTTAATTCAAAATTAAACTTTCAAAACTGATAAGAAACCACTGCATGGTTGATTATCTGATCGTAACTGCCAGTCTCCAAAAGCAACATGTACACTGAAAACAAAGAGAAATTCTTCTATAACTGCAAGCTGCTTTCAGGTACCAGCTACCTTAATTGTTATTAGCAAGCTTATCCTTATCACTCAAGTGAATTCTTTTAAAATACCCCTCTCTCCTTGCTGCCTCCAATTACCTTCCCTTACACTGCAGTCTTCTATTTCAAATGCAGTGAAAAGGAGATTGCAGGTTAACCCAGCGACATGCTAAAGCACATGAAAAGGCATATCAATGTATCTTTAATCACATTTGTCATACTTTCCCCATCATGAGAACTTCGATTTAGATACCACAATAGCCCCGTGCCTGTTTCCTTATGTTCCTTCCCCTGTCGCCTAAATTTGCCTCTTGAATCAACCCTTTGATATCCTCCATATTTTATTTTTCTGTGTGTGTTTCTATGCCTGAGCAGGTGTCTGCTGCTGCTGCTGCTGCAGGTTCTTCGCTAAAGACAAAAGTGTCCTCATAGAGCTATTTCTTCATACAAGAAACAAGCACACTCCAGCTTATTATTATTCATCAGCTGACTGAGAAACACGCACACAATGCCTTGGCACATTGCCACACATTTCACTGCTGAATTCTGCCGCGAAACAGTTTGTGAAATGGTTTTTGAACAACAGCAAACCAAAAAAAGGTTGTGGTGCTTTTTTTGTGGCTTTGCAAACCTTTTTTTCCTCAAAAAACGTTTGGACAACTGTTATTCTCTTTGGCTCTCTTTTAAGGATTTCATTACCAAACCACATTGGGCTACTCTCCTTTGCATTAATTCCTCAATGCCAGGGATGAGGAGAGCAAGATGTCCAATCAGAAGCCTACATTTGCTTGCCTCCATGAATATTCAGTATCAGTGTTTTCGTGTCCCCAGTCTACACCCACACTGTGGGTATTTTTTGCATCAAGAGACGAAGGTAAAAATCCCGTTCTGAGAAGATGACTGCTGCAGAACAGCAGCTATTAATCATTTGCAGAGCACTCTGAGTAGATTCTATTTGTCACTGAATCTTGCCCTTGTTCCCAGGAGCTCAGGGCAGCATACATGGATTTTTTTAATCCTCCCATTCCTCTCCTATGAAAAAGGTAGATTAGGCAGAGGGAACTGCAGGTCTGAGCAGGGCCTTGAACCTGGCTTTCCTACATATCAACTCCATGTTTTAGTCACAGCACCACCTTCATAATAGCCTTGCGGGGTCATCAGTGGGCCCTTAACAATACCTGGAGATGCCACAGATTGAATCTGGGACCTTCTGCAGACTGAGCAGATGCCCCACCACTATGCTACAGTCCTGGCCCAAACTGAAGAGATAGGGAAGGATGCAAGCAGGTGGACATAGTAGCTCTTTAGCAGACAAAGATTATGAAAATATACGCCTTTAGGCACCAGGCAAAAACATTCCTCTTTAGCCAGGTCTGTAGTTGACTGACAATGCCCTTTTAAATTGGGTTGTTCTTGTTTTTATTTTTATTTTTATTATGCATTCTGTGTTTTTATATTGCGATTATATCACCTGAGCCACCCTGAGACCTGCAGGTATAGAGTGGCATAATAATAATAATAATAATAATAATAATAATAATAATAATGGATTCAGATTTTTTAAAAGTCCTGAGTAAGTTGCAAGGGCCAAATATTTGGCCTATAGACTATTTCAGCTCATTGTTAACCTGCATGTGTTAAAAAACAATGATTTTATTTCATCTGACGTACAGTCATGAGTGTTGGATGAGTAGGTTGCCTCTTTCAAATGCTCCTATACAGTCGTACCTTGGAAGTCGAATGGAATTCATTCCGGAAGTCCGTTCAACTCCCAAAATGTTCGGAAACCAAAACGCGGCTTCTGATTGGCTGCAGGAAGCTCTTGCAGCCAATTGGAAGCCATGGAAGCTGCGCTGGATGTTTGGCTTCCGAAAATCGTTCAAAAACTGGAACACTCACTTCCGGGTTTCCATCGTTTGGGAGCTGATTTTTTTGGGAGCTAAGGCGTTCGGGATCCAAGGTATGACTGCATATTGAGAGCCAGTGTGGTATAGTGGTTAAGAGCGGTAGTCTCATAATCTGGGGAACCGGGTTCACATCTCCGCTCCTCCACATGCAGCTGCTGGGTGACCTTGGGCTAGTCACACTTCTCTGAAGTCTCTCAGCCCCACTCACCTCACAGAGTGTTTGTTGTGGGGGAGGAAGGGAAAGGAGAATGTTAGCCGCTTTGAGACTCCTTAAAGGGAGTTGTCAGGGAACTGCCATCGGAGCTAGAGGCGGAGAGAAGTCTCCAGAGGGATGCCGGAGAGGGTCCCAGTAGGGAGAGAGGCAGCCCATCTGCTGGGGAAGGAAATCAGCGTAACACCAGTAGAGAAGGGGGGCAGATGGGGGAATCGGAGAGGAGGCTCCAAGACTCCTCGCCGGAGACCAGCGGAGAGAGTACGGGTACTCCGCTGCCCACACCCTCCCTGCGCAGAAGGCTTCCGCGCAGGGAGAGTAGGAGGAGACTTGGCGTCAAAGAACTTCCATGCTGGAAGAGGTTCAAGAAACGCCCACTGACGGATTCTGCCAGTGACTGAGACAGTCACGATGCTAGAGGCTGTTCAGTCAGAAAGGGTTTACCAGGTAACCTAGCCAGGAGTGGCGGCAACTTACGCATGAGCAACCCCTAAATCCATTACAGGAGTGAAAGGCGGGATATCAAATCCAAACTCTTCTTCTTCTTCTTCTTCTATGCCATAGCAGGGCTTTAGGTTATCAATCCAAGCCACTTACAAAATATTAGCAGCAGCCTTGATTTTTAAAAGTTATTTGCTTCTCATTCAACCCTTGGATAAACCAGTCCACACCCCAAGGTTAAAAAGTCCAGTTTTTTCCTCCCAATGGAAATTATTTTGAGATCTAAATCAGATGGGTTAAAAAAATATGGGAGAACTGCTACACCAAATAAAATAAAAGGATCTATGAAAGGAAGGGGCCAGCAATGTTATAATAATTTGGGCATAAAATCAATTGGAACACTTAAAATAGCCAAATTTCATGTCATTCTGGCACGCTATAGGGTCATCCACATTTACTCCATCAGTCATCAAGTAAACAAGCTCCTGCTTGAGAAACACGAAATGTTTGGTCCACTGAAAGGCAAGCAATTACATGCAAAACTATGTAACTTGAATACTTGCCAGTTAAGAGGTTCTCTTCAATAACGCAAAGTGCTTCTATGCAAATTTCACAGTGGTTTACTAATTAAACCTGCTTTCTGAAGGGCAAATTACTCAAACAGGAACGCCCCCACACACATACACTGAAAAATATATAAATATTAAGGAGCACCAATTATGAAAAAGAGCAAAATGGTTGGAATATAGTGACTATGACTTACCTTTACATTGTGCATACTCATAATGTTACCACAATCATCCATATACTGCTTTAAATCTTTGTCCTGTGAAAACAAAAATAAGGCGTTATCTACAATAGGGATACAAAGTTATGTTTATTTATTGCTATTCCTTAAAGTGTTTATTTCTTTAGAGAAGACAGAGGTGCCTATTCTGGCTGATGGACCAGATGTTTATTTCTGTACTCCTGGTGGGCCAAATCTGACAGGTGGGCAGCTTCATCCATCACTATGACCTCGGGTGATGCTGTGCCTCAAAGCTCTGACTCTCGTTGCACATTGCCTGAAATCCAGAGAAGTGTGAGGCTCTTTGCAAAAGGCCTTTTTGGTTTTCAGAGTTTAGAATCTAAGCCATACAATCTAAAAGGCTCAGGGAAGATAGCTACAACCCTGCCAATCTATATCAGGAATATCGTCAGATTAAAACCGGAACCATTAATTGGTAGATTACTCAACTGAAGCTTAGTAGGGCCAGTTTTGAATGAGAGGGTAAATTATAGACAGTGAACAGACACACTTTTGAGGAATTTTGGTCTCCCCTAAAGCAAGAAAAGAAAGAGGAAAATGTTGACGAAAGCTTTCACCTTTCACAACGCTGCCTTCTATTTATTACAAAATTCATTTAGCATTTTCAGCATTTCAATAGTTAAAAAGGATTTGGGACACACACACACACAAACACAAGATTATATACTGCATCAGCAAAGAGGCAGATGATTAATCAACTCTTTTTTATCATTTGGCAGCTCAGCTTTAAAACTACTCCTAGGAAATGCTTATGTTCAGACTTTGGTGAACCTTTGAAGATAAAACTTTTGAGGGAAGTAGCTAAAATACCTCTCTGTGCATCCTTATAATCTGAACCAGGCATAGGCAAACTTGGCCCTCCAGATGTTTTGGGACTACAACTCCCATCATCCCTGACCACTGGTCCTGTTAGCTAGGGATGGTGGGAGTTGTAGTCCCAAAACATCTGGAGGGCCAAGTTTGCCTATGCCTGATCTGAACTGTATGAACAGATTAAAAGAATTGTGCATGTTTGCAGCAGACACAAAAAGTTCAAGATGGAGCATAGGGGAAGTAGTAGAATAAAGTATGTATACCCAAAACTAGTTGAAACCAAAACTGAGTTGCTCCAGAGAGACACTGATGAGCTAGCACAAACCAATACTTCGCAGGACTGATCACTGCAGAAAAGCATGGATGAAAGTCATTAGGTCAAACTCGGAAAAGGCTGGGGGAGAGGGAAGTACTCCTGGCTGCTTGCTACTGAAATATGAACAATTTAAGCACAAAAATGGATCCTGAAATAATCTCAAAGCTGTATCACCGAATCCTATTAATGATAGTCCCTTTTCTATCCTTTTCTGCCCCAGGTTGCAGACCCTATGAATCACCCTGTCTCATCAGGCTTATCTTTCGTTGTAACCACAGACACTGAAGCAGCACAGTGTTTTAGAAGGTCTCCACCTTGTCCTCATAGCAAATATATGATTAATTGCCCAACTTCTCTAATATAGAACTGCATTTTCTAGCATGCCAATTAGGTACCAAACATGAGAGTGGATTGGCTGTATATTCTTTTTTAACAGTGCCAGCACAATGTAATAAGGTAAGTCATACTATAAATAGCTTAAGGTAGTGCTGAAATGGCATTGTTCCTCCCCCCCATGGTGGGGGGGAAAGGTGGTTGACACAACAGCTGGGATCCTGAAAACAAAGAGCACAAAACAACTGGCCTACAAAAAGGAAACATTTGGGCTATTTTAGGACGTAAAACAGATCTCTCTGTTTCTGTAACAGAATATGAGGAAGATGTACATCTGCAGTACATACAAAACTTTAGAAGGCAAATGCATTAAGTATAACTCATATATATATATATATATATATCTATATCTATATATATCAACTAAGTATTTGAAGAAAGCTTGTACGAAGAACAAACTTAGTTGGTCTCTAAGGTGCTACTGGACAATTTTTTAATTTTTTTACATATTTCGACTGCGTCAGACCAACACGGCTACCTACCTGAATCTACACTCAAATTAAAGAGTTTTGTAGCAAAAAACCCCCCAAAACCTTACTACAATTCATACAAGAAATTGTGGTAACGGAATGAATGAATTAACGCCACTGCCTCCCACAATTCACATATACTGAAACAGTATTATTATATTTCTCTAGGGTTAAACAAATTCAAACAAGAAATTTGAGTGGGAAAGAAAACAACTTACCAGGTACTCAAAGACCAGAGTTAATGATTTGTCTGTATGAACAATATCATGTAGCGTAACGATATTTGCATGTTTTAGATCTTTTAACAATGACACTGCAAAAGAAGAACAGAATTAATAGCCAGGACTGGTAAATAAATGGAAAAATTGAAGTGTACAGATATTAGCGTGTCAAATGGATAGTGGACTAAAAATAGCTGTCTGGAAAGCTATATAATTTTTTTACACACCATTATTTTAGTTCATGTGCTACAGATCCAGGCAGAAATACAATTATGTTCTGCAGGTGAAATCAAAGGATCCAAAGGCCCAGAGTTTTCTCTGAGTGAGTGGGTTAGGCACACTTTTATCTGTAGGGGCTTGAAAAGCAGAGGCTTAGCCCCAGGGAACTACCTTGGTGATGATCAAAAGGGGGCATATGGAAGTCGTGAGGGAGAGGAGAGGAGAGGAAAAAATATAGGATGGAAAATGCCACATATTTCAAGTGTGGGGAGGAACATGGTTTAGATTTGCTGTCACACCAAGATAACAGACTGTTTTACTATGACAGGGTTACGCTCAAGAGGAGTTGTTTCTCATGTCTGACACTTGGGCAAGCAAGCAAAAAGACAGCATGCTTCATCATTTATAACTACTGGGAATGTCACAAGATGCATTTCTGGCAAAGAAATATACGGGCAGGGCGCAGAATTCTCTGTCTCGTGAATTCAAGTTGATCTACGGGCTTGAGGGAAGTCTCCAGGGTTTCAGGCAAGGTTCTTTCTCAGCCCTGCCTGGGGATGGCAGGTTTCAAGCCTGGGATCTTCTGCATGCAAAGACGGTGTTCTGCCATTCCGCTACGGCCTTTCCCCTCGGGTTCAGGATTTGATGCATTTCTTCACAACTCACAAGTCATACTACTGGAGTTCCAGTTGGTGGAACCATATAAAATGCAATAAAAGAAAAGAAAATCTGCTTACCTTCTCTAATGGCTGTGCATGGTGCCCCTTCTTCGTGTTCTAATCTGATTTCTTTCAAAGCTACCAAGTTTTCTGTCAGCTTACTTCTTCCCTTATATACAGTTGCATAGGTGCCCTGTATAGCAAGGAAAAGGACAAAATATATACACTCACAAAAATTGTTTGAGAGTTCTTCTCCAGCTATAGAAAAAAAGCAAGCCAAACTTTGATTTTTACTTATAGAATCATAGACTTGCAGAGCTGGAAGGGACCATGGGGGTCATCTAGTCCAACCCCCTGCAATGCAGGAATCTCAACTAAATCATAAATGACAGACAGCCATTCTGCTTAAAAACCTCCAAGGAAAGAGAGTCCACCATCTCTTGTGGAAGTCTGTTCCACTGTTGAATGGCTCTTCCTGTCAGAAAGGCCTTTCTGATGTTTAGTCAGAATCTCCTTTCTTGTTAACTTAAAGCTACTGGTTTGGATCTCAGCAGGAGAAAACAAGCTTTCACAACCCTTGTGTGATAGTCCTTTAGATATTTGAAGATGGCTATCATATCTCAGTCTCTTCTTTATCAGGCTAAACATACCCAGCTCCCTCAACCATTCCTCATAAGGCTTGGTCTCCAGACCCTTGATCATATCTTGATTCCTCTCCTCTGCACACACTCCAGCTTGTAAATATCCTTCTTAAATTGTGGTGCCCAGAACTGGACATTTCTCCATCTTGTCCATGCAGAGGATCTACCACTTGCTTGTTCCTCCTCTTGCTTTGAAGATAGTCAAAGAAACCTTTTAAAAATCATTTTTAACCTCCCTTGCAAGCTTGAGTTCATTCTGAGCTTTGGCCCACCTAACCTTCTCTCTGCAACATTTGACTACTCGTGTATACTGTTCCTTCATGATTCCACCTTTCTTCCATTTATTATACATTCCCTTCTTATATCTCAGCTCATCTGTAAGCTCCTTATGCAGTTTCAAAAGGGGTTAAGTTGGCACTGTGGTTAAAATCTGTGCCAAACAAGCACTTAAGCATGGTTAGGGCAAGTAGAGATAGTTTTCACTCTGTATAACAGAGGTGGGAAAGAGCCGATCAAGGGCTAACCATGGGATTGTTTAACCATGGTCAAGCAACTGTGAGTGCAACAAGTGTACCAGATCTCCTTTACATGCTTATTTTTCATTTCTTTGGGGGGGAATTGAAGACATAGGGTTGTAGCTAATGCTAGTGCAACTCAAGAGTAGACTGACTGAAATTAATGGATACGAGTAACTGATGCATTAATTTCAATGAGCTTACTCTGAGCAGGAATTAGTTTGATATAATCCAAAAATTTTGTTTAAACTAATTCTTGAAAAAAATGCAAAGAATGACAAAATCAAATAGTTCTCATCTATGAATCACTAGGGCCTAAAATAACAGTGTTAAGGTGTAATGGTGCAAATACAAGGGTGCAAATATCATTAGTGTAAGAAGTATATATTTTGTAATATAATGTTCCCTTAGGGCAACTCATGCGATGTATAACCAGGCGAAATCAGACCACATAACATCTCTATATGCTGAAGATGCCCTCACAAATCAGATGACTCAATTGAAACTGTCATGTCTGTCTCAAGCTTTCATGTGTTGTCAAGTAGTCATCTCTATATAACCACTGCTGAACATGACAGCTGTTAGGCATAGTTATTACAAAGGAAAACCATCATGCCTTTAACAAACAAGGCACAGTTACTAGTTTTCCAGCCTGTCCTATTGCTTATCCTGAACAGTCAAGTTTTTAAAACATAAATGAAAGGCAGTGGATATAATGTTGGTTGTAGACCTGCACAGACTCTGTTGGTTTCAGCAAGTCACTATCTATCACTGTCACTCTTGTGAGAGAAAAAACAAGATTATAAAACACCTCACACATTGAAAAAACGTTGATGTAAGTATTAATTTATTGATAAAAAGACCCACATCTCTTGGGGGGTTGTAGGGTGGAATAGGATACATACCTCACCAAGCTTTTCCAATTTTATGTAAGTTTCCATTTTCCCAAATCCAATTTCAGACTGTAATAAAGGGGGGGGGGAGGCAAAAGGCAAATTCATTTAGAACTACTGTAATAAGTGAGATACTCATGAAGAACTGTTCATCTATTGGAAAACAAAACTGAGGAAGTAACTGTTGGAATTCTGCCTGGGTCAGAGGAATGTGCCACAGTGGAGGCACCGGCAGATATTCCTGTCGACCTCCCCGCGTCTCCACTCTGCTGATAAGCAGGCGAGGTCCGGCGATTCTTCTCAGATTTTTGAGTGGAACACACCGTTCTTCCTCTCTCCCCTTTGAGTGTCCCCAGGGAGGAAAGAAGCAGACAGAAAACTATTTACATCATTTATTTCTGCCTCTTACATCAGTACAGAGAATCATGTCTGCACTCAACAACAGCAAGAAGAAAACTCCTCCCAAGTACATCCAGTACGGGTCATATGACACACACACACTGAGCTAACATCCGGTGCTCAGTACAGAATGGACTGCCCCTTTGTTCCCATGGCAACAGTCACAAACATCCTGCCTGGCTTTCCAGCCACAAGCAGCTGGCTGAGCTGCTAGAGCCTTTGCTTGCTGCAGCATTGGTGCTTTATGGTAACAGTAACGTGTCCAAGCCGGGTTGGGATAGTCTATACCAGGATAAAAACTAGGGCTTGGAGCTGTACTTTCATTAGTGGACTTCCTGCCTGCACCTTCCCACTGCAGCCCACTTATCCTCTTGAAATCTGCTTCTGGGGGTTAGAAGATTGCCTGGAACAGCAACAGATGTGGCAAATGGGGAACTAAAGCAGGAAGAAAGAATAAGCAAATATCAGAACTCCCCTTCCCTTGCCACCTTTGCAGAAGCACCGGCTCACTCACTGAATCTAAGCCCTGGCTTTGAATGTCCCAGTAAAAACTAGTTTCCCCACTCCGGGCGTACAAATTGGTCCCAGTTCAAAATATTAACACTACCACAGGTGCTCTGGGAAGCAATGTGAAAGGAGATTACCAGCAGCCCAGTAACAGAGCTTGTGCCAGGTCCTTTGGAACTGGATTTGCTAATTTACTGCAGAAGTAATCATGGGCCCTGATCCATCTCCCATCAAAGCAAGATATGAATGCATGACTAGTTATGCAAGAACATGGATGGGGAAATGTACATCAGAAGATGTATCCCATTCAAATTAATAGACGCTACCCACACTTTGACCTAATGAAGTTATTATATTTTTTTAAAGAAAACCCAGCAAGAGATATGTGCATGCAAGTCTGCTTATCCTATTGGACCTACTTAGCTGGATTGGGATGAGAGGCTGTGGTTTTTCTTGATTATGCCAGCGGCAGGTTGCAAAATCTTTCCTCATGTGGCCTGCCTTCCCACACACTTTTCTTTTCCCATATAAGACTCCAAGGGCTACTTCTTACACACGCTTGGTCCTTGAGAACAGATACCAAGGTACCAAATGCATACACACAAAGACAAATATTCATTTATTTCCCAAACATTTAGACCGCCGTTCATCACACATAGCAATCACAGGAGGGGTTCCAACATCCATCTAAAAATATGGTTGATAATAAAACATTTATTTATTTTTTTGGTCAAACAGTAAAATATTAGAAGTGCAGATTAAAAACCTAAGACCTTGAACTACCACATTAAATTTCCTCTGAAGGCTTGAAAAGCTAAGTAAGTTTCAATGGAATTCCAGAAGTGCAGTTGCCATCCACACCTCCAGGGGGAGAGAATTGTATCAGCATGGTGCCACAACAGAGAAGCCCCTGCCTAGCTTGCTTGACCCCCTGGTAGGCCAGGACATGAAGTGCATATGCACACACACAGGCATACACACACACACACTTTTTTTTAAAACAGACACTTTCCCGCTTAAAATACATGCAAGCAGCGGGCCAAGCCTTTTCCACTCACTTGGGTTTAGAAAGACAAGAATCTTGATGTAGGTTGCTTGTCTTTCATGATATATGTAAGAGCTACAAGTGTTTTGTACTTCACCCAAGAACAATACGCTGCTAAAAAGCACCTCTTTCCCAAGCAAATCAAAAAGTTAGTTTCCTCTATCACCCCTCCATTTTACCACTGAACACCAGGAAAAGCCTGATAAAACTGGTAATTTCCAGTGCCATTTCTGAAACTAACTTTTGCTGGGTAATTGCTATTCTTCCCTTGACCCAGTAGTGGGACTAGAGTCCTGCTTTCACACCTCCTCTTAACTGCAATTCCTGTACTCTGCTTGCAAAAAGTGCCTTATTAAGAGACTTCAACTCATTATCTTCAGCAATCCTGAATATTGCTTCTCCTGTGCACTGAAGCTATACATAACAGAGAATGCTGTGTTGCCTCAAAGCTTTATTGCTGTCTCTGTTGGGGAATCTATTTATACATAAGTATAAACAAAGTAGAAATGGGAAGGAACTATAGTATGCACACAGTACAGTCCTTAAGAAAAGCAAGAAACTACCAGCCTTTAGGGAAGGTTTTACAGAATTTTGTTTTTAAAAAGTAGTAGTAAATGTTTCTCATTATTTGTGCTCCTATCACAAACCAGGCTATGATTCTAATCAACTTCCTAGGGAGGGAGCCCCAGTGACAGACTTAAGATCATGTTGTATGTGGGTTTCTACAGTGCTCCATTTACTGCAGCAGAGAAAGAGTAGGATGGAAAAAACTGATGACCCTTCTGATAAAAAACAATGAGTTTAAATTACTTAGTATATGGAACTAAAAACCATTATCAGAGACTTATTTAGGGGATGGGGGAAGTCTGCAGAAATAAAACAATCACAAGGTCCTGTTTAAAATCAGGCAAAAAGGGGGCCAGATAAACATGACAACTGAATGCCCCCCACCAACCACACTTCAGTTGGCAAGGACGATTGGATGGGAAGCTAAACATAGAAAGACAAATAGCAACATCAGTTCCTCGCACCCTCTTAGGTCACTGCAAAACAATCCCGAACTAATTGTCTAGAGCAGAATCATGCAGTGGGATATGAACAATGCAAATGGTGGCAGCAAGGTGGCTGACACTCAGGGAGGGACTGGGCTGCAAAGTACAGTGGTACCTCAGGTTACAGACGCTTCAGGTTACAGACTCTGCTAACCCAGAAATAGTACCTTGGGTGAAGAACTTTGCTTCAGGATGAGAACAGAAATTGTGTTCTGGTGGCGCGGCGGCAGCGGGAGGCCCCATTAGCTAAAGTGGTACCTCAGGTTAAGAACAGTTTCAGGTTAAGAACAGACCTCCAGAACAAATTAAGTTCTTAACCCGAGGCACCACTGTACCTACAAATGAGCTTTATGAAATCCCAGATACAGCATGTCAGTGAAATGAAGTTGCAGTTGTCATGGATGCCCCTGAATCATACTAGCAGCTCCTGCCTCTTAGCCCTGACATGAGGCCCTGAGGAGAAAGACACCAACCTTGGCCTATGGGTTAAAACTCTCACTCTGCGTAGATGGGAAATGTCCATGCATGCATACTGCAAGCCCATTGCTCGTATATTTGCTTTTTACCCTTCATGTTCCCCTAAACAGGGACTACATTTGCAGCATCTGTTACCAGACTTTATTGGCAGGAGGAAGAATAAGCAGGAGAAAAAGCAAGAGTCACTGGGGGCGGGGTGAGGGGTAGCACAACCAGCCTTGCCATGCAGCGAGGGAATGTGTTGCTGCTACCCTTTGCAAGGAAATGCTGTGTCCCCACATCAAATGCCATCAGAATACTAATCAGCTGAGGTAAGGGCTGTCTAGCATAAAGCAAAAGTCAGCAATTATCTGCAAATGGCTGATGAAACCATGCTGACAGACATTCAAAGCTATTTTCCCTACATGACTGGTTACTAATTGTGGGGATTTAAAATTCTACTAAAGTTCGCAGACATCTTTTGCTATTTATTTAAATGGAGCCAGCTTTCATTTTTCTCCTAATGACAAAAACCTACTTTATAATCAACAGGGCTTATCTACTATAAGTCTGTTAACAGAACTAATTGTACTCGTTTAACTCTTCTACTTAGTTGGGCCCCCAAAATGATATTAAATATGTATAACATTTCATTCACCTACAGTAAAGGGCTGTTTCAACTTCAGTTTGTGAGGGTTTCACTATAAGCGTTATCAAGGCAAAAGTAAACAGAAAAAAAGAATCTCCACACAGGTAGACCCCAATGGAAGTAAATAAAAGAAAAACTCTATACACAGCCCATTAAATGACCCCAACACGGTCAAAACCTCCAATTTAAACAACACAGGCAACTGCTGCATGAACATTAAGTAGCTAAGATAAAATAGAATCGAACTATTCAGTTCTGTCCTCCCCCTCCCCCACTACCACCTCAAGGATGTTCTGAGATGAAAGAAAACTCAAATTAACATTGAGGCTTTGAAGACTAGGAATTAAGATTGGGAACTTCTACAGTCTTGAGATACCACCCCTGTAAGGTGCACTCTTGCAGTACAACCAATAGCTCTCAGTACCTTTTTTACATTAAATATTGGAGATACAAATCACTGACTTGTATCTCACATCAGGCTAGCAGAAAAAGTATAGGTAGTGGCCCTTTTCTGCAAGTCTTTTCTGTCTTTTCTAACAGGCCTTGGCATCCTATTAAGCAACCAGCAAACCTTCTATGGGCAAAAAGCACTGTGTACTTCGCAACGTTCCTCTCTTCGTTCTAGCCAACATTTCTCCCTTATTGACAGCACCAGCATTGGCACCCATATAACTAAGTGAAGCACCACTGTTTTCCTAATACTGGCATGTGCTTGCATAACATTTTACACTAATGGAAACTGAGGACTGGATTTAACTCTTGTTCAAGGCCAAAAAAAGGGAGTGAAATTTTGTAACTGTATATATTGCTCATAGGACATATTTGCAGGTCATGCTAAACCATGGGTGTGCAAGGAGGGAGTCGCTGGAAACCCTGTAATTGTGCACTCAGTTCCCTTCCTGCACAGTCAAGAAAAAGACTTTGCTCAAATTGAACTACACTTTCCATGAATGCCAGGTTTCTGTCCTAACTCTGGTTAGCCTTTAACAAACCAGTTTCAGAAACCATGGTTAGAAGTTGCCTCGTTTTGAAACTAACCCTGTTTTGAAACCACAACCCCCTGTCTGGATAACATGACAATCAGACATTCAGGGCAAGGAAAATTAAGCATTGGTGAAGTTCTTCCAGCCATGCAAGGGAAGTTGGGGGTGGGGGGTGGGATATGTGATCATGAGGATCCTTGCACCTTCTTCCCCACTACTGGGTCTGACAAAAAGCCAATGGTTAAATTGGAATATATTTGACCATAGTAATAGAATATTTAAACATAGAAGGGTTAAAAACATTAGGTATAGACTCTTGCTCTTAAATGACAGATGAATTAAAGGTGTGCCAAGATGATACATTGCTACAAACACAACACTGCACTTGTCAGTACATGCTAAGCTGATTAAATATTTACTCCACTAAGCTAGGCCTTTAATGCAAATGTTTTCAAAGGGAGACCATAAAATTGTTACTCTATTTTTTAAAAAACAACAACACTTGATTCCCTCTGCTAACAGCAAGGTTTGCGCCGTATCTGAAAGGCTAAGTTGAATGCAGAGTTTCTTGAAAACAAAATTGTTGCACATCTCAAAAGAAGAGCCCAGCGGACTGAGCAGAAGGAAAGAGGCAGCACGTGCATTGCCAACAAACACAGCTGCCAGATCTCAGCTTACAAGGAGCAACAAGTTCTTTTAAATGTGGAAGGGGGAGTGCGGGCGCAGAAAAGGCGTCTTGTAAGAGATGGTCCATTTTAAATGCACACTGTGCTCATTAGAGGGCACAATTTTTCCTACTACAGCTTGAAAAACAGGTTCCTACAAACAAGGATTGCTTGAGACGGAAGGGAAAATAGTCAAGCTATCCTATAAAGCACACTGAAATAGATTTATCTGAATGTGCCAAGACAGGTACAGAGCAGCCCTTCTAAAAAAACACTTCTTTGCAGCTAAAAGGATCTTAAGAGAACCCTAGCTTTTTCTTTCAACTTTAAAATTGCTGTAACCAAATTTATTCATTTTCTATTATTTTTCCATTTCACACCCCCCCCCAAATCCAAGGCAGTTCACAATCCACACAATTAGGAAGTTACCATTTGTGAATCAGTAACTACTGTTAAGTACACACTTCTAACATCAACACACACCCAACATTGGTTATAAACTTACTACTCTCCTACCTGGCACCATATGCAACCTGCCTCTGCCTCTACAATTTAGGATAGTGTCCTCCCTCTGTTGTTGCTAAGAACAGCTAATCTACTCCCATGAAAGCCTTACTTTCACCTTCCAATTTTCCTTAGCTGTCCACTTTCCTCTCATCCAAGGGGGAAAACACCATACCAGAGCAACCCTACTAAAAGGAAGCTCTTCCTCAAAAATCTGCTCCTCTTGATTATCTCGATTGCAAATAATATTCCAAAGTTTTTGCCTGCTGTCGCTACAACTTTCCGATCTTCTTGGCTTTTTAGGGCTCATTCATGTAATTAAATGTTTGTGTTCGATGACTGCAAGTTATATTTTCAAAGCCTTCATGAAGATCCATTCACAATCTTCAAGAAGTCACCATGTCCTTATGTCTGGGATAACTTGCAATGTAAACAAGAGCTACCCTACCTCCGATTGGCAGAAGTTAAGTATTTAGACATAATATTTTCTCCAAGTTTAAAACAAAGCCAGCATGATTGCTATAAATAAATGCTATGAATAAAAACTGACTTAAAACAAGACACAATGTTCTAGGCATATTTTTAAAATAAGTATTTTTAAAGTTCTAATCAGCGATTAAGCTGACACTGAAACAATAAGCTTTGCATTTTATCAACTCTTTCAATGCTGTGACACCAGTGCTTTCAGCAGAACTTCATTTTAATATGGTATAGAAGGCAGGCTGCAACTGCTGAGATCTTCCCTTGTCTGAGGCATGTTTTTATAAATCACAGAATACTTATAACTAGGGCATTTAATAATTTATGATTCCACAGGGACACATGATATGAGAAGTTTCAAGTGCGAGGTGCCGGGGAAGAGCTCACAGTTGGGTACCATTGGCAGGAACCCACGGTGCAGGCAAAGCTTTGGCGTCAATCATTCCAAATAAAAATAAGCATGAACAAACCAGCAGGGGAAAGGGATGATGATGATGTGGAGGACAATAACAACAGTGATATTTACAAAACAAATGCCACTACCACCATCACCCAACCCACTTTCTAGCCCAGCATTATGTTCTTTTTAAATAAAAGTCTAAATTATAAATAACGCTAGTAACGATTATCTAGTAATTACATACTTCCCTGTGCATATACCAAAGATATAAATACATGAAATGTACATAAATATATAATTTATTCTGGCAGCTGTGAATGAGCTGACCATATTTTTGGTGACCACTATGGCAGATGTGCAAGAGGTCACTTAAAGTGGTCAGGTATCTGTATCCTAAGTATAGAGAGGAGCAGAAGAAACTACTGGAACTGAGTCCAAAAAAATCAAGCAATGTGAGAGACAGTAGCAGATGTGCCACACTGCTGTGCAGCAGACCACAAACATTGCTAGTCACAATCAAATGCCACAACACATTTCAGGTGCTACCAGAGTATCTGTCAACTAGAAAAGGTAGCAGCAACTTACCAGGGATGCTCTGCGAGATCGTCTGCTCATTGGTTGATCAAACGGTGGACTGTTTATCTGTAGCTTTTCAAGATATCCATCTGGTATCCTGATGTCTGCAGGTAGTGACAAACGCTTGTTCAGGTCCTGAGGAAGTTAACAACCATTGTTAGAGGGGCACAAGTAATTTAAAAAAACCCAAAAACAAAAACCAATCAAATATAAAGTTGATTCAAAGAACATTTCAATATTCGATAATTGAAAATACTAATTGTGAAGGAAGCAGCATATATCTAATAGTTATGCCAAGGTTAGGTCAACTTGCTATTGGACACGATCTCCAAGAACCCGTAAATCTCAAAACAACTTGTTTCCAAAGGGAACTGCAGTTGCACTACACATCTCAACTGCTTCAATGAAACAAATCTGTATTTGCATTACTGCACAAGAGGATGTGCTTCAGAGTATGATCCCATACTCTGAAGTAACCCCATCAAGCCCAGCTAGACTTACACCCAAGTAACTACATATATGGTTGAAATCTGTTGTGTTCTATTATATATATGTGTAAACACACACACCTAAAATATGGTAACTGTCAACAGGTGCTCAGGGATGAAGGCCGTCTCCATAATGCTTAAGAAGAGTCATATTCAAACCTTCTCAGACACTCACAGTTTGATCACATACATTAGCAAGTATTCTTGAGTTTCTTTTCCTCTCAAATGGACCTCACAGACTGATGATACTTGGCAGAGCCAAAGGTAACCTCTGGAGCCCAAGATTCCTAATATTCCATTCTCTAAATAAAACAATTCTGACCACGTTCTGGGTTGGGTCCATTAGCACCATGTTTTTCTGCAATGTAATTTACCAGTCTGGCATGCTCTAGGCTTCTCCCCTCACCCTGCCACTGAGGTTTGGCCTAGGTGTTCTCATAACTCAACTATTACTTAACCTGGAACAAAATAAAGGTCAAATCTGATGCTCTGACTCCAAGTGGACTTGTACTAAAGTTCTGATTTATATTATCTGCCCTTTTAGGCACAGTAAGTATTTCAATTATATTCCTATATTCAGATTTATAAACGTAAAACCATTGTGGACAGCAGGCAGTAGTTAACCTCTAGACAGCTTCCAACAGCTAGGAAGGTTTATCAGTAATAAAGGTACACTTGCACACCAGTTTTTGGCAACTTCTTCCAAACTGCGACAGTTTTCAAATGGATTATCAGCACTTGATAACAGTTTCAAACTCTTGAAGCTTAAATTGGGTTTGGGCCTGAACTGCTACCGAATGAGAGGGACTGTCTGGAAAGATATAAGGCATAACTCTAACCTGGCCTGAAGCTGACAAGTGATGTTTATAGACATAATCCAATGTTTTTAAAATAGTTCATATTCTTGGCTGTCAGACAGAATTATTGAGAGCCAGGGAATAATAAACTGTTGAGGAAGCAGCAAAGTAAATTATAAAGAAAGAAGAGATGTGAAAGAATAGAAGCAGAAAGTAAAAGAGAGATGAGGACTGAAGGCAAAGAAGAGGATAAACTTTCCAGAAAAGTGCAATGTAAGCTTTAATAATATAGGTGCACTTCACTGGACAGAAAGCACAAAAAGATAAATTATTAAACAATTGGCAAAGAGGCTAGAAGCCTAAAATAATTGCTTCAGGTTCCCAAATCTTCCTTATTACAGTAGCTGAGAAGCACATAATAAATCATGAGGACAGGCACTTAATTATTTGACTCTAACTATAGTATTGCCCTTGCTACTGCAAAGCTACCACAGAGAGAGAGAGAGAGAATAAATGGAAAGCGATGCCCACATGCCATGGTCATCAGGATCCCGTAATATTACCAATGAGAAGGGGGGGGGGGAGATGGAGCTTCAAAGTTTGTAGATGTCAGCTTGATTGCCCAGAAAATCCATTATAGGTCAAATGAAAGTGATTTGCTCTCTTGTGTAAGTATCAGACTGAATCAGCCATCTCACCAATTTCAACTAGCATCAGGAAGACATCATGTCAGCAACAGCCACAAGCTGCTTGCTAATAAGTTACACTGCTGCTGCTCAGGAAAGAGGATTTAATATGCCTTGTTTGTTCCACGATGCTGTTTGCTCTGCTGTTTAATTTCCTGATAAGCTGACCCTAAAGGCCCCACAGCCTTACAAATAAAAGCATACATAATATGTAAATATTTAATTGCGTCTTCCAACATGGCAAGAAACTATGAGTCCATGCCATACACATGGGTCCACTTTCCTTACTGTTTTTGTATTATGTACTCTTATTATACAGCATGAGCTCTCCTTTCTCTCAGTTTTTTTCCAAGCTCACTTATCACATTGCATTTTTGTAACATGACAGAACTGGAACACTTGCAGTGAACTGGATGCACAAATTAAAGTACTGTACCATAAGAACAGTAACTTCTACCGTCTTTGAAATATAAGGATTGCAACTTCCACAACTTAGCCTTTTCTCAGGATACTTGCAGACACACAAAATCTTGTACTGTTGAAAGTAATGTTGGGTTGCTTTCACTTACTTTGCTCAAGACTTCAGAGCAAGGTGTAAAATGGCAACTGTATGAGCAGAAAAAACCTTCAGATCCCAAACAACTGTGGGTTTTAAGGACTGTAAACATTATTTGTTTTGTTGGAAAGGTAACGGGTAAGGTAAATAAAATAGCAAAAGATCAGGATGCCCAAATAAAGGCATATAGGCCATGACACTAATCTATGTGTAGGCACCAGACAATTTTCAAACATGAATCATGGTGCACCATTTTGTTGTTTTACTGTATCATGCCATGTCAGGAACACACTCAGCTAATGGCAATGAGTAATACTTCCCTCATGAAGGAAGTCAATTTTTCTGCAGCACAAAATGACTTATGAGTGGCTGACATCACAATGTTTATTGCACTTGCTTGTTTAATGTTCTGCTGAATTTTAAAAAATGAAGGGCTCTACTAAAATTTAAAAGAGAAGATTAAATACTACAAAGAGTAATAATGATCATACCATTTAAATAGCATGGGGCTCCTCAAACTTCTCTGGTCTTGCAAATGCCAAAAGAAAACAGGGGCTTATGCATCTTTAATAGTTGTGTAGAAGAAGTGTTTTCAGCGACTGTGACTTGCCATGCACAGTGAAACTGCCTCTTCTGTGCAACTATTAAAGGTACAGAATCTGAGCACCTTATGTAAAAAGGCTGCAATGAACTTCCCATAAGTGTGCACCTCTACTATTTTTCATAGTGGATGACAACTGATCTTGCCAAAATTGCTTTCATTTACAACTGGGTTCAACTAAGGAGTCCTAAGAACCTTTCCAGCTTAACTTCACAGTAAAAAATTGATACAATTGTTTTCTGTTTTACTGAAGCCCTGGAACACGCCACCCATTATTTCTTTGGCAAGCAAGACATGTGCAAGCCCACTGCTGCATGATAAAGATCTGTGGTTTGGGACACTTATGTAACAAAAGCATGAGAAGAGCATATCCCATGCTCCAGCCAGCCAAGGAAGAAGGCATGAGAGGGGAGAAGCTGACACTTAGCTCTGTTCCCTTCTTCTTTACAGCTTCCATGGATGTCACAGTGGGTTGGGCTGCTGCACTGCTAAATAGGTAAGGCAAAAAAGGTAAAGGACCCCCGGATGGTTAACTCCAGTCAAGGGTGACTATGAGGTGAGGCGTTCATCTCGCTTCAGGTCGAGGGAGTCGGCGTTTGTCCACAGACAGCTTTCCGGGTCATGTGGCCAGTATGACTATACTGCTTCTGACAGAACGAGACACCATGACAGAAGCCAGAGCGCACGGAAACGCTATTTACCTTCCCGCTGCAGTGGTACCTATTCATCTACTTGCACTGGTGTGCTTTTGAATTGCTAGGTTGGCAGAAGCTGGGACAGAGCAAAAGGAGCTCACCCCGTCACAGGGCTTCGAACCGCCGACCTTCTGATCGGCAAGCCCAGGAGGCTCAGTGGTTTAAACCACAGCACCACCCGCTCTCTAGGCACTGCTAAATAGATACTGCTGGGCAGTAAAGTGCCTCAGGTTCTATGTGCTCAAGGATCCTTTCCCTCCTTTCAACTTCACTCCATTTCCAAACGTCTTATGTTCACTACCTCATCCCCAGGCTCACCACACAATCTGAAAACTGCTGATCAAAGGAACACATTGCCTATCAAGTTAATCATGTCATTCACAGACATGGGAGCCATTTTAAACCACACAGCCTTCTCCAGCAAATCTATTTTGCATAAATTAAATTTTCTAACACATCTGAAGCAGAACACATCTCAGAAAGGTCAGTAAGCATTAAGAGCTCAACTTCGGAACACTCCAAACACAGTCATAGAGAAATCATTACCTCATAAAAGGACAGAAAGCTAAACATAATCTTTATAAGATCTTCAAACTGTAAGAGAACTTAGAACTGTGAATGAAAACCTAACAGTTTAATACAGACATTTTTTTAACTAAGTTGTAATTAGTTTTTTTTTTAAAATGTGCTTAGTGGATATGTGAAAAAGATTACACATTTGAAAAATTTTGTTCTATATAAGAGAAAAGAAGATCATAGTCTAACTGAAGTAGACAGTATGTTGCTCATGGAATGAAGGGGAGTATGGAGATTAGAACAAAAGTTACTGGTTATTATTATTATTAAATAAATAAATAAATTTGTATACTGCCCTTCAACCATAGATCTCAGGCTGGTTCACAATATAAAATTACAATATAAAAACTAACAAAATACAAAATAAAAACAAAAACGAACCAATAATCCTCCCTCCCACAATAAATTTAAAAGGGCAGTGGATGTCAATCAACCAAAGGCCTAGTTGAAGAGGAGTGTTTTTGCCTGGTGCCTAAAGGTGTATAATGAAGGTGCTAGCTGAAGCTCCCTGGGGAGAGTATTCCACAACAGGGGGCCACTACAGAAAAGGCCCATTCTTGTGCTGCCCCCTTTGGACCTCTCATGGAGGAGGCTCACAAAGAAGGACCTTAGAGACCTAAGGTCCTGGTAGGTTCACATAGAGAGAGGGAGTACTACAGTCCTGAGCCATTGAAGGCTTTATAGGTCAAAACCAGCACCTTGAATTGGGTCCAGAAACTGACTGGCAGCCAGCGCAGTCAGGCCAGAATCAGTGTAATATGCTCAAACTGTCTTGTCCCAGTGAGCAATCTAGTTAGCATATAATATATATACTACTGTCTGTGTAGGACAGACAAAACAGGTTTCTCCAACCCGCTGTCCTTCAGATGTTCTTGACTACAACTATGGCTGGGGGCTGATGGGAGTTGTAGTCCAAAAATCTGGAGAGCACCAGGTTGCAGAAAGCTGCTGTAATAACCACAGCAGAATCTTTTAACTGCTATACATGCTACTGGCACCACAATTTAAAGACATTCCCGTTCAATAAGAGGAGCCACCACTCAAGTGGTCTCATCTATTATACAATAAAATAATTCTGAAAAGTAGATATTGTCCAAACTTATCCTTGCAATCTCTAACTTGTTATCAACAGCCTCATTTTTCAGAGCACCCAGACATCTTGCCAGCACTGACATCATTGATTGTGCTTGCCAACAGACGTGTAATTAAATCATGTCATTCTAATTTCAATGGCATTAGAAACACGTATTTTGAATTTGGTAGGGGAGGGAAGAAATGGAAGAACCGACAGTCTGTGAGGAAAATGTTTCCAGAGTTTATCTGATGAACTTAATTATGAGTATTATGTGCATCATTTTCAAACTGCTAAATGTAAAAGGCTTTCAGTCTGGATACTTAATTTGGAGGGAAATAACTAAAGTGAATGTCAAGGCTGCTTTTTGCATTCTTAGTACATAAACTCAAACAGGTGAAATGGGCAAGTTGCCACACAAATCAATAGGAAAAATGTGTCCTGAAATGAATCCAAAAAGCAAAATTATAATTGTCAAAGTTCTTTTGGACTTTTTTTTGGGCAACAACTTTGTAAGGTTCTACAATGAAGAAGTTGACTTTAAAGGAGGTTTTGCCCTTGTATATTAAAAATATCGATTAGTTACATCTCAGTTTTGCTGCAATTTTTCTCCAGGTAGGATGTCTGGCATGCATACAAAGCCTTATAAATGAAGGAAATTAAGTATTCTTTCCTCCCTTTGTTTACCATCATACAAGATTCCGTTTGTTAAACAGGAAGACTGAAAAGCTGAAGAAGTCTAGAACTCTCCTATTGTGTTTAGTTTCTGAAGTGTTATGCAGATTAGTAAGAGGCAAGGGAAGGGAATCTGTGGCCATCACTATGTGGTCAACAGTTAAATCATGTCCTGCTAATTACATGTTGTAGTCCAACAACATCCTGAAGGCCACAAGTTCTCCATCCTTGCTCAAGAGTCTGCATGCCAGGAAATGAAAGTTGACGAGTGCAAAACAAACTCCTGAAGAAAGTTCCAAAATCTGGCCACAATAGGGTGTAGTGCTTTCCCCCCAGCAACATTTGGTGCTCTTCACAACACAAAATCTGAGGATATTTATTTAAAATGCTCTGGTACCAAAATCAGACACCCCTGTCTCCGAGCAGCAAGGGACTCCAGGGCTCACAGTGTTAACACTCCAACTGGGCAGTTCTCAAAGCCATAGCTTTGGAGCCAGTCCACAGGAAAGCCAAGCTTTTCTGTCTAGTTTCCAGCCCAGGCAAAAACTCACACACAAACTAGCCCCCGACCTATACTTCTCCATCCTAGGATGATGTGGCATTCACCCAGACGATGTGGGAAAAGACCTATGTTCTGACCAGGTTTACTCTTGTAGCTTCTAAGCTCGCAGATATAGGTTTGGAATGGGCCCACATATATCATCAATACCACCCCCTCCGGCCTACATTATGTTTACATCTTTCATATGTTTTTATTTCACAATGCTTCTGGGCAGTTTTGAGCATCTGGAATTTTCAGCACCATGTCTCTTTGGGTCAAACTAAATGTGCTTGGGATTCTCCTCCCGCCCCCCCCCCACGCTCTCTCCACCAGCAGCAGATGTCTCATTTAGGATTGGAATTACAACACTGGAAGTTAGCCTCCCACTTGCTCCCAGTTTAATTACACTCACCAAGTCACTGGAGGTGAATACGTTTACCAATAGAAAAGTGGCCTTTTGTTGTGCAACAGGGAAGCTGTGGGTGCCTCCAGACAGAGACCTTCAATACTGAACCAACTTCAATATTTCCTTCCAGAGAGAAATTCCCTTCCATTCTTGGAGACAGCTGTAGCTGAGGAAATCTCTTTCCGCTCAGAGTAGAGAGTAGAAGCATTTAGAGTCATGTTGCGACCTCCTTTCCCTGACAACTTCAGTTCCTCCAAGAGGGGCACCAGAAGGTGCTTAAACTTCCTAGACTTTGTCCAGGAACCCCAAGTAAATTCTGAGGGTTATGATTGTTTGAGGTGCCCTTTGTCAAGTCCAGGGAACTCAGAGGGACATTGGTATGGCCAGAATGGTTGGACAATTCCAGGATTTATGGTGTCAATGACCATGCTTCCATAGACTCATTTCACGCTTCTTGCAGTACAGCAAGAATAGAAGAAATCTGAATTCAAACCTATCCTTTCAGGAGGACTCTTCCTGCATTCTTATGATGGAGGCATACTATCCATTTCCCACTGAATTAGAGGGCAAAGGAATAGGAGATCTATGGGCACTGATAAGCCCTGAAAAAACTACATGAATTCAAACAAACTAAAACACTGGAAAAGGAGGGAAAACTTAAGGAGAACAGGAGAAAACTGAAAGTGAAGCTATTAAAAAAGTAGACAGGTCTTAAAAATTAAGCTGACATGCAAAACAATCATTCTCCTTAAGAGGGAAGACTCAGGAACTAAACGTGGCCATTCAAGTTGGTTGACCATTCTTCTCTGGAAGGGTAAATTAAAGTACACTGGCCCAGCCTTCAGACTAGGAGAGTTAATCACTGTACACTTTGACATATTTGCATACCAACTCTCTAAAGGGTTAGATGATTTATTTACAAGAAGTTCTCACAACACTATCAAAGATAATTTGGAAAAAGCATGAAAAAAGTTAATTGCTACTTCAGTAACTACCAGCTAATTATAGTGAATATCAATGAATTTACTCTAAAACTAACTGACAAGAAAGGAAGTAGTTAAAAGCAGGCAAACAAATCCCAAGTCTCTTGTTAACATAATATAGTTTCCCATGGGGGAGTATTACCTCCATGGAAATCCTTCTGTGTATCCGGTTTCTGAGGCAAACACCTGTAGGGGATTGGACTTCATCAGACGATGTTCCGGAAGCTTGATCACTTTCACCATCTGATCCCATTTTCAGATTTTCATGTACAATATCTAAATCAAAGAAAACCAGCCATTACTTCACACTACTATCTCTCAGTTAAGCAAGCACTCTGCCTTTATTGTCAACCAAAGGCACTGGAGGAAACTAATGTAGCACCCATTTTATCAATAAGATTGTGCCCACAACATGATTGTTCTTTCTAAACATAAAATGACACCATTTTGGTCCAACAAGTCTTATTGACTTGAGTTTCTATTTTTTTAATTGAAACTTCTTTGAATAGAGTTAGCTTCTTTGACAAGAATTAGCTTGTCTTTGAATACCAAGGCTACCAATATGCAGTTGAGATAGCAGGAAAAATGAGTTTAGAATGTGTATGGTCAAAATCTTCTGCAAAGTCATACAGCTTCATATTAAGGATACATTTCAGAGGATGCTTTATTGAAAAGCTGCTAAGAAAGAACATTTCAAGCGAGAGTAATATTCAATTATCAAACTACTTCAAGTAATGGCACTGTGTTCTTGAAATGGGTAGCAGTGCAAATCAGCTCCTTGCATATGCAATAGTAAATGTCAAATTGTGAATGTAACATTTACATGTATTTTTATTTTTCTTAAAAGATAGTAGGAAATGAGAAAAACATACAAGAACCACAACTAGTGGTGAGTAAATTACATTCAGATTTGTATTATTTACCTCTAATGACAACTTTATGAAGGAAAAATAGGGAAATGTCTAGTTGTTGTTGTTGCCAATATATTCCAGTGAGGGAAATGTGAACAGACTATTTTTCTTAGGGACACCAAATCTATGATTTTCAAAGTAAACAAGGAGTACTTTCTTGATGAAACATAAGACTGCAAGATAAAAGGCATATCTAGGCCATTCTGAAGAATTCAGTGGTGTGAATTCTCTTGTCATGCTGCATAGTATTTAACAGATTCCTTTTCAAAAATGGGGGAGTGCATACTTCTCTGGATGAAAAATATCATAATAAGGCACAAGTCTACAACCAAACAAACTGTCCTAGAAGACATAATCCAGCAACACAATGGGCTGGTTCATTTGTAAAATGAAACCATGGTTTACTGCAACACAGAGAAGCCTCAGTGAGTTTAAAAAGGGGGTGGGGCTTTGCGTGATGTTCTCTCCCTTCTCCTCTCATACAGTCAAGACTTAGGCCAAGAAAAATTACAGTTTCAAAGAAACTCATCTTAGCGTTATGTGCAATCCTGGAATATTGGTTAAAACAAAGGTTAACTGCGAACAAGACAACTTTAATCCATGGTTTAAAATGTAAGTTACGAAGTGTTTAAAGTCTAATAGTTTTCTCAAAACTTTAAATAATACTCACTGCTGCTGTCACAGCAAAGCAGCTGCAGGGCAACCTCACCCACAATGCCTCATTCTGGAAGGGCCCTATGTTCCCTAGGAAACTTTGTTAAAGCGAGGCATTGCTGGTTGGAGGCCCTGAAGAGACTTGGTACACGCACACTATAGGTTCTGCCTCAGGCAGCAGGACATCTTGTGCTGGCTCTGTTGAGTACCAAAACTGAACTGAGTTCACAGCCATGCAAAATTGAATCTCAAAATCAAGGTGGGAAGAGTCATTTTGTTGCTGCTATTCTTTAACATATTTGGATTCAGAAAAAATATTGCCTACTGCAACTATTGATCTACTGCAAATCACCCAGAACCTGGCTGATCTTTTGCCCACTCAAGGTTTAACTATTGTTTGCTTTAAAACAGGATTCCTCTTTTGCACCTAACAGTAAGTCAAGATTCTTTGAAATTGAAAGTAAAACTAGTCAGGCATTCTCCCAGCTGCACAGGAGGAGAGTGGGGTGGAGTACACAAATCCAATGGTTTACTGAAGATTATCTAACCCACTATGGAAATGCATACATATATTTGATTTTGACAGAAGCTAATTTCCTTTAGTATGCGGTTACAGGCTGCTTTATTTTCTAGGCAAATCATGTGCAACCAATGTGTGGGAGACGAGAAAGACTACACCTGTTCCACCTGTGCATATAAACTGTTGTGTACGTACATAAGTCCAATCAACATAGGCCTAGTTATGCAAAAGCAACATTAGACAATGTGCAAGTGCATCCATTACATATCATATCCAACACATGTTGACTCAGGTTTAGGTGACAAGGGTGATGAAATCACCTGCTGATACTATAGGTTTTGTGCCATTTTAGACATTTACTTTGTTATTTGATTCCCCGCCCCCCAATAAATGCTACTTTAGCACTATGCTCCCATAACAGAAATGGATAACTAATTAAATTAATCCTGATGCTACAAAGCCTAGATTCTAGCACTATACACTAATAAATGCAATAGATTATTTTAAAAATAATTATCCAATAATGATCTAATAAAGGAGGTTCTAAAATTTCCCATTATGTATTCCAGTACTGTCAACTAAAGAAAAGGAATTAAATCAAATCAAATCCAGGTACAGGGTTTATAAATAGGCCTTTGATACAACAAAACATGTTTGTATGTGTATTGTCACATACATGCTTTAAATAAATTATATGGAAAATGACTGATGAGGAAGGTGAAAGCTTTATTGAAAAATGCCATCTGCAGATTAAGTAGTTAGTTGCAGAATGGTTGATATCAGACAACAAAATATTCTATCACTCCACTGTTATGAATACGAAAGATTCTTCTGTGAGTAATGGCATCCATTTTGGCAATTACAGTGCTTAAGCTTCCAATTCAGTAGAAGCTAGGTATAATGACTGTTGCAGTTTGCTAAGCTGGAGTAGCGTCTGTTTGCAGAAATTTATTTTTATAGCCCTAAATATTCTTGTAACTACTTGAAAATAAAACAAAAAATGCACTTCGTATTAATTAAAAAGTCATGCATGGTAGATGTTATTCCCATTATGCAAAAGAATGAATTTAATACAACTGACTGGGTGAAGTAGTGGCAGATGCAGGAAATTGACTATACCAACTGAAGTCCCCTTCTGCTTATCAGACAAAGCTGCACTCTGTTCATAGGAATGATTTCTATATCTTGAGCATAAAATTACACCTCTGGGAAACCTAATTCACATCTGCAGACACAAAGAACTGGCAAGCCTGCCAGTTAATTTCCGTACAAAGAGGGGAGGGGAACCTGCACTCATGAATATTTAAGCAATATTCCAAGGATTCAGTAACATAAAAGCATGTAATTGATTCAGACAACAAAATAATTGCAGGAGGAGAGATCACCATAAGACTTAGGAAGGAGACTGTAAAGAATGGATTGGTTATGAATCTTGTGCAAACGTTTTTCACAGCTGTCATCTCTAGCCAATGAGCTGAAGTCTGGCACTATCATCTTCCTACCACCACCAACTTAGAACAATCAGTCCCAAATGTTTCATCATGGGGACTCATTATTTACACTCCACCTTTATTTTGATTGCTTCAACCACCAAACGTTACTGCTATCTTAAGCTTCATTTAAGAAGGAAGCTGACAAGAAGATGGCAACAACTGCAGTTTCCATTTAGAATGAGTAAGTATACAGAAGGATGTATACCTTTGAGATTTCTCGAAGCCTTCTTTTGTGAAGCACCATAACACTGTGTACATGATTTGTGGCACACCCTGGTCTGGATTAACTGGGCCTTTCTGGAAGGGTGACAGTATCCCTTGAATCGTGGGGCTCTTGAATCACAAGCGTGAACACCCAAATAAGGCTTTACAGTGCCATCCTATTCATGTCTACTCACAAGTAAGTCACACTGACTCACTCGCACATAAGTATGCATAGCACTGCAATCTTAGCGGCCTTTAAATACACGATTCTATGAACTGCTGGGCTTCTGTCAACTGCTGCCAATAAAGTGGTACATGTGCTGCTCCACCGACCATGTGGGCAGAAGACCGCCAGTGGTATCCCCAACACAGTCCAGTGGATAGCAATGAAATGGAGTGAAGGTGACATCAGCCTGGGATTTGCAGGATGCTGAGTTGCTCTCACAGCTGGTAGGCATCAGGACTGATTTGTTCCCAATTGCTGTGCCAGCCTCATGCAGGTGCAGGGATCAAGCCTGATCAGCCCAGTTCCACACCTCCTTTCTGTTGCCACCACTCTGAGCAGCCAGGCTGTGGATGTGGTGGTACCTCCATGACTCCAGAATTTCGGCGGCAGCGGCAAACAATTTGGATTGTGGTGTACGTGAGGGATACAGTCTACCTTCCTAGGTGTTAGCCATTCACATGGAAATGTTTTATAAATTAATACTTATAGATTGGATTTGTTTACCGCTTACAGTTGTTGTTCTTGTTTTGCATCCAACTAACTAGGATGCCATCCTACATAGATGGTGTCCACCAGTTGTATTTCTATTACTACATTAGAAATATGATTGCCTTACTGATACTCTGGAGTGTAGAAGCCATAGAATAACATAACGAATTGATAATATAAGGACACATTACCTAATCTGCTCCCGTTCCTTGGCATTGCCATGAAAGAGCCAAGGCTGCCACCGATAACACTGTGTGGTCTTCGTAGCGGAGGCTTTTTGAAGGATCCCGTGTACTGGTGAAGGAATGAGTGCATACTATGGGATGTTGGAGGTCTGCCATTCTTCACAATAGGCTCTGAAATTTGCCAACACCAACGAATTCATCCCACAAGAAGGAAATTCAGGAACATGTTGAGAGAGAGAGAAAAAATAACAGCGTTACCACACAGTCTGCTTACTGCAGTATTTGAATGAGGTTCAAAATATTTGAAACCTGGAAGGTAGATCATCAACGGTGAAGCACATCACACAAAAGAAAATGCACAATAAAAAATGTTCGCTTTCACTCCCCCCTGTGCACAGAAGCTGAGCCAGAGAAACTCCCTAAGCATAGCTGAGAGCCAGAATATTGTATAACCTAGCAGGCATGCAGCAATCACTGAGCTGGTACAAGAGACAGGCAGTCAATTCACCCCGATATCATCAAGGTCTTGTACAGACTGACACCTCTGGCTCATCGCTAAAGGAGAGAAAGCAGCTGCTGCAGAGGGTTGAAGAGAGCAACAATAAGTAGGTGAACAAAAAAAAAATCAGATGTCCTTCCTTTCAGGGGTAGTGCAAAGCCATCACAGTATAGAGTCCACAGTGAAAAAGAAATCTGTATTTTTGCTGAATCTGCATAAATATAAACAGGTTGCACCAGCTTTTCCTGATGAATAATGTTAAAATTATGTACTCAGGCAATTCACATTTTTAATGCAGGGTACTTGCAGCCCGGTGTATCATCCCTCAGACAATGTGGCTGGGAAGCTGAGGGAATCACATTCTTTGAAAGTCCTGCCTAATGGACTCATCTGAAAAGGTTCCATCCTTAAGACAGCTCATATACATGCAGAAAAGGTAATATTCCGTTTTGTGAATTTAGAATACACCAACATAAGCAGAGCATAATAAATATATCATCAAGTACCTTTAAAAAAAACCCATAGAGAAAACATGAAGTGGTAAGAAAACTAAATGGCCTCATATGTTACTGAATTACATAAATTTATTCAATTAATACATCAAAGAACCGACACTGTCTGTTTAAAAGCCTTAAGATATTCATGAAGTACCTTTGATTAAAACTAAACAAATCTGCAAGAAACAGATTGTTCCAAAGTAATCCCACACTGTCAAGTTCTCTTCTTCTATTAGACCAAAACAGTGAGAAGTCCAATCCTATGTGTGGAAAGTTTACGAGCTTTTGTGAATTTTGGATCCATAATGTAATTAAAATAAGTAGCCAAATTTCCTCAATGAGGAAAAAAAGAACTTTTTAAACTGCAAAGTGTTTATGTGCTAAAATGCAAGCATAGCTTTGTATCACTTCGTTGATTACATTTTTACTCTCATGTAGGAACACATAAGTGTGATCTGTTTACTTTCAGCAATATATACACATAGTTGTATTGAAATCACGTGTTCTTTTCTACAAGGAGAAAACTGTAACAAATAATTCCTATGAACCGACCTACTCTCTATTTTGAGTTAAACAGAGGGCAGCTCAATTCATTACAATTCTCTACACAGGAACAATTCTTGTTTAACCTTGTGCCCAGGACCCTCACATCCTAGGAATGTGATAATGGCAACTAGGAATGTGAAATGTTTTTTACAGACCTATTCATTTCTCTTTCCTGAGAAACAATCCAAGTAACTTTAAGCTATGTGACTGGATGAAACAGGTTGCGTGACTGGATGAAACATATTACCCTCTTGAATAGCACTACCCAAGCAACAAACCAATGCTGCTAGCATTCTTTATTGCCCTTGAAGGTATCATATACTTATTAGCACCTCTCTGCCTCCAGAAAGCAGGGCGTCCTGCAAGCTGGGAAGAAGGCAAAGGCGCTGCCACTGTTGTAGAGGTTCTTAAGCACAACACTGTCCAAAGCCAGGCCGCAGAAAACCTTCCAAGCTTAAAGGCACAATCTTCAAGCTGACAGAAAATGTCTGAGAGGACTGACTGAGTGGCGAGAGAGCCCAAAGGAGGGGGAGCAAGCTGGAAGAACAAAAGGAGCAGGGTCAAAGGGCAGGGGAGGGAGAGGGACCAAGGGAAAGAGAAAGGAGAAAGGCAACTTAGCATGGGAAGGGGGTATGTGGGGCAGCAGGAACCGAGGGCAGCCAACCTCTCTGGCCTTTGTTCTCCGCTTATTACGATTCCTCCTAAGTCTCCAGCGCTATCACGTACTTATGCACAGCGCAGACACTGGAGCAGTTCTGCTTGCCTAGCTATATTTTCAGAAGCTGTGAGTAACGCACAGGGAATCGAAAGTTAATACCGTTACTTCGTGTTGTCTCTTCTACATAACAGCCCTGTAAGACAGGGTGAACACCTACGCTCAACCACTTCCAGACCGTAGTGAAAAGCTTCCGACGGCTAGATGGACGTTAACAGGGGGTTTTATAAAAAGGAACATCCTGTTGCTCGACCACAATCCATTTGTGCTCATTAAATAATCATGTTCATGGTTTCCCTTTGCTTCTCTGAAGCAAAGCTGAGTGGCTCATTCAGTAGAATTTTGTCTCTCTCGAGACAGATGCCAACACCAGAGCACAAGACTCTTAATTGCAGGATTGTGGGTTCGTGCCCCACGTTGGGCAAAAGAGTCCTGCACTGCACACTAAAAGATCAATTTCTTACAAGTGCGCAATGAGCATTTTGTAGCTCTTGTAACAGTGCCAGTTATGCAGACTAAATAGGCATATATGGGCTAAGGCAATCCCACAAGCATACTGGTATATATTTAACTTCCTTGTTGATATTTGGTGAGCTGCTTCTTATGATGAAATCATTTTACTACTTTCCCACAGATCCCACAAAAGCATCTCTAGATTATTAAGATTTACATATTCTGGAACCTAGCCATCAAGGGAATGGTCATAAGCTTTATTTCTGTGTGTCAAGAGCCTTTCCTTTGCAACTGTTCACCACAGCAGGATATTCTGGTCTTCTAAACGAGGGTGATGTCTACCCACAGTTTGCATCTGTTCAGAAAACAGCTAGGATACTCTAAGAGAAATCAATTCAAGATGACTTGCAGGAGCCTTAAATTAAACAGTGGCAGATCTCAGAAGGGGAAACGGACAGGTATTAACACAGCTCTAAGTTTCTTTGTAGATGATGGAAACAGTATAAACAATGACTTCCAGAAAAACAGAAGTGCACTCTCTAAATACAGAACGAAGCAGTTGCTTAGGAACAGAATCAGGAAGCATTTCATATAGCAAGATGCTTGGCAGCCAAGGGACAAAGAAACTCTCTGGTGTGATGTTCAACTGTAGTCATATGGATTTATATCTAGCTGTGTACAATATGCGTGTTGGACTTTGTATCAACAACAAGCTTTATGTTGCATGCTTTACCATGAAGAAGCCAACAGTGCAAGATCTATAAGCAAAGGCTTCAGTCCAAACTGGAAATAGCAAAACTGGTCATTACTGGTGCCTTAGCACCAGTGCCCTGGGGAGGTCACTTTGGTGCTGTTAGCAGCGGTTTGACTGCACCCCTGGAGGCGCACTTCATTGTCCCTTGAGACAGACAGATGCCAACAGTAAGTTATATCCCTAAAATTTATGGAATGTATCCTCCGCTCCCTTCACCAGCTTTTCCCAGATGGTCAGTGCAGCTTGAAGCTTCCAAAATGTGTAAATATAAACAGTATACTTGAAAAAGGCTTAAAAGGCCACATAGTCAATAGGACCGGTGATGTAGAATCTCATTTGCCAGGGTTAAATCTACTCCACTTCCTATCTAACTAAAAAAACAACACCAAGAGTACACTGTCCTTTGCCCCTCTTGTTCATGATTTCCTTGCAGTACTTTGCGATGCTCCTCCCCCTTCCTACACACTCTTCCGCCCCACACATAATGTTCTCTTCCCTTCTGCTACTATTTGTTCCTTCTTCCCACAAAGCTTTGCTTTCTCTATACATACAGTTACTTAAAAATGAGAGTTAGCAGCAGGGTTCTGTTCTCGAAGGCCTGAGGTGGCAGTTCTAGCCATGACTTCATGAATGCCTTTTACACAGCAGCAATAAACATAAGAGTTCACTTTCCTTAGAGGCGGATACACAGCAAGACAAGCACACATGTGGGCCAGGATTTGGCTGCGTAATGGCAAGTCAATATTATTCATTCTGAATTGTTGCAAGAGGAAACGCAGCGTGTGAGCAAGGAAGGATATTCTGCTCTGAACACACACACACACGTATACTTAATGCTTAGGATATTATGTATATCAGAATAATACAGTCGGAGAAGTTAAGCCATGCCTTAAGAAACAGTCCTTTGGATAGTGAACTGTACAATTTGACTCATTCTCAGGTCTGAAGAAGGCACGCCCCACCTTTATGCAACTTCTCCTTTTCCATATAACGCATCACAAATAGCTTTCCCACATGCATAGGAACTGTGACCACTACTCAAATAAATAATTTGCATGAAATTAAGGGAACCATAAACACCGCTGAAGTTTTGTTGACATTGTTTGCCGCAGCTTCTACTCCTATAGAGGTAAACTATTTCTTATACAGTGGTACCTTGGGTTACAAACACCTTGGGTTGCAAACACTTCGGGTTACAAACTCCGCTAACCTGGAAGTAGTACCTCGGGTTACAAACTTTGCCCCAGGATGCGAACAGAAATCGCGGCGGTGGCAACAGCAGGAGGCCCCATTAGCGAAAGCACACCACAGGTTAAGAAGAGTTTCTGTTAAGAACGGATCTCCGGAACGAGTTAAGTTCATAACCCGAGATACCACTGTACTGAACAACAGCAGAAGAGGCTCCAACAAACCTCTAGCTGAATAGTAGCTGTTCTCTTATTTGCAAATAAATTCCTGCATCCAAATCTAGAGGAGGGAAAGGGCCATGTAAAATTTTGAATGGTCACAAAATAGGGTTTCAGCACCTCCTCCCCATGAGTAACTAAACCAAGATAATTACAGTGGTACCTCTAGTTACAAACTTAATTTGTTCTGGAGGTCCGTTCTTAACCTGAGGTACCACTTTAGCTAATGGAGCCTCCCACTGCCACCACCGTGCGATTTCTGTTCTCATCCTGAGATAAAGTTCTTAACTCAAGGTACTACTTCCGGGTTAGCAGAGTCTCTAACCCAAAGTTTTTGTAACCCGAGGTGTTTGTAACCCGAGGTACCACTGTATATATTGCTCAATCTATTAGATTATCTTCATCATTGCTTCTTCTAAGCTATTGATCAACAGTTACTTGCCAGGATCCCAGGCAGATGTCACTCTAAGCCAGTTAACCAGTTGCACAAAAAACAGGATCTGGGACCTTATGAATGCAAAGCACCACTGAGAGACAGTCTTCTGCCATATGATGCAATTTAAAGAAATATAAATCAATCAAGGAAGCATGTATGGATTCCGGGGGGGTGGGGTGTGAAGAATTTGGATTACCTTGGCAAAGAAATTTGAAATACTGAAATCTTCCTAGCAGTTGGACTACCAATTCCTGCTGCCCCAATTCACATGATCATCAATGAGATGTTGTGCAACCAATCTCATCTGTTATACTGCAAAACACCACTACTGGACAAGCCATGCACACTGTTCAGTGCTTTTCAGAAGCCATGAGTTTGGGAACTCAGCTTATGCTTTCTAAACAACGCATCAGCTGGTATTTTACACAGCTGCAAAAATAAATAAATTGAAAGCAATGTTATAAACACAATACTGAATATCATAATTTACAAGGCAGTAAATTGGAACAGTACAGAAGTGGCAATTCTGCTAGTTAAGTATGAAATGATACCATATTTTTGCAGCTTAATATGTTAATAATACAAGGCTAGACACAAAGGCATTTTTGAAGCATTCCCATCAAATCTGTAGTAACTCGAGCTTAACATATATTACAGTGGACGCTTGGGTTGCGAACGTGATCCATGAGGGGTGCATGTTCACAACCCGCAGCATTCACAACCCGCAGCAGCACGTCTGCACACACGCAGGTTGCGATTCGGTGCTTCTGCGCACGCACAAAGCGCAATTTGGTGCTTCTGTGCATGCGCGACCCTCCAAACCTGGAAGTAACACATTCCGGTACTTCTGGGTTTTGGTGGGTCCATAACCCGAAAAAACGCAACCTGAAACATCTGTAACCTGAGGTATGACTGTACTTGCAATTACTTCCCAAAAGTAAAGATACACACTTGTTATTCTAAACTAAAACATCAAAACAATTTAAATTCATTACTCTTGCTGCAAGTAACTTTTATCATTAAAAGAATACCATTTTCATAAATACTTGATAAAATTTAAGCAAAGCGGTTATTTTTACCGTTATCTTTACTGCTGTTTTCTTCAATAGTCATTTGTTCGGCCAGTTCAGAAAGTGACTCATCAATTGTCTGGCTCCCACGCAACGTTAGGGAAAGTCTCCTCTTGAACTTTTTCATTCTATCTGTAATATGTCTGGCTCACGGAAGCCTATTAAAATAAGAAAGTTGTTATTTTAAACACTTGTTTCAACCGTAAGAAAAATGTGTTTAGTGCTGATTGCTTATACAGTATCAATCTAAACTTTGTAAGGTCATTTTAACAAAAGAGCTAAGTTTTGAAATTGTGAATTTAATACAGCTTAATGTTTATCTCAGTTCTATTCTGGCTTATCTCGGCTTGTGGTGGGTAAGTTGTAACAAAATAAAATACCCCATTATAAGACACTACACATTTATTATAACACACACCCAGAGTCTCCACTTTTTAAAACCAACCAAAGTTTTACAAGCTTAGACTGACAAATCTTTAGAAAATGGTAGTTCCACAACTGTGTTGTGACCAACTAGAATATTCTTCATCTATGTGTTCCTGCTGTCCAACTTCATATGTAGATGGTGTAATTTTAAAAAGGTACACCTTATGGGTTATGATGAAATTTAAGGGAGGTCTAACCAATAGAAGCACTTCCTGGGAGAACTGACTGTGTGGAAGCTGGGTTTGGAGGAGAATTTTTATACACAATTCTGTTGGGAAGCTCCTTCACATTAGAAGGAACCTTAAGTGGTGAACTTTCAGCTCTCCAAATGTTGTTGAACTACAATTCCCATCATCCCTGACCACTGACCATGCTTGCAATGGATGATGGGAACTGTAGTTCAGCAAGATCTGGAGAGACAAAGGTTCACCACTGCTGTATTAGATAAACTTCATGCAACAGCCTTCTGCAGCAAAACCAGAATACACCTTTCACAATTTTCCAGTGAGATCCCTCTCTCCTACACAAGCAGGCTGGGTGGGAGATCTCTCAAGGTGGTAGGAAAGCAAATAAAGCAATTAGAATAACATGGAAAGGAAAAAAGGGGGGGGGAGATAATAGGACATCCTATTGAGAGCAGGCTGGGCCAGCTTCTCCAAACTATTTGCTCACTTTTTGACTGATCTGTTCAAAACTGGACCATGTTTCAAACAGAAGTGGTAGAAATATGAAGGCAAAGTAGATAAAGAACTACAATAAAAAGTTATTTTTAAAATTTTTATTTTATAAAATAGTAAAACAGGAAGATTTTTCTGTTTAGTTAATGTTCTTGTGCTTAAGATGAGCCATCAATTATGGAAAATCTTTGGGACTAAAGTACAATGACGTGGAAACATCTTCCACATCAGAACCAACGGAATGTATGACTTATTCCTTACTTGCTATCAATGCGCAGGACAGCATTCTAAAACAAAGGGTAAATTAAGTCCAGAGGGATGTTCTGTGTGAGTCTCATAGTGTTGGCAAACAGACTTCAGAAAAGTATCCGATTCATGTGTTGTGGCCAGTAAGTATTTTAAGGATTAGTTTATGAATCCTGCCATCTTCAGACCCAGGTGTTGCATGAGAGGAGAGGAATGGTTGCTACTCCCTTCTGTTAGCTTCCCATGTTGCTGCAGTAACATTTGAAACCCAGAGATGAAATGGGAAGGCAAGACATATTTACTTTCCATACCTGGCACTTTCAACCAAGGGGGAAACCTATTCTATTTTTGAGTTGCAATTGTTTTTGATGCACAGAACATGGGCTGAGTACATATAGTTTTTAGTCCAAAGGACCCATAATGTTTAGGCAGATATAACCACATACAAATTATACTCCTTTCTGCAAAAGTCTGAATGGCAATATAAAAAGACTACTACAGGCAACCCGCTCCCCCTCCCCCAAAAAACACGCTGCTAATCTGGCAAAGATACATTTGTTCCACTGGTATGCCAACACAAACTAAAAGAATTAGAATTTGGCAAGCGAAATATATTGCTTAAGAATAGCTTTGAATCCATTCTGGGCTCCTTTGGGAGGAAGGGTGGGGATATAAATTTAATAAATAAACAAATGCAGCTCAGAACTGAACTAATGCAGCATTTTACATCTGAGTTTTTTCAGGCATATGCTGCTGAAGACTGGAAATTTAAGCAAAAATCAAAAATCAAATGTAATATCCAAGAACCATCCCCTGCCAGTAACCTGAAAATGAATGCCCTTCATTATATTAAGACATTGACAGATGTATTTGCTTTCTAGTGGAAACTAATTCCATTTCTAGGCACAATACAATAGTAAATGGTACTGTTGCTGGCTAAAGTGTAAGGTTCACTGCCAAAAACCAAACACAAAACCCAACATAAAAGGTTGTGTGCAATGTAGCGACAAGCTGAAGTCAGGCAGAGGTATACTTGTTCCACTGGTGAAATGTTCTGCACCAGCTAAATTCTGTGCACAAAAAGAGAGAAAAAGCATAAGCTGGCTGTTGCTGATTTTGTGCAACAGCTTGCAGAATCTGTTGGAAAACCAGTTCCTGCTAGCACAACTGCTGTATTCCTTTGTTGTGCAACTTTAAAACTCACAATGAACACTGGATATAACCCACTAAATTCCACACTCTAATCTGACTTTGATAGCCGCTTTTCTGTGAAGCTCTGATTGCATGCTACCATTGCCTCAACCTCATGTGGCAATGATTATTAAGCTATCCCCCCAATGTAGATGTTCCTCTCTCCCACAATGACTTGGCCAACTTCTAGCTCCAGAAGCTGGAAGACAGCAAAAGAAAGCTCATATGACTATGCAGTGTTTTTGTACATCCCAACCTGAGCCACTTTGAATAGTCAGCCTTGGAGTCAACAGGCTGCAAAGGACGGGGTCATGCAAGTCAGTGCACTTTTACATGGAAGTGTTTGCCTTCTTCTGCAGGGCTTTCATTCTCCCTACTTGCAAAGCTGTCGAAAATTAACAAAGCAAGTCATTCTTAGCACAAATAGTTATGGTATCAAATACGAAGAGAGGCAGCTGTAATTTCAGACAAAGCTTCATTTACATGGCATCCACAGCTATCGGCAGCATGTGATAACTGTACTCAATTTTTTAGGGCCTGCAGTGATACAATTATGATGTTAGCTGATGGGCAATTATGTTGTCTGCTTTACAGTGGTACCTTGTGTTACGTACTTAATCCGTTCCAGAGGTCCGTTCATAACAAGAAACCGCTCATAACATGAGGCGCCCTTTCGCTGATGGCGCCTCCCGCTGCTGCCACGCAGCCAGAGCACGACTTCCGCTCGCATCCCGGGGCAAAGGTCGCAACAAGGGGCATCTACTTCTGGGTTAGCGGAGCGCATAACCCGCAGCATTCGTAAGGGGGACGGTACATAACACAAGGTACCACTGTATTTGTACTGTATTTGTACCTCTCTTTAGTGGACAGTTTTATAATAATCACACACACACACACACACACACCCATTTTCAGAGCAGTGCATAGCTGCCTCTGAACAGAAAAAAGACAGCAGGGTAAACTAAAGAGTGATACAGAGTTCAACTCCATGGACATAGCCAGGCCTTTTGTTAGGGGGGCAGAACCTCAGTTTACTATGTATTTTTATTGATTTGGGGGTGGGAAACTGCCCATCCCTGCCTCCCCTGGCTACGCCCATGTTCAACTCTGCTGTCTTTCATTATAGGAGCGATCACACTTTTTGTGGGGAGGGGTAGCACATCTTGCTGGCATAGTGTTCAGCTTTCAAATTTAAAAAAGGAAGAGCTTTAGACAAAAAACAAAAAACAAAGCTGGTAATAATCAGGATGGTCCCTGCTGCCAGACACGGTTCTGTCTGGCACAAGGCCTTTATATTTCTATGCCAAAATAAGCCTGCTTCCACCTACTTCTCACTCACCCGGCTGATCTCTGACTCTCTGAAGTAACATGGGTGCAAAAATTTACACCAATCTAAAAATCAACAAGGATAAATGGGCAGTCCAATACATTTCTGGAGGCATGGATGATATGAAGATTTCTGATACAAGTGACAAATCAGACCCCTAACACAACAGTCCTAGGAAGAACAACAAAATTATGGGTATTAATGTCTGTCTGTGACAATAAACAGGAGAAGAAGAACTTGTAATTAGTAAATGAAAGCCATGCCATCTGTATAAAGCAACAGAAATGACCAGAGGCAGCAACAGAACACATGAAAACACATGACCAGTAAAAGCAGAAACACACCTCTAATGATGTCACAGTTCCAACAGAGTGTGGAAGTTCTTTCCAGGCAACAAATGCCTTTTAGCAGATGACTAGTGTGCTGCCAGATCTGATGGGATTATGAGAAGAAACTATGGCAACATGGTTCCCACTCCTAAAATCACACACTTGGAACCAAAGGCACCCTTTTTCAAGCGGATGGCGCAAAATGGCCTCCCTGATTTCCTCCTACACCTTGCATCCACTGCCACTTCCTGAGGCCACGGTATGCTGCTCTCAAGAACCCCTAGATATCAACAGCAACTTTTTGGGAGGCTGTAGCCCCCTAGACAGAGCCCACCTGCATGTTTTTGTATATAAACCCTAGTACTTGAAGAGATGTGCATATTCCCAATATAAAGAGGTAGAGAGAGACAATGTATAAAACGTGAGCTTGATCATCATTTCACTTCTGCTAATATCAAACTTGATAGTCCAGTGAAATATGCTTATTGCCCCCCAAGAGGAAGAGGAAGTGGAGTGTATGTCCAGAGAGTATATGGGGAGGTAAACAGATTTGGGAAACATCTGACCCGACAGGACCTCCAACAATTTGAATACATTCCAAGACCATAATTCTCCCCCCACCCCAACACCAGGATGCTATAAACTTTCAAGGACTTTGAGCTCTTTGAAGTTAAATGAATTCTGGGTGGGGGTTCTGGAATTAATTAGAAAAGTAATTATGCAATCCTAATTAATCATCCTTCCAGGGACTCTTTAAGCTTCTATAAAGGCGAAAAAGTTTCTAAGAGTAAGTAGTACTGCTTAAAAATATTATAGAAGGAGTTGAATTGATTCCAGGCTATGCAACATGACGCACAGGCTCCTTGAATCCAACTTCCCACTCAAAATCTCCTGTACGCTGTTGAAAGGTAAAGGTAAATAAAACCCTTGACTTCACAGCTTGAGTTCAAAGCTACTGAATCCTACTTACCTAGCAGCTCTAAACCCCAACACTCAGACCCATAGTGCAATGGCACTGTAGCACTGCTGAGGTTCAGGCTTAGCTGAGAACTGTTGTTTGAGCTCATTGCTGCAACTGCTGAGCTTTGTGGACTCACTAGCTTTGGCTGAAAGGTGGCCTTGATGGCAGGGGAGGGAGGGAAGTGAAGAGAACAATGGTACTTCCAGCCTCCCAGCAGAGTAGACTCCCTCCCCTCTCCTCTGTTGCTGGGTGATGCAGAATCCGAAAGGGGTCTAGAGTCACTTCCTCTCCCAGTCAACGGTGTCAGTCACTCCAATGGTGACTGTTCTTTGGAGGGGGAGGGTGGGCCTGCGTCCCCAGTGGGGCCAGTTTTGCCAGTCTCTACGTATGCCTCTGCCTACCATTCAGTGCCAGAAGCTGTGAGATCAGACACCAAGTGCCCTTAATTGCTCCATACTTTGGTTAAATTTGCTATTTGGCCTGCACAAAGGGCAGAACAAAGTGTGACAGATCTAATCAGCAAATCTGTTTGATCATCTATTCTCCCTATGAGACAAATTCTGTCTCTTAAAGGCAGATCCAGAAAATTCAAAGATAAGTTCTCCCTCAATATTCATGGGGAGTCCAAAACTTCTAGTAGCACATATATGCATAAAGGGGTTTAGCTGCTGTTAAGAGTTACCACCAATTCCCTTTTAAACGAAAAGACTGAACTAACTTCAGGAAAAAACAGAAACCAGAGAATACATGCTAAAATCTATTGAGAATGGGACTCGTTCATCTAGTTGTCCAACTATCACTACCGCTTTACAGCTAGCAGAGGTCTTGTATGCAACTTGATTTCTGTTTATTAATAATAGGAAATTGGTCACTTTCAAACTATCTAAGACAGGCAAGTCTAATAAATAAGGTCCTTGCTTACTTTACAACAGTTCCCCACTGCACACCTTCCATTAAACCTATGAAAATCCTGTGAAAGATTTGATTATTAACTTGTTTTGCATTAGGTTGGGATCTTAAGACCTGCCACTATTGGAGGCAGCATATTTACTTATTGGTCTGAGTATATCATGCCTACTCTGCAAACTTTACATTGGCTAGTCACCAAAGGCAGATTGAGTTTTAGGACAGCATAAGGGCTCATTTAAAGCTCTGGCTCCAAGACTTCACAGCTTGGTAAAAAGCTGCAATTTGAAATCTACTTGTATTCACAATAACTTAAATGTAAAGGCAATTAGTTGCAAAACTGATTTGCTCAAAGAGAACCTACACATTACGGCACATTTTCCTCTGGTATCTACTTACTGCTTCCCAGATTCAATGCAAATCTGAAACAAATCCAACAGAGGCATTTCTTTAAAGATCCATAGAAGTGCTTATTATTCTTTACCACTCAGTTTTCTATTAACTTGTTCTGCAGGAGAACCATTTTATCTTGTTTTGCGTTGGTTTACTCTTGCGTACAAATACTACATCACAGTGAACATTGACTTCCACATGTGAATTCTGACAATCCCAACTGGTTTGTGTGAATGTCCAAGTGAATCTATGAAATACTGACAGCGCCCCAACTGCTGTTTTGGATATACACAAGTTGGCAAATTAAATTTAGATCACTGTCAACATTAGCCATCTGGAATTGTCAGGACTCATACTTGAAAACGTCACAGTTCACCATATTTTGGACATTCACAGCAATGTACACACATATTACAGATTTCTAATGAATAAAAGATGCATAGTACTGCTGTTTCTTTTTAGCTACAGTACTTTGGGTTATATGACTATCAATAAAGTCTAACCCTGCAAAAATACATGTCCTTTGAACACGAACGTGGCAATCATTTCTGGCTTACAAATACTGGACTTTCCAAATACAGAAATACCGGTACCTTTAAAACTATAGCATTCATATACACAGATCTGAAAAGCAATCCTAACAGCAAGATTCAGATACAGTATATCTGCTGCAGCAAAAGCTGCTTATCTGCTCAGCTCATTCCTACCACACTGACTATAATCATTTCTAAACTTTCCAGCAGCTACACTGTAGATAAATGTTTTCATTCATATGCAGGTGGCTAACATGAGACAAATTCAGTGAACTTGAACAGAATGAGGGCTTTCTATAGTTGTTAGTCACTGATGTAATCTGACTGTACCATTTACAGAATGTCTTCACTTACCACTTACATCATTCTGCTCAGTGTAAGGCTTAAAAAAAATTCATTATGGATATTACAAAGTAAAATAAATATAGATGCATTATTCAAAGCAGCTCCCTTTTTAAAAGGCAGCTCTTTTTTGAACTCTGTTAAAAATATAAGGCCTCTCAATAACATTCTGATTCTCAAACCTTTCTTAGCATATGTACAAGATTCCAGTAGGGTTCAATACAAAAAAACCACTCCAAACCTGCCTCTAACACTTATCCATCCTGGATAAACATAAAAAGGCTACTTTGCAACATCTCAATAGTATATTTTTAAACAACTGGGTTTTGTCCTATGGGACATGGATATTCTTGCAACTATGAAAAATACGGTAGCCAAACAAATATTCGCTATCAATGTTTACAACAGAGATTGCCAAAGTCACCTAGATTGCAAATTTCAGCTATAAGAAGTAGGTAATGCAAAGGTATTGCCTTGCTACACAAATTGCACAAAATGTGTAGATAATTAGGCTAAAAATGTTGACTGAAACAAGAGGCTTGGATAGACATCCGTAAGAGTAACCTCATAATTCTGTCTAGCAATACACATCATACTAATTTTGTCAATGCTCCCATTACTAATCAACCCTGTTAGAAAGGGGAGGATTAACAAAATGTAAGCAATATGAAAATCAAGGTGGTCAAATGCTTATCAATCACACTGACGTCCTCTGAAATCACACTTAGAGGGAAAATGTTTGAAGTGAGTTAATCATTTTCAGCTGGATACTATAAGTTTCTCCATTAAATTAGAAGATGGAAGTCAAAACAGCCCTGTTTATTCAAGTACAGTATCTTCTTAATGCAAAAGGTGTCAAGCTGAATAATACTGTGCACTTTGCCAGCTCAACAATATAAACACCTCAAGATTCAACACAACAAAACAAATTACTGATTGTTCAAATAGAAAACATGATCACCTAGGTTGACATTTGCTGGCACATGTGGAGCCACAGGGAACCCTACAAGAAACAAAGCTATTTGTTTATTTACTCAGGAGGAACCAGCACAAGCAGAAAACAAAAATCCACACATTCAAGTAATCCCAAATAACATGCAAGAGCTTTAAATATTTGTTTATTTTATTTCCTTTGTTCCTACAATGAAACTCATGTTGGTACATAAATAAGAGAAAAAGCATGATGAAGAATGACTCAAGAATGAGTGCGATGTAGTACTCAAAATTATTCTTTCCAATAAAGAATCGTGAAAATGCTTTCCTATCAAAAGAATACGCTATTGTGCTATGTATTCCCATTACAGGTACAGAGTCAAAATTTCTAGTTTTTTTAGATACAAAGGACTTTCACACGCTTATCACAGTATGTGGTATATTTACTACCCTACACAGGCACTTTGCAGTGTAAAATAATATGCAGCCCAGGTAAAGGTTTACATGCGCATCACGAGAAAGTGATATGAAAATTTCAACCATGCTAAAATTATGGCTCACATCTTCCTTCCTCCATCCCCTCTCCAAGTTAGCACCCCTTATCTCAACTTCTCCCCCTAAGATGCACTGTTCCACCCAGGGTTTCTGAAACAGTTTCTACATATGAATTTACTGGCAAAAATTTCCTCATAGTTCTTACAAAGGCTCACCAAGGGTCCAAATCAGATTTTTGTTTTTATCTTCTTGCATGGCACACATGGATTTGCATAGAAAAGGCTGGCCAACTAAAGTAACTGGCCATGTACAGTTACTTACCTCACTTTCTACTCTATTTCTTGAACTTCAGTTCAAGTTTGTATATTATACAAGTTTCATTGTACTGGAAAACTATACGAAAACAACCCACCCACAAAAATGTAGCTAAAAATCAAAAGGTTGTTCTATTTTTATACTTCCAGCTTCTGACAGACTGGCTTATCTTAAGTTTTCAGTCCACCAAGGACAGAGGAAAATAAAATTTGAACTGTTAGAATGATATCCATCTAAGACATACTCAGAGGAGACTCAACAAAACCAATGGACTAAAGTCTCATTATACATTGAAAAGTTGCAAGCAGCATAATCTTCTTCCATGCAGAAGTAATTCTACAAACAGAAATATCTGCAAAATGTGTCACTATTCACCCTACTTATGAGAGCATTTGCGTTATTGTTATTTTTTTTTTAAAAAGCTAAATAATTATTTGAACAAACTTATTGTATGATATTGTATGATATTTTTTCAGACAAATGGGTTCCAACACACTACAGGCTATTTAATGCAAGGATCCAGGGGTGAAGCAGACACAATAGAGAATACTCTATTCCCCCCCCCCCATTTACTGACTAACCAGTGTTTCCTTTTTCTAGACAGGGAACACTTAAATATTCTCTGAAGTTTGTTCCCTCCCCAGACCTTTTAATGTTTCCCTTGTTGTACTGATGATTTAAGGATGCGGGTGGTGCTTTGGTCTAAACCACCGAGCCTCTTGGGCTTGCCGATCAGAAGGTTGGCGGTTTGAATCCCTGCGACGGGGTGAGCTCCCGTTGCTCAGTCCCAGCTCCTGCCACCTTGCAGTTTGAAAGCACATCAAAGTGGAAGTAGATAGATAGGTACCGCTCCAGCAGGAAGGTAAACGGCATTTCCGTGCGCTGCTCTGGTTCGCCAGAAGCGGCTTAGTCATGCTGGCCACATGACCCGGAAGCTGTACGCCGGCTCCCTCAGCCAATAAAGCGAGATGAGCTCCGCAACCCCAGAGTCGTCTGCGACTGGACCTAATGGTCAGGGGTCCCTTTACCTTTACCTTACTGATGATTTAGGGCAACTCAAAACAGTCTGCTATCAACTCCTACGCTTTAAAAGGATGTTTTAACAATGCCAGAGTTTTTAATCCAAAACTTCTATATATGCTCATCTGACTATCCATCAATTTAATATCTGTCAAACTCCTCCAGTTATTTAGCTCAATCACTAGGAATACCCATATATTAGAAACTTGTTGCCTCATGTACTGTCCCGGGCACAGCCAGCCCCAATGAGGACAGGTGGTTGGAAGTGTACTTCTTTATTGGCAAAACACTTGATGACATCCTAAGGTGCAAGGGATATACACCTTGCGCTTGTTGATTGCCTAGTTAGGCATCTGCTTCTTCAGACTTGTGCTCCAACCAGGACAGTTGGAGCAACAGAGCGACCGCTCTCCTTCCAGTTCACTTAAATGCCTTGTCTGAGACACAAGCAATCGGCGACTTCTCCTATGCGGCGGCTGTAGCTGCTCCTGTCACTTTAAGCCCTTCCTTGTTCTTGGAGAGGATGGAGGAGTTTCTAATGGCCCAACTCTCTCTGATACTATTTCTTTCCCCTCTGAGTCTTCCTGCAACTCTTTGCCCCCACTCCTTTCCTCCCAGCTCTGACTGCCCAGACTCTTCCTCTTCCTCCACCCTAGTTCCTGCCTCACAGGTGGCGCAGAACCCCACAAGTCACTGGCCCCGTCCCCTGGATCATTCTCCTGTCCCCCTGCCTCTTCTGCTCACCCCTTGGACTCCTGCCTGCCCTGACATGTACATGGTACTTGATCTTGACAAAATAGATCATTTATTACAGATAACAAGGTGTATTATTCAGAAGCTCTAGCAGCTGACTAATAAAAACCAGAGGGAGTACATGCGCTGTTCTTCCTCACACTAGATTAGACTAAACACAAGATGGCACACTGGTAGAAATATGGTGGTCTTTGGCTAGACTTTGTAAACACTGTCACCGTAAGCTAGGTATCAATCTGCATGTTTGCAGGGCCTGAGATAAAATTTTCTACCCTGTGAAGGACATCAGTTTCCCTAAAGGACATTTAGGGATTAAGCAAATTGCAGAAAAGACAGAAACTGGGTCATATTTGGAAAGAAGTGGTAGCCGGGGGGGGGGGGGGGGGAGGACTGTATAAACAGGGTGGAAGAGACTAAAAGTCAATGAATCTCAGCTAAAAGAATGCTCCAGTACATTGGAAAGAGAAATCTTAATGTAAATCAGCCTTTGCCAACCTGGTGGTGCACAATCATGATAGAAATTGAAGTCCAAAACACTTTGAGGACATCAGGTTGGCAACAGCTGATGTAAATGAAAATACTTTTCCCTAGAAATACTAATGATTTTATATCATTAGTCCCTAACACTTGAAAACTATAGAGAATGAAAAGAACTCTTAACCATTAAAATGTGTAATTATGACAAGCTATTAAAAACATGTTGTTGTTGTTGTTGTTGTTATTGTTGTTGTATTCTGAACAATCAGCATGATAATTTTGCCAGCCCAGTCATATGGCGTGATGAAAATAAATAAATCAAGACACTTCAGAAACTGATTGGGCACCCAAGTAGCACATGAAATAAACAGTTAATAGAACGCAATCTCTTTCCTTTTACTGCCAAAAGCTGAAGCACAGAATTAAGGTTACCCTAGTTTCTACAGAAGACTAGAATTGTTCAGATTTTCATTCCTTGTCTTAAAATCATCCTAACCTTACGCCATTGCTTTTAACTGAGGGTTATTATTTTTTCTTGTGAATGAATAGTATTAAAGTTCATGCATGCATATTAAGCTCAAGACACACCATATCCCCTATTTGCAAGCATTCAAGTTTATAACAACACTGTTTTGAAACAGAAAAATAGCTTTGCTAAATAGTTCACAAATGTTATAGTAGCCTAATCGTATTTACATGCCACCCTTGTTCACTTTCTCACAAAAGCCTGATACTTGGAAACAACATAAACAGAGGCTTCTTTATTCATCATGTAAAACATTATTTCAAAAGCAAGCAGACAAAGTGCAGCCCTGACTGCAGACGGCATTAATGAGGAGATACTGCTGACGATAGCAGCAAGTTCTTCAGGGGATTGGTTTCCCTCTCAAGTACTGCCAGAAGATTCTGTTAAATGAGCAGTGAAAATACTGAATAAAGTATTTATGATTTACACAACATAAATCATATGCTGATACTCCTGACATGAATTTGTAACAAGCCCAGTGTGCATTAAGTGAGCATGGGAAGCGTGCCATGAAATCGTTTTACTTCTTGCATGTGCTGCAGTATATGTGAAGGAAAAGTTACACTTCTTTGTGATGCACTATTTTCAGTCAGTCATATAATCCAAACTGTAATTGTCTTCTACTGTAATTCTACCAAAATAAGCTTCTTCTGATTTCCACAAGACATCTTTTGGGTGAAGCTGTTTAATCTTTTCATTCTTTGCAACTGGTTAGAGATTCCAAAAAGCTTAGTAAAATTTGTATAGTGTTTTCTGCCTCCCCTCCCCAAATAAAACAAACAAAAACAAACAGATCTTCAAGACAACTGTCAGAACTACGTGCTTAGCAAAGGAAGTCAATGCACCAATTAACTAGTTAACTCATATTACAGCCATACGAGAAATATGAAAAATAACTAAGCAAGTATTAGAAATCATCCCAGAATTGGCTCTACTAAACATCTTCCAAGACAACAATGCCCATTTACACCACAAAGAACTCATAACCCACCTAATTTCAGCAGCCAGAAACACCATAACCAGACACTGGAGAGACCTGTCAGGAGTAAGCCTGGACCAATGGTACCAAATAGTATGGGAAACAGCCTTACTAGAAAAATTAACCAATAAACTGAAACTGGCACGGGGACAAACAGAAGAAGACGCCTTTGCCGGTATAGCTCCCCTTTATCACATACACAGCCCAACAAGACAATGACAAAAATCCACCAACAGCATACAAATCAATATGGCTAACCTGATCCAAAACACACACACCCCACTCACACATGAAAACAAAGATCACCACAGCCAATCACAAACAAACAACCACACCCTAGGCCAACTCCAACCTCTCTCACCACCAAAGGAACACAAGTGAACAGCAGAGAACCTGCATGAGCAACGCTGACACCAAACCCTACATACATTAAGCAAAATAGAAACATCGCCACCCACCCCACCCATCTTCCCCCGCCCTCTACCTTTTCTTCCTAATGTCTCAACAAATGAAACTGATTTGTAAAAATGTTGCATGGAAAAAATGCAAGAGAGAGACATTACACATACTTCTGTAAATCAAGAAAATCTTCAGTAGAAATACAAAAAAACCCAGTTAACTCATATGGAAGGCCCTACATTTATGCAACTTAATAATGACTGTTACCTTCCAAAAATCTAGCGGAAGTAAATGACATCTACACTAAACAAACAAGAAATTTAACCCACTCTGTCCAGTCCTTTGCCCCCCCCTCCCCGCTTGTCTTTGCTAGCAACAGTAATACCATTAATGAGGGGTGATAGTCAATCACGGCAATTTGCTCAATAATGTTACAGCCTGCTTCATTAAATGTTTCATAATGTGGACTTTGAAATTTTAAATCCAACAATCTTAACTACATTCTTAAACACCTAATCAGTTCTACAAAGAACAAAGCTCCTAAGAAACTTATGACCCTGGTCTTGCTTCTGAGGACATGAAGTGCACAAATGCTCTCATGCCACTGAAGGGCTGGGATTCAAATGACAGGAGCCCTTTCTTTAAAAATATAGGGAAAAAATTATAAAAATAAAATAAAGAATAACTTGGGGGGGGCAGCAATCAGCTTCCTTCAGGTTCTTCAGAGATTCTCTGAGGAAAAGAGATTCTTCGTTGGGTGACTTGCCTTGCTTATTTCGGTTCCTGTACCCCCTTTCCCCAAAGTTGCCTGCTGAAAGAATGGCTTATGCCTGCAGTCAAGCGTAGGGCAAGAACTTCAGGCTTAATTAGCCTTTGGCTTATTAAACAATCTATGGCCTTTTAAACTTTGAAGGGTTTTGATTTTGCTAGTTACCATGTTATGTATTTTTGTGTTTTTATTCTGTAAACTGCCCTGTGATCCTCAAATGAAGAGCGGTATAGATTTTAATAAACAAACAAACTACTGTATAGAGGCATTGTGCCACAGATTTCCAAGGGAACTTAACAGGGTTATTATAACAGGGTAATTGATCAAAATTCTCTATAAAATGTCCATTCACTGGTGATGAGTGAATAGAGGTCTTGGTAGTTACCAGGGGTGGGGAACACGTAGCCCCCAAATTTTGTTGGACCAAAACTCCCATCAGCCCAACCCAGCATGGCCAATGGTGAAGAACAATGGGAATTGCAATGCATACATAGGTTTCCCACCTCTGCTCAACACCAGCTCTGCTACAAGAATGACCACACTTATCCCTACTGTGAAAACACTATGGTTAGGCTGCAGTAATGCACTCCTTGTAGGACTGCCCTTGAAAAGTGTTTGGAAACAACAACTGGTCCAAAATACAATGCCCAAACTTCCAAGAGGAATTTGCTGCACAGAGCATTGTAACTTCTATATTATATCAACTCCACTGGCGACCATCCAAAGACCTAAATGGGTTTGGGTAAAAATATCTGAAGCACCAGTTGATCTCATGTTTGCTTCTACCTGCAGTCTGGTCAACATCTGATGCCCTGCTCCATGTTACCTGCCTTTAAAATGAGTCAGGAATACACAACACACTACGGTTTTTCAGTGTCGCACAGCAATTATGGAATTCTTGCCCGAGGCAGGCCTCCCTGGTTTGGTCACAGCCTTTCAGTAAGCATTTACAACCTCCCTCTTTAAAATGTTTTTGGGTACTGCTGATGCTATACTGTTTTCATATGATGATGGTGTTTTTCTGCATTTCTTCTTGTATTTATTTCAAAGCTGGCTTAGGAGTCCCTCAGGACCAAAATTATGTAAAATAAATTCTATAGGCTGAACCTTCCTCAAACAGCTATACAAGGTTTGCTAATTTATTTATAAATATTTGTATACTGCTATATCTTTTTTTTAAAAAAAATCAAACCGATTTACAGCAATAAAAACATAAAACCATACAATTGCAATTTGTGGTATTGGGAGGGATGCAACCAGCCATAGCAAAACAGGTGATACAGAGAGCACAGTGGGACTTAAATTTAAGCATGTATAGGACAGTAACACCTACTGAACTTCATGGCTGAGTAGGGATTTGAACCCTGGGTCTCCCAGGTCCTAGTACTAGGTAAAGGTAAGGTAAAAGTCCGGTCAAAAGCTAATATGGGGTGCGGCACTCATCTCGCTTCAGGCCTCTAGCCACTACACTACACTACACTACACTGGCTCTCACTGAGGAAATGTGTGTTTCTACTTGCAAAGTTTGAGCTTTAAGAAGAGGGGTGAAAATCAGCTAGATCTCCCTTTCTGATTGCCCACCCGCAGGAGAGAAGCAATCCATTTAACTGTGTGAAATAGCTTCTTTTGCTTGCTTGCTTGCTTATGCAAATTGTAGAACAATGGAAAGGTTCCCTCTGACTCTTAGCACATCAAAAGGCTTCCTGAAGGAGATAGTCACACATGAAGCTGCCCTAGGTTCTCCCACCCAGCAAGAGGAGATCTCAACTTGGTCGCAAAGGGGTGCTCCTGAGAAAGCAACTGGCAACACTGATGGGGAACATCATGTCTGGGAGGCAAATGTAGCCCCCTAGGCCTCTATGTGGCCCTTGGGACTCTCCCCCAGCCACACTCACTTTCCAGCCACTGCCCTCGCCAGTCCTCCTTGGCTGTTCTTCTTGGTTAGAATGTGTCCTGGAATTCTGATGATGCTTCTGGCTTGGCTGGATGGAGGGCAGAGAGGGATGTGTGTAGAGACAAGTCTACCATACGGAGGCATGTGCATGTGACCCCCAGAAGTTTGCCTAGAAGGAAAAGTAGCATTCAGGCTGAAAAAGGTCCCATTCCCCCACTGGCCCTTTGCAGTGGCAGAAGTCTCTTGGGCACCTGGGGCGGAGTGCCCAGGGGCAGGGTGAACTACCCATAGGGACGGAACAGGGTGCTTGGCGTCCCGTGCCATCCCTATGGGCGCTGTGGCGCACCCCGTCCCTATAGAGAAGAGACGTGGCACCCATAGGAACAAGACGTGGCCGTGGCCCCCATAGGGACGAGGTGTGCGGCACGGCGGGGCAACGGGGGGGGGGGGAAGCAGTGGGCGGACAGCACGGAGCCTGCAGTTGCTGAGACGCATGGCTCATGCGTGCTGCAGGCCCCATGGAGATGAGTGCCGTCCGCCATTTTGTCACCCACCCCATCAGAGTGGCACCTGGGGCAGACCACACACCCCGCGCACCCCTTCGTACGCCCCTGGCCCTTTGGGGCCAAAGTCTAGTCTACACCCTCACCTAAATAAAAACCTCCCATAGCTGATGATGCCAGGAAAATGGCTTGAGGCCCGTCAGCAAACACAAACCTCCAATTTCCTATTTAATGGTAGCTTATTTAATCATGTTGCATAGTCTTAATGGTGTTGACCTGTTGTTTTTAAAGGGTTCACCCTTCATTTAATTGAAAACTCAAATAGATAGTCATTTTCCTAACTTCCTTAGGAAAGGGAACAGAGGTTGATGCCAACAGGATGTAGGGGAAAGCTTTTTCAAAGAAAGACTATAGCAAGTTTTCACATCAACGCAAATGTGCTTCGACTAAGATACAACACCCTTACGTGACCATGAACAGGAGCAGAATAGAGACAGAAGGTACCTTAAAATTATCAATGCATTCTTAGAGCGGGAGACATTGATGAGTGCCAAGATGAGCATAATTCTCATCTTTGGTATTTATCTGGAAGACTAGGAAACTAGCACTGTAACAGAGCATCAGGATTCACAACTTGATCCCTGTTGAACTCTGGAATAAATTCCACATTCCTGCTGACTCACAGCAGGAGGTGACTCTCATTAACTTTACAAACACACACACAAACACACAGCAAAGAAAGACAGACAGAAAGAAAGGAGTGACTGCACAGTTTGCATGGATTAGACTTAGAACCTAATTGTGGGACTAGACAATCAACATGACACAATGAATAAGCAGTACTGTAATGTTAACTATAGACGAGTGTAAAAAGGAACTGCAAAATTTTTGCCATTTTGAAAAGGCAGACAATTTGGTACAGTATATCCAGGAAGTGTTAGACCCGGGACACCTAAAATCAAGACTATGGCTGCATTCAGACAGTGCTTTGTTCCGTTTTCCCAACCCTGTTTTGCTTGTTAATTTCCACCTTTTCTGTGTTCTTTCACATGACATAAAAATCACTTCTGGAAGTCCAGTGGAATCTAGCAAAAGTCTAGCACCAACTTTCATGTTAACTTCTTCTTCAAATCCATTTGAAATCCTGTTATTTTCTAATAGGAGTTTTGCATTGTAATTTCATGTGGCAAAATTTGGGTCGGTGTTCCAGCATACAGTTCTTTCCAGCTGCTTAAAATGTAATGGTATATAGATAAAAAAAGGCACAGATCCATTAACACAACAAGTGCTGTGGTGTAAATAGAATGTTAGAAATTAGGACAGCAGTGTTAGCATAACCAGGAAAACTAACACAGTAATAGCCACGTCTGAATACAGCCTGAGGCTGCTGTAAGCTAACCAGGAAGTCAGCACCATTGAATTCAATAGGCTATACCAGGGGTCAGCAAACTTTTTCAGCAGGGGGCCGGTCCACTGTCCCTCAGGCCTTGCGGGGGGCCGGACTATGTTTTTTTTGGGGGGGGGTGAAAGAATTCCTGTGCCCCACAAATAACCCAGATGCATTTTAAATAAAAGCACACATCCTACTCATGTCCAACACTTTAATTGGACAGAGTGTTATTCACTTACTGAATGAATTTTCTATATTTTATGATGTTTTAATAATTGTATTGTACAGATCCATAGTATATATTTTTATATGTTTATAAAACATTAAAAAATATAAAAGTGGGTGGTGTATATGTTATAAATAAAAACAAACAAACACCAGATTCCATCTTAATAAAAGGTTAGAAAATAATACCAACCATTAGTTATTTGTATATTTATTTGGAGTATTCAAAATTATGAATTATGGGAGTTATGGAGGGGGGTTGTTCTTGTTCTTACTATGTAATTTTTTTGTATTTTTGTGCTGTGAACTGCCTTGAGATCTTCGGATGAAGGGTGTTATACAAATTTAATAAAATAAGTAAATAAATACTCTGCATACATGCTAAAGTTGTCAGAACATGTTTATATTTAAAATACAATAAAAAAGACAAAGAAATACTGGCAAGGGCAAAGCTGTATACTTATATATATATATATCTATATCTATCTATCTATCTATCTATCACTCTGCAGTTGAATTTCCTAGATTGGAAATAGCTTTCAAAGAAGACAGATGTTAAGTCCTTGCAGACTAGGGCTTCCTCCATGGACTGCTGCTGACCTTACTCACAGCTTCTGGCTTTGATGGAAGATGCAGGAGGCATTAGGGGAGGCAAAGGTGTTGGAAGTCTCCCTACAGTCCACTGGCATGGCTTGCACCAGTGCAGGTGTAGTAGCACTGACCTCCTTGAAGGAAAGGCACCATATAACTGTAATAAATGTGCTCACTTCAGCAACAAATGAACAAACTGCTACTATGACTGGCAAGAAAAGGACAGGAGCAAGTTGTGCCAGAGTGGGTAGGGCGTGTGCATTCCCAAAGCTGGCTCCCAGATTGCCAACCATGGTTTGGAAGGATTTTTTGTTAAGTTACCTCCAGGGCTCCTGTACTCATGGAATAAAACTGCAAAACCCTACACCAGCCTGGACTACAACTTCTTTCGGCCCCAGCCAATATAGTCAATGAACAGGAACAAGTTGTGGTCCAAACCATGTTGCGGACACCAGGTTGGGGAAGCCTAGCCTAGGCAGATTATCCAGACCCTGAGATCACCATCTGAGACCCTTATTTGGGTACGTCCTCCGCGAGAGGTCCAGAGGGTGGCAACATGAGAATGGGCCTTTTTTGCAGTGGCTCCCCATTTGTGGAACACTCTCCCCAAGGAGGTTTGGCTGGTGCCTTCATTAGACACCTTTAGGTGCCAGGCGAAAACATTCCTCCTTAACCAGGCTTTTGGCTGATGGACATCCAATGCCCTTTTAAATGTACAGTGGTACCTCAGGTTAAGTACTTAATTCGTTCTGGAGGTCTGTACTTAACCTGAAACTGTTCTTAACCTGAAGCACCACTTTAGCTAATGGGGCCTCCTGCTGTCGCCACCCCGCTGGAGCACAATTTCTGTTCTCATCCTGAAGCAAAGTTCTTAACCTGAAGCACTATTTCTGGGTTAGCGGAGTCTGTAATCTGAAGCGTATGTAACCTGAAGCATATGTAACCTGAGGTACCATTGTATTGTGAAAGGGGGGATTATTGGGTTGTCTTTGTTCTTATTTTTATTATGTAGTTTGTGTTTTTTTAATATTGTAATCTTATGTTGTGAACCACCCTGAGATCTATTGGTATAGGGAGGTGTAGATATTTAAATAATAATAATAATAATAATAATTAATAACAATAATAACACCCGAAACTCTTTGGGAGGAATGGCAAGATGCAAATAAATGGATAAAAGTAGCAAGATGTACAACAACCTTAGGAAATCAGCTCGTAAAACAGAAAAACGAAACAGTTCTGAAAAGATGCTTCATCCTCAAAACAGCCTTTATCAAGCTCTGTCCTCTCCCAGCCAGGCCCCTTTCACATGTTGTTTGTTTCAATTAACTGAGGGATTTTCTCTGTGTCAATAGGCTGTCCACTTCTACTCTTGCTAAGCAAAGTGCATGTTGCTAAGAAATGAGGTGGCTTCCAATTTGGAAAATCCATTACAGAGCAACAAACATACATACATAGCATAGGAAATAATTTGCAGCATAACTCAGTGCTTTCTAAAGTGTTAAGCTAGCTATTATGATGTTACAATGGGCTTGATTAACCATTTTATCTCATAATACTTATTATATGAGAGCGTTGTGTGATTTATATCCAAACAAAGAGCATTACATAGGTTCTAAGCGCAAAGCAGAACATATTGTACTGGAAAAATATATTTGTGGGGGAAACATATACAGAAAAAAATGTTTGAAAAGTGGATTCGTTCATAAAGGAAATTCAGGGTGTGTCTAGATTAAGAAAACCTGTGCTGCCAGTGAACAAAAATTTAAAGGAAATGACTGAAGCTCTGTAATTTGGTGACTAAAAATCTGGGCTGGACAAAACAAATACAAGAATCACCTCAAAATCTTTCACTGACAAAATTGAAATATATAACCATCATCAACTCCTACCTAGAAACAGTTCTTCTGCTTTATAAACAACTACAAGTATGTAATCATAACTAATCATAAAACATATTCAGCAGCAATATACAGTGGTACCTCGGTTTACAAACTTAATCCGTTAACGAAGTCCATTCTTAAACCAAAACCGTTCTTAAACCAAGGCATGCTTCCCCTAATGAGGCCTCCTGCCAGCAGTGCCCTTCCACTGTTCGGATTCTGTTCACAAACCGGGACACTACTTCTGGTTTGCGGAGTTTGAAACCGAATTGTTCATAAACAGGACTGTTCTTAAACTGAAGTACCACTGTATATTAAGAAGCAGAGTTATATATTCCAGTTAATTTAACTAAGAAGCGGAAAAGCAAAATTATGTACCGTAATTCCTACAAATTAGCAATCTTAAAGGCAACGCAAACAGGTGCTGGTCTAGAACGAACCCCAATCATTAATCCGCCATCTCGTTAAAGGTTCAGAAACAATTTAAAAACCATGTTTTTTTTTTAATCCTCCAATAAAATAGTAATTGCATGGATTTTAGGCCCAATTAAGTATAGCAACCATAATTCCACATGTATATACTTCTTATAGTTGCTTTGATTCCTTTTTATGCCAGAACTACAGAGCAGAGCCATATTGGTCTCTCAAGTTAGAAATAACAATGTAGTTTTTCTTTTCCCTTATCAGATTCTAAATGGGTACTATCATATTCCTTACATTTTTACTCTCATATTTGTGTTGCTGTTGGGCAATGAAAAGCTATTACAGCACAAATACTCCACTGCAAATGAATAATATACTCGGGCAAACTGCACAATGCTCGAAAGTTTGTCATTCATTCATTCATTTATTGCTTGCTTTCTTGCTTTGCTTGAATATCCCACCTCCTGGCCCTCCTCATGTAGTTCCCACAAGAAACCTGTGAGATAGGTTAGGCTTAGAGGCCGTAACTGGCCCAGTGTGCTTCATGGCAAAGTGGGGATTCGAACCCTGGTCTCTCAGCTCTTAGTCAGACACTCTAACCGCTATACCACCCAGGTTCGCTGAAGAATCACAAACACTACAATATAAAGTATAAATGGATCATACTGAAGAAAGAATTCCATATTATCTTTCTAATAAACACCATAAAACAGTATATTACAGTACTGGACTACTGGACACTCTTCTTAATACAGTATTTTAAACATGTTAAGTTTTTTTCTGCTTTAACTTTTAAATGCCTGCTGGGACCTTTTCTATTTTGCCAGATTATTGTGTTTTTGTTGTAAACTGCTTTGATTCTTTTCTCTCTCTCTTTTTTTTTACGAAATAGCATTTTATAAATATTTTTCTAAATATAAAAATAAAACAATTTTCTCAAAATATTTAAAATCTAAGTTTTCTTCTTTGAGGACAGGCTATAGAGCATGTGCTTTACATGCATAGAGTCCCAGGGTCAATCCCTAGCATCTCCATGTAGGGAGAAGAATAAAACGACAATATTTTCATTATCCAGACATCGGTCATCCCACCTCCTAGCAAGATGTATGCTATACTGGATTTATCGAGGCACATAACATATCTGCAAGGGAAGCTGACAAATGTACACAAGAATCCTTTAAGAGGCCAAAGGAAAGTAGAAGACAGAAGTTCACACCAACAGAGAGAGCTAGGTAGGGGACACAGAGGAAACAGGGATCAATTACGGTATATTAAAGCTCTGGAGAAGGCAGGCAGGCTTTGGAAACTGGAAGGACAGCTAATGCTATATCTATCAGCACATGGTACAGATCAGTCGAAATCTAAAGCAGACCCAGGTATTCCATAAAATGAAGTAGCATCTGTTAAATATAAAGTATGCTCACATGTACTTTTCATTCTATTTAGCAATGTTTACTTGGCTTACTTCTAAGTCAACATATATAGGGTTGCACTGTGAATTAATGACCAAAAATACAATTCACTGTATAATTTTAGAAGTTGAGGTATCTGCTCAGTGAATCCACAAACTCTGTTAATATTCAAGGCTACCATATTTTGAATGAAGGAAAAATAGGCAAACTATTTTCTAAAAATAACACAGCAAATATTTCTTCTGGTTCTCAATGGTTCTTTTATTTTACCCCCTGAGGAATTTTAAATATGAAACGCTTAGGCATGAGCACTGCTTGCTGTTTTTCACAGATGCTTCATACTGTATTTCAGTTATAGAAACTGTATTTTATACATACTGTATTTCCAATTATGGAAAAACAGACATGTAACACCAAAGAAATGATCGTGCAGAAGATTATCATGCAATAACTGCCATGAAGTCAGAAATCCAGTACTAGAACACTCAGAAATCAATGGAAATATTTGTGAAAACAAGCAAGAAAGCAATTCAACCGAAGCCATTAACTTTTGCCATCATATTGAAAGTGATGTCAGATACTCCAAAGATTCTAATCTGCTTGCTTCTAGAAGAGACATATTAAGTCCCTGATCCTCTGTTGTCTGGATCTTTGCCATCAATTTCAATAAAAGTGATATTCTCCATAGCACCCTCTCATACATCATAACCTTTTTCTCATTTCAAGAGAACAGACAAATATAGCAATCCAAATGAATTACTAGGAAGTAGGCCTCACTGAATAAACATGCTTTGGGTTGTGCTGGAAGATCAGTGAACAATCCACACCCTCATTCCACCTTTTTACTTATTTTTACCCTAAACAAGTGCAGGACTTGAACTAGTAGTAGAGTTGTGACAGTTATTCAGTTTTCACATTTGGGGTTAAGCACTGTGCTTGCCTTGCTAGACAGCTTGGAATCTTCAGCCGTTCTTAATCATTAATCTGCTTTTGCAGAAGGAGAGGTTCTTCGGTCATCTAGCCCAAAATCTTTTGCAAGTTTCATACTGCAGCTAAACTGAAATACAGCATGGCAGGGGGCCAGCATGCTGCAGTGAATAGAAGGTGCAGCTTTGACACGCAGAAGGCAAGTTCAGGTTTCTGTTCAGCCAAGAAGTTCAGGTACTAAGCTTGTTACACTCACATAATTTTGTTATTTAAGTGAACTTGGGATTGCCTATAGGGGTGTATACTCAATGGGGTGTTGCAGCTGGCCAGCCAATCGCAGCTTCCTAATTAGCAAACCCTTATGTTATACTTACTTACCACACTTTTTTAGGTATGCCCTTAAAAAACATCTGCTGTGAACAAGTTTATTTTTATCCATATCACTGGGTAGTATCTGTTGCCTTAATAAAATAGGAAGGAAATTCCCAGTCTCTTCCCACTTTATCATAATATCACCAGTACAACAGAAATTAAATTTAGAACTGCCCCTTTTAAGACGGCAAACATACCAAGGAACAAAATCAACTCAAAGCTAAGGATTACAACCCATTTAAAAAGCACTTAACTTTCCATTTTAAGGAACAGCAGATCAATCCATTATACATTCATTACAACAGTGGAATGCAATCTATGCATAATTCCAGATATATGCATTCAAATATGCACAAGCATATGTTCACATTCGCATACACATACTCACACTTTCATTTTAGTTTGAGTGCACTACACAAATAAGGAGAAAGAATTCTGAATAGAAATATCTGGCTCTAGTTTCTCCCTTACTTTATACTTAAGGTCTTTAGAACGCTGGCATACAGCTGATATAAACAAGACGCCAACTGAGTTTTAAAGAACTTGAACATTCTCTGCTGCTACCCAAACTGTTGCAAAAAAAAGAATAAGCAGGCGCTCAAGGCCAGCCAAAGAGCAGAAAGAAGCTAATCCGTTTCTAAAAACCCTACAGTGTGATGTTTTCTACATAATCTCAAATGGTGATTCATACCAAGTAGGCTCCACTGTTCTTGCAGAACAGGCTATTTTACTCACACTGAATATGTGACATTACAGATCCTGGAGAGGAAGGGGGGATTGCTGGCTAGAGTGAGGTCACCGAGGTTCAGGGTCAGTAAGTGTTTCGTATATCCTGTCATTTAAAAAGCGCTCCGGGACAGAAGTGGGAGGAGACAGAGAGAAAGGGGGGAAAGGGCGAGGAACCCGAGGAATGTTAAGAAAATGACAGAATGTGCCACTGCTGCAGGAGATCATATATAGAGCAATGGTCATGAAACAAACACCGCGACCATCCTGAGAGTTGGATCTCAGGAAATGCACAGTATCAGGGCATCCATCCCATTTTGTTCACGGGGCCTAAGCAAAGGGGGCAGACTATAAAAACAAACAAAAACCCAGACCTTTTCCCTCCTCCTTTTCCAGCGGCCTCCCCCCCCCCCGCAACACTCACAAAGAAGAGAGCAATGCTTAATCCTTCCGTGTCGTGATAACCCCCTCCTGCCTTTATCTGCACAGCTTTTCACAGCTGACACCGACACCAGAAAGCCGCGCGCCACCAAAAGCCCCCAAGCCCCCTCTGGGGGAGTCCTTGACAGATAAGATGCGCAGCCCGGAAATGCAGGAGAACACGGGATCGGGTGGGTGGGAGAGAGAGAGAATCCGAAGCCTGAAACCCCTCCTGGGAGATCGGAGTGCACGGTAGGGGAGTCAGGGCGAGCCCAAAACATCGCCACCACGTCCCATCCCTCCCACGCAGTCGCAGTCCGGACTTTATCCCTCTCTCCCTGTCCATCCTGGAGGGGGTGGAGGCAAAGAGGCAGAAAGTCACAGATCCCAAGTCCCCCTTCCGCATCTAGACGTAGGTGTTTTGGATCGGATGAGAGACAGTCGAGGGATCTGGGGGATAAACAGGGGCTTGCTCTTCGCCACCAGGCGGGCTTCCCCCCCCCCCCGCCCCCGGCCGAGATCTGCTCACCCCATCGCCCCACACCTCCGCGGCGCCTCCCCACCGCCCTGATCTCCCGGCCAGGCCCTTGACCCGCGCGCACCGGAGACAATGAGGAGCGCCCCCAACTCACCAGAAGCAGCAGCAGCAGCAGCGGGTCTCTGCCGCTCCGGGACTTGGGGGCGGCTCTCGCCCTGCCCTCGGCTCCCTCCTTCTGGGCACGCCGCAGCCGCCGCCTCCTTCTCGGTAGCCGAGCCCCCCGCCCACCAATGCCAACGCCGCCGCCGCCGCCGCCCAGGAGCCGCTTCCTGTTCGCTGCGCTGCCTGGTGCCGCGGGAGGGCCTCCGCGGGCGCCTTCCCTTCCCGGCGCAGGAGAGTCACGGCATCCCGCCAGCCAACATGGCTGCTCCCCGGGGGTTCGCTCCTCACCGCCGCTGCCGCGCTACTTCCTTTGCTGCGCCGCGGTGCGACTCCGGATGCTGCTGGGCCGACTCCGCTCGCCAAATGGGGAGCGAGCGCGACGGAGGCAGCAGCAGGAGAGAGCTCTGCCGAGCGCGAGCAGCCGCGCAGACCGGAGCCAGCGCGACAGCTAGCGGCCGGCGAGGGAGCTGCAGACGCGGCCTCCCTCAGTGCTCCGCGTCGCCAAGCCTGCCCGACGCCAAGGCGCGCGGGGAGCAGCGGCGAGGGTGCGCCGCTCTCCGCTCGCCTCTCTCCTCGGGACTGTGAACGCGAAGGGAAGGCGCTTCCTCGCTGCCCTCCCCTCTCCGTTGCTAGGGCTGAGCCATTCAGGTTGCGCTCCTGCTGCCGTGTTTTATTTATTCTTAAACCTTATGTGCCAACGGTGCCTATTTACCATCAGGCTTCTTACCTGTCCCGGGCTGGAGGCGGGGGATAGCTGCTCCTTCCTTCCTTCTTTTCTTCCTTCCTTCCTATTTTGTTGCTGAGAATAATCTGGGGGCTTGTTCTAAAGTTTTATTTTTGCATTATGCATATTAAGTGCCCACCGCCCTGACACAAATGTTTTTCTGTATTGGTTTTCTGCTTCAGGATGCGGTAGAAATAGGTATGTTTTTAATACACACACAAATCCAAAATCTTTCAGCTCACATTCCTGCACAGCCTGGGTTTTGTAGCAACACAGCCTTGGCAGAAGAACATAGATCCAAGGCTCGGGTTTTCTGCAATGTAGGATCACTGTCAAAGATCCTGGGCTTTGGGGCATCATCATTGCACAAACACAGGGATCCAAGGCATAGCTAGGCACTGTTTTTACGTAAAGGCATTCAAATGCGCTGTCATTCACATCCTTCATGGAATACGCCATGAAAATCAAGTCGCTGGGTGGTCATGGTGGGGCAGAAACATGGATCAGAAGCATATCTCATCACTGATTCTCGTAATTTCTACAGGAAGTTCCTCCAAACCACGCCTTGAGAGTACCAGCAACAGCTGCATCACACTGTGGTGTTGCCACAGTGCGAAAATGGAGCAAGGTAGCTCCACCACCACTACAATGCTACAAAAACTATTAGAACTCTACTCATTTTACTTATTTCAAATACTTTTATACTGCTTTTCTGTGAAACACCATGGCAGTGTACAATAGATTAAAAACAGTAAAAACATTTTTTAAAACACCATGCAAAAACATAACAAACAAGATCTTTAAAATGTCAAATTTAAAAAGCTGTGTCTTGACACCTTTTCCAAAAGCAAAAAGAGTGGAGACCAACTGTAGCTCCGGAGTAAGCATACTCCACAATTTGAGAGCATACTTCCACAATGGGAGAAAGACCACTCATGCACACCTATGCTTCTCTGTGTGGGTGGGTATCCTCAAAAGGGCCTTCTGCAGATCTTAATAACTGGATAGGAAAATAATGGATAGGCCACCCCTTAGATAACCAGGTCCTAATCTGTTTAGAGCTATAGAGGTTATAAACAATACATTGAATTAAGCCTGGAAAACAATTGGCAACCAGTACAGTTTCTTTCAATATCAGAGTACTGTGATTGAATACCAGGCACCATTTAGGCAGTGCCTAGTTGTTGCTTGTGGCACCAGTTGAAGTTTCCAGATGTTCTTCAAGGGTAACTTCGCATAGACTATAGCATGTTACAATAGTCTAAATGTAAAGTGACCAAGGCATGGATACCTGTTGCCAAATCAGACTAACTCAGGGAAAGTAGCAGCTGGTGCACTGAACATAATTGTGCAAATGCACTCTTTGCCACCACTCAGCTGAGAATTCAGGGTCAAGCAGCACACACGAACTATGAACCTGCTCTTAAAGTGATAGTGCAGTCTCTTCCAGAACAGGTTGCATTTCAATCTCTGAATCTGATTTTCTAGTTACCAACAGCACCTCTGTCTTAAATTTAACCACTGTAATCCAGCCCACTATCAAACCAAGGCAGTGTTCATGGGCATAGCCAGGATTTTTGTTGGGGGGCAGGACTTTTGTTGGGGGGTGCAGAACCAATGTGATTGGTCAGTTTGTTAAGTATTTCTACTGTTTTACTTGATCTGGGGGGCAGCTGGTCCCCCTAGCCACACCCATAGCAGCATTCAATGGTATTCATTGCTTCCTTGGTATTTGATGACAAGAAGCAACAGAAATGAGCATTATCAGCATGTTGGTGGCATTTTCACATTTTTTGAAGACACAAAACAATGTGGGGGGGGGGTGTTACCTGATGGATTGGATTTCCCCAGCTTTTACAACAGGTCAGTGATATGAGGCACTAGGATAAAATTGGCACATAGAGGGATTACATTTGTATCCAGTTCCCAATTCAGAAGAAAAATAGGAGCATAGCATCTGTAGCAAGACTAACCACAGAAGATCACTTGCCTGTGGAGCTGCAACAACACACATTCCTTTTTGAAAATGTCCCAGTAGCATAACTGATTGCACAGAAACATATTTATTTGGATGGAACTGCAATTCATTCAGGATTTCTCTGACCTCTAGGAGTTTGTCAAGATCTTGAAGGATTAGGACATCAAATAATTGGGGGTGGGGGGAGACTATGGTATATTGCACTTGTATCCCTTTGCACTTTGACCTGTCTTTCTGCAGCATTTATATTTGTGCTGTCATCTAGCCTCTTTCTCTGTGTTTATTTTGGAGGTTTGAATGAGAAGCATAGTCTCAAACTTCTCAACACATTATTTACTACCATTTCACAAACCTACCTCCCCACCCTCACTTTGTATTCTCAGCAACACTATGGTAAGGTCAGGGAGTTCAGATAAACATATGAAAGTAGGAAGTCTCTAATTTGCCAGTTTCAGTTTCAGTTTCTCTGCTTCTTATTCTTCCAATCTTCCAATGAGTTTGCCTTGACTTTTTTTTAAACAAAATGTCTGCGCAAAAGTGTATGTATTTTCACGTGCATTTCTTCAAGGATATACATTTTTGTGTGCAATTTTTTCCTAATATAATGCTTTTAAAACAGTTTAATGCTTCAAACAGTACTTCAAACAAATAGTTCATTACTAAAATCATAGATCTATTACAGTAATTTTCAAAACAGAAATTAACTTTTTAATAGCAAAACACTTGGGCTTCCACCTTCTTCTGCTGAAGTTAGGCCCTTTCCCTTCATATAAGCAGTTGTATACACATTTTTTGGTTGGAGTATGGCATCACAAAGTTCATAGAAGTGCTACTTTTGAAAGAGAGCTGCATTTTTGTTCAGCAAATATGGATTAAGTAGGTTCACATTAACATACAAACCAAATAAAATTATCTTTCCTATCCGAAATGCAATTCCTAAAATACCTACATCCTGGTCATTGGCACAAGTTGAACTGAATGGGGAACTTGGAACACTGCCTTGTCTGCAAGACAAATATTGTTTTTTGTTGCTTGTGTGCTCTTTCCTTTTATTTTATTGGCTAAAGTTCAGTGCTCCTAACACAGTGCCTTTCATTAGAATGTATTCTGAAGCATTTACAAGGGATAGTAAATGCCTGCAAGGCAGTGTGTCTCAGACTTCTAAGGGAAAGGATGAGGAACAGTTTTGTATGTCTCATTGGTGCTAGACTTACATAGAGTCTAAGCTCATGTTCTGTTGTAGGTCAGTTTGGAAGTGGGTGGCTTCCAATAAATCTACATTTTGTGCTTAACAGTATTAAACTAGTAATATCCGTATGTCAGACTCACACCATTTGTTAATGTCTGGAGTTGTCAATAACATTTAGACATTTTCTCGTCTCTTTCCCAAGAGCTTTGTGATTTTATTTCTTCTTTAACTTAGCTAAAAACATTCACCAAAAATTGTTAAATGCATTCCCATAAATGCATTGCTTAAATGAAAACAGTCATTAGATGCATTAGCAAAATAAAATAAACTGTTTTATAACATATTTAGGGTGCTTTCCTGAATATCGTCTTTTATATTTCTTTCGGCTGCTTCTACGTATTTGCAGTGTTGAATTATTTTCTCCTGTAGTTACTGTATAGAGTTCAATACCAAATTAATGGCATCCATTTTCCTTTGGTTTGCAGGTGATGCTCTTGTCTGCTGGGAGGAAAAAGTGATGGTTGCCTTGTGCTCCCCCCAACCCTGGTTTCCAGGACAGAAACTTCCACTCAAACCCCTTTACCGGGGTACTCCGAGATATTGCACCTGCTCGAGAGTGGAGGTGATACACCAACTCACCCCACCCTCAGAAACTAGACTAAGGATTCAGCCCAATGCAGCCCGCTTAAATATACTAGCAGTTGATCACTCTGGTCTGCCGCTAAAGCTCCATGCCCTCCATGGCCTCTATTGGCCAATACAAATTTAAAATATTGGCTGGCTAGGGTTGCCATATTTCAAAAAGTGAAAATTCGGACACAAAAGTTGTTGAGCTTTTATTTTGGGGGCCAAAATATAGACTTCCAACATGGGTTGCCATATGTCCAGATTTTCAGCGATTTCTGCCTTGACACTGTTTTCGTCCGCCATATTCCCGACGTATGGCAGCTCTAACCAAGGCCAAAACCAACAGCCATCTGCAAGGAGGAGCAGGCCTCTGCACCAGGCCGCAACTGTCGCCCAACCCCGATTCTGGATAAGCAACCCATCAGCATAATCTCCCTCCTGATTGTCGTGGTGGAGAGGTCTACGGGCGATCGAAGTCCCGGCTGAGGACGTTGGGACCAGGACCAAAATGGCGGGGTGGGAGCAGGAATGAGAGTCCAGAAGCCAGGGGTCCGAGGGTCAGGAAGCAGGGAGTCACGAAGTCAAGGGTCTGAGGGTTGAAAAACAAGAAGGCAAATGCAGCAAGGCAGGAAACGAGTTGCTGTGGCAAAGAGCCAAAGGAAAATGCTGACCTTATATCCCTTCCTGGCTCTTGCCACCAGGTGCAGTGAGTTACCAAGCGGCCTCACCTGTGCGGCCGCGCCTTGCCTCTCCAGAACAAACTTAGGAAGGCCCCAGTCCTGCGACGCCCTACTGGTCACAGGGCCTGGCTCCTGCACACACTCCTGACAGACCATATATATATATATATATATACAACACTGAAATCCTTTGAGGAAGTGCGGGATGAAAATGTAATGAGAAGGTAAGTAAACAATGTTACGTGTTGCTGTGAAACAGGCTGCTAAAACCTGCCAGAGCATTCACTGCCAAGGAGAGACCTGGCAGAGCTGAGATTGCCTTGGAGTGTAAAACCTATGTCTCTGGGTGGCTGTATCCTGTTCCGACTTGCCACACAGTCCCT